ACGCGAGTCGGCGAATCCGGCAGTTTTCCTTCAGATTTTAACAGCAGAAAGTTAGGGCGAGGTCGCAGGCGAGCTAGGAGATGGATGGCGCATTTGCTCTAACGATTCCACCCCGTCTTTCCGGGATTAATAGTGCTTGACGCCCGTGATACGTTAATACTCATTCCGTGGCGCGCCGGGAACATTTTTACGTATCTCAAATATAAGGAAAAATAACGTAAAATTTTTCGCCTTTTACGCTGTACAGCATCCGAGGTAGGTGAAAACGATTGCACGCTTTCTCTGTAATGGTACCGAACGTTCTGCGTTGCAACGGAATAGCTAAGTCGGCAAAAATTATAGTTTGACGTAACGACGAACGATCATGACTCTCCAAAGAAGTATAAAAAAAAAAATAAAAGCCGCAACGAAGTTATCTTATCGCGCACTTCGTTCATCACTAATGCGTACCAGGAAGTTTTTACTGCCTCCACTTCCCTTTCTGTAATGATCGTATCTTATTGCTCGTTCGTCAATACACTCGAGATAGACAAATAACAGCACTTGACGGGAAACGACCACGAAACTATCGATCCGGATCGAGCTAAAAAACAATGAGATGGAACGCTTTCCGTCCTGAATTCCCGGCACATCGCGGCACGTTACACTTCATTTTGCGACGTTCGAACGATCGGATCTCTCGTAGCCTTCACCGGTGACCTATTCTAATCTTTTAAGAAGGCTTGCAGCGATTCGATGCATCGAGTTAAGTAACGTGGCGCCTAGCAAGTTCTAGTCGAATTACTCTCGACGGCACGCATACGCGCTGGACCGACAAATTACTACCGATTAATATAGTCAAATCCGCCCCGGGAGAGTGTCTAATTTCCACGTTCGCATTTTTCCCCGCGACTCTCTTGCCATTTAACCCTCCTGCGTTTGCTGACCTCGTATAAGGCGAATCAACGTTGCGTATTTTAATTATTAGTTTATTTTCTAATTCGTATTATTACCGGTAAGGAATTATTTTGAAATTCTACGTTTTTTTCACGCGAAACTTTATAAAAATAGGTTTGATACGGCAAGCGGCGCTCTTGCTAGTATTGTAGTCAGAAAGTGGATTGAAATCGATAGCGAAATGAATATTTACGTAACGTGATTGGGGGGGTATTAAATCCATAATATGCAGGCAATTTAATAAAAACATAGAAAATTATTCAGCGCCCGTAGTTAATCTTTAAACGATAAATTTAACCACGTTCTCGCCATACGATCGAGACAAATAAATTCTGCCTGTTTCCTCGTTCTTTCTCCCACGGAATATATTTTCGAGGAAAACAGAGGCGCGAAGCGTTTTTGTTGAAAAAAAAAAGAAAGAAAAAAATTTACCCGAGGTGTCGCCCACAGACAGCCCGAACAGCCGAGTACCATTGCCGAGCACCGGGTTTGCTCTTTTACTTCCAGATTTATTTTCCGCCCATGTAAAAGTCAGCCTTCATTGTTTACAATCCTTTTGTGATATTCGTTGCATCTCGCGTCAAACCACGCGTTTAATGCAAACAAGCTCTGCAATTGCTTGGCCTTAATGCACTTTGCGATTCTCTTTAATAATCTTTTTTTTCTGACAACGAGAACACGATGTTTTAGAAAGAATAATATCGAAGGTATAGAAATGCTTACGTGAACTGAAAATCGGATTTTCAGTGCCCCATTTCCTTATTTTCCCCCTCTTTGAAGAAAATATCCTCCACGGCTTCCAAGGTACCTCCTCGATCATTCACAATTTCCAGCATAAATTTTATCCCTCCGGTATCAGCTGCGACGCACATGAAAGAACATACGTTCAACGTGTTCAAAAGCAGTCTATTGGCCTACACAATTTCCTACAGATTCGAGAAAAATACTCTACTTTTCTTCGGCATAAAGCAAATAATATACAGCGATATTTTCTATCGATTTGCCAGGTCTACGTGAAACTCGTGACTATTGACGACGAGTCGGATGAAATTGGAATTTTTTGGAATCTCAATGCCGAGAAGAACGTCGGAGCGCCTTTGTAAGCGATTCTACAGGCGACGACTTTTGCCTACAAATATTTAACCCAGGTTCAGGGGGCTGAAGACTTTAGATATTTTTCCTCGTCATTTAAGCACGCATTAAGCGGAAATGACCGAAGAGCGGTCACTTAGAAATGTTGAGAGAAATTTATTATTTTCCCGACTTAACGTGATATCTAAGTTGAACCTGAACGTAGGTTTGCCAATGGCGAAAATTACGCCAACTCTGCACTTGGCCGAACTAAAGATGAAGATTGGCTTGAATTTTAAGCAGAAGTGGTATAACTGGTTTCAAGAAATTTTAGAACTTCACCGACGGGAGTGTTAAAGTTCGCAGGGAGACTTCCGAGGGAAACTTAAATTGAACTAATTTTTCTGCGTAATAAATCAATAGTAGTTTCAAAGAGGAAAGTGGTTCGACTGTTTGCAAAAATGTACTAAAGCGTTAAAAATGAACACGCGAGAGATCTGACCGCTTTCACGTTATCGGCCCAGTTTAATATGAGATATAAATATATGTACCTTTTATAAAAAAAAAAAAATTACACGGAACGGCGATGCCAATTTAATCATTCTTTTGAATGCAGAAATAAGGTCCATTAATGCGCTGATAATATTTAATCGAAGGCATTTCGCGTGATAGGCGTCCTTTTGCTATCGATACCGAGTTGCCGGTAAATGTTAATAATTATCCATTGCTCAAACTTTTAAAGGCAATCACAAAACGACCAGCGCCACATCCGCATAATCGCAGATCCTTATCTAGGAATTATGCATTTATGCAAAAATTCCGACATAGCACATAATTACTACCTGCATCGCGACAAAATATGGGTAGCATGCGTTACAGGTTACATTAATGGCGATCAAAGTGAGCCAATCGCTCGAATCGATTCGACATGGTTCGTTGAAGGCGCCCCAACTGCACTTGTATATTATGCGCGCAACGTCACTGTGGATATTAATAAAAAAATTGTGCTCTCGATATAAATAGAGTAGTCCTTCCCAAAGAGCAATTACATCCATTTTTGAAATCACTTCATAAGTGTCGCGATTAATTCCATTAAAGCGGTCAAGAATAACCCCAGGTACGTTGCGCCGTGGCGACGACAGTTTTCAAACGCTCGATCGCGATCGACCCGATCCTCGAATCGACAATTTTCGGGCTTCGCAAATGTAGGTGAATGCCAAAAATAATTTAATACAGGATATGAAATTAATGCTACGCTTTTGGGTTTTGCTTATTTTATTTCTCTAACTCCAGCCGCTCATTTTTTCTCCTTCCAACGTGCAGACGCGGAAGGGCAAGAAATATGAAAGTTATTTTGCAAAATGTAATTTGAGATCGTTTGCATGCATGCCATCGTTATCGGTTAACTTTCGCATATTGACCTTAATATCCTGCATAATTCTTCTGCACGGGCGCAATTTAAAGTTCCCTGCGAAATACTAAAAATTCGCGTCAGGCAATAATTTCCCTTCGGTGCGTTTTCTGCCAGCGATACTTTTATTGCCTCGCGCCGAATATTTTTTACTGCATTTTCCGCTATCTACCGTTCCGGTAAAACGTGGGTCCTAACTCTCTACAAAAAGGTATGCTAATTTTTCTGGATGGTGTTACGGATAAGTGGAGCACAGTGGTATCTCACTTGCGTTGTTTTAAAGGGTACCTACCCTTCTGAATAAGAAATCAATATCTTGAGTACACCGTGCCGTTTAGAAACGTTTCAAGCAACGTGCTAGAATAAGAGATGCTAAGACCGGTTGGAGGTTTTTATTCTAATTCGTTATCATTTTCATCGTTTATTCGATGATAATAAATGACTGGCGTAAATTCCCTCGTGGTATTAAATGAATTTGAATAACACGGCAGGTCGACCTCTCTGAATTCGTGAATATCGTGCAATAGTAAATGGTACCGAGGTGAGAGTCATTGCGCGCATTCCCGTTGCAACGACCAGAATTGTTTAATAAATAACCTTAAATAGGATACCATGTGGCGAGTCGGCGTTCCAGTGCTCCCATTTCTAGATCACAAATTGAGTTAATAAATAATGAATGGGACTATATCTCACGAATTTGAATAATGACCCCGCAGCCAGATCCTAGTTTTCTCGATTCGTGAATAGTGCACTCGTAAATGGCACCGCTGCAAAAGTCATTGCGCACATAAGTATTACGGCGAATTCGATGCGTAATTTACAACGAGCAGAATTGTTGAATAAATAACGTTAAAAGGGACGCCATGCGGAGAGTCGGAGTTCCAGTGTTCTCCAGGAGTGTGCATCGCCAAATCCTGGGTCTGCGATCATCAGCTCGACTGCCCGGACGGGCTAGACGAGAAAAACTGTCACAGTAAGTCTTTTTGAAATTTCACCAGGTTCTCGGGCAGAGGGTGGAACGACGCCGGAGAAGAGAGGAAGGAACCATCGAAATCCTTGGAACAGACGACAGCTTGCGCAGAGAGACGCTTTTCACGACTAACATTTTTGGGATCGGAGGTCGCATTGGTTTGGATTTACGAATTTTTATCTCTCCCTCGCTCTTACATTCTTTCCTGTACATACCGTGAAAAAAAGTCGCTTTTACGATTGCGAATATTATTGCAATCAGAGATGACGCTTGCCTCTGTTCCCCCAAAGCGATAAAAAAAAAGTCAGCAATGATTTTAAAGAAGTACACGGTAAATCAACCGATAATAATGTTAATATTTTTCCCGGAATTATTATTGCCGAAGAAAAATTGAGATTCTCTTGTTCTTTCACTTGCAATTACTCATTGATATCCAATTTGATGATTTAATTGAAAATCCAAGCCGATGCAGCCTCGCGAGGTAAACCATTTAGGGTGTTTAATTTTCTCTGAATTTCATTGCATTCCCCACCCTGACGAATTTGCATGTCCGGCAGGACTCACTAATAAGATTCTCGCGCACGTATCAAGGTGGTTTATCATATCTTGTAGAGAACAAGAATTGCACGGCGGATCAATTCACGTGTCGGTCCGGAGGCGGGGAATGCGTGGCGCTTTCATGGATGTGCGACGAAAACGAGGATTGTACCGATGGCTCCGACGAGGCCGATTGCAGTAAGATGCTTTTGCACGAATAACATATTTCCTGCACGACTGTTACGTGTACTCATATTTCTTTACTCCATACATCTCAGTGTTAACAATTATCGATACCAGTCGCCCACAATTCCCCACACTTATTGCATGCAGGGATTTTATCCCCATACATGTTCATGAGCGGTATTTCGTGCAATCTTAATTATATTTTATTTTTTAAAGTGGTTCGTACTTTTGGATGCTTAAATATATTTATTACTTTGTAATGGATAGGTGCCGCTTAACGAGGACGATAAAGCCGGTTTGACATACGAGTATACCTTAGAAAGTATCGAGGGGATATTCCGATTTCCAGAATATCCGTTTATAACGTAAAAGTATAAATTGTCAGTAGCAATTAAAAAAAAAAAAACATTTCGTTGAAGTCGGTACGTAGCGTAAATTGTTCTTTTATTTTTGGAAACGCGTATACCTTTAGGCGAGCATCGGCCGGTTAACAAGGGTGCTACATATTTTCCAGTATACACCGTACACGTTTTCCAATTCCACCGATTCGCTCTACGTAGTTAAGCACTCAACTGTTTTGGATAAATATTCCTTTTTTGTTGTACCTGGTTCATGCATGGCGTTTTTTCTTCCTTTGCATGACACGTTTTCATGCCGTCACTCTGGAGGGTATCAAGTTTTAATTTTTTCTGTACCGCTGTTGTCTCTTCCCGATCCAAATTATTACTTCATATGTATAATACAGTTCCAAACCTTCTGCTAACTTTTTTGAAAATTGTACTCACGTGTAGCCAAAATTTTTTTTTGACTATAACTGCAGGGTGAACACGCGAGCGGAAAACAAAGAAATCCTCGTGGATTATGTAAACCGTAAAAAGTTCGCTTGCATAGATAGTCTCCCTCCTCGTTTTCCCTGTGTTTATCCATAATACGTACAGTTTCAAACTTCGTTACGAAGTTAAAAACTACAACGCTTAAGAAAGTCCTGTGTTGTTTCTAGAGGTGTAAAACGTTGCACTAAAGTGCGTGCACGGTTTTATTTCGAGAAGAGGAATGAATAAAAGATGTTTTTTCCATATCATGAGAATAAAAAAAAAAGTGCTGGTATAATTCTGTCGCATGGTCGAGAAATGATAAAATACTCGTAGTTTGCGAACGATGTTAGAAAGACGGCATTATCGTGGCCCTCTTAATCGTTCCAGTTGCATGGAACGATAACACGACCTTACGTAACAATTACGTAAAAGATTAGTTCGCTCTATTTTCAATAATCGATAATATAGCCATTAGAGATATCATTGGGGTATGATCATGGACTTAACAGAATTTGAAGAATATACTCCACTTCGAGGAATAGGTATTGCCAGGCTCGATGCAAAATTTTGCAGAACTTGTATCGAGATAAAAATTCGACGAACTTTTATGACCCATTTCTTGCCGTGTAAGGGCTCTTCCAGTTTCATGCCAGGGTAGCGAGTTTAAGAGGCCGCCAAGGTTAAGTACCAACGTTCATGGTCAGTACTTGGACAAGTGACCGAAAAGATTCTCCCCAAGGTGTCCAAGGGCCCCGTACATTCCGAAAGGTACTTTAAACCCGCCCCGCGTTTTCCTTTTCGGACTTCTCGATAAATTCTTACGTGGCCGTAAAAGGTCGCGCGCGTCGATATCGAAAAGATGCATAACTTCGGTCCCTCGATGCGGCAAAAACGATCGATCGTCCGTAAGAAAATCTTGACGAGGCCTGCAGCCTGTCCTACCTCTCGTTTCTCGCGGCATAAATTCGAGGTAAATAAATGCGAGAAGAAACGAGGGCAAAGGAGAATTCGCGTCCTTTTGCGTTTCCCTCGTGGTCGGACACCCAGGGTAGTTCGCCTTCAAGACCATTTTCCCCGGCATCGGATGAACGTCTCGGGGAGAACAGAGAATACGAAGCTCTTTGAATGCGCCACGACAACATCTGGGGACGCTCCGCGTCCAACTTTCGGGATTCATTCGCGTCGATAAAGAGGGAAGCTGCACGTCCCGCTTTTGTGGGAACCGCCGAGTTTCGATCTCCTTTCCTCGCACCTCCTCTTATTTCCCCGCAATTTCTCCTCGCGCGCGGTCCAAGAATTTTTGAAAGGAGAAAATCCGAGGCGGACGCGATCTCGAGTGATGGAGAGCCGTCGGGGCGAGTATTTTTTCTTCTTCGACCCGCTCTCCTGTCATTTAGCGGCGAGCCGCCGCAGCGAAATTCCTTTCAAGGGAATCCATTTTTGCAACCCGAGGGTGCATAATAAAACCAAGGTTTTTACGCGCCATTCATTTATCTCGAAAATATAGGTTGGGCGACAATGGCTTTACGGCTTCTATAAAATTCAAACGATGTCCCTGGTTAGGATTTTAAATCATTTGCGATATCGGCCAGGCCGAGCCCTCGAAGGGCGTACCGTTCGCATCTTTTTATCGCTTCCTCTTATTGCTCGACATTACGAGAACTTTTAAATGGGGAAATCCAATTAATAGTTGGCGACCGAGTTCTTCGAGCCCGCAGATTTTTCCACCAAGGTGCTTCTTCATAGCCTTGGTCTCGATCGGATGCTTTCGAATCGAGTACCAATAATTTCCTCTCGTCGGCTCAAAAATTCTTCCAAAGGACTCCATCTTCTTATAGCGAATAAGAGGTTTCATCGGACTCTTGCCGACGTACGCCTACTTTATTTGCGGATGCGTTCCCGCTAAAACCGTCGCCCCGTTTGCCCCGATTGGAAATTCTAATAATTCTAATAATCATCAATTACTCCCGAGTCTTCGTTCTCGTTTCGACGCTCCTCGTCTCATCTGGAAATTCTTCCCTCGTTCCAGGCATTCCAAAACGGAGGGAATCCGTTAAAAAGTCAACGACGAGGAGCCTCGGGTTTATAGATTTTTCTGCGAAGATAATTCTCCGAACCATCGGCGAGTTTAATATTTCCGGCATATTTGAGAACATCTCCGCTTTCCACCCCCGATGGCGCGCGAATCGTCATCGAGAACCATTCCCATTCGTCTCGAAATAAAACCGGCGCGACCGAGTTTCGATCGAGCGTCGTTTAAATATAAAATTTGTCAAGCCTGATCACGGAGTCGCTCTTAATCCGACCTTCCCGGGGCAGATGACACTTGTCGCTCGGACGAGTTCACCTGCGCCAACAAGCACTGCATCCAGCAGCGATGGGTCTGCGACGGGGACGACGACTGCGGGGACGGCAGCGACGAGAAGGACTGCGAGCCCGTGACCTGTCGACCCGACACGGATTTCGCCTGCACCCAGAATTACTGCATCACGGCTAGATGGAGGTGCGACGGCGACGTGGACTGCCCCGACGGGGCCGACGAGAGGAACTGCACGTCCTGGCCTTCGGGGGAGCGGTCCAGTCCCTGCGCGAAGCACGAGTTCGTCTGCGAGGACTGCACCACCTGCATCCACCAGACTTGGGTCTGCGACGGCGACAAGGACTGCCCCGAGGGCTCCGACGAGGCGCCCGAAAGGTGTCGCAACGTCACCTGCAGGGCCGACCAGTTCCAATGCGGCGACCGCAGCTGCATATCAGGTACCGCTCCTCGACCGTGCGTCGAAGACGAGGATGTCTCCCCACGTGGAGTTTCATTTTTTTTTTTATCCGGAAACCGTGGGCTTGTGTAATCCTTTCCATAATATTCCTGGATTTTGCTCAGGTCATCTGTACTGCGACGGGAAGGCGGAATGCGCCGACGGAAGCGACGAGAAGAATTGTACGGCTAAACTTGCCACCTGCGATCTCCGGACCGAGTTTGAATGCAGCAAGGGGTCGTGCATTCCTCTCGAGGCAGTTTGCGACAGGAAACCCGACTGCCTTAACTGGGAAGACGAGAAGAAGGAGCTCTGTGGCGTGAACGAGTGTCAACAAAATAATGGCGGCTGTTCTCAGATTTGTATCGACATGCCTATCGGCTATCGATGCGACTGCAAGCAAGGCTATCGACTTATCGACAACCGTACTTGCGACGGTGAGTCTCGTTGGTCGTTAAGAAAATGTTTGCATAACCGACGTCGCGATATGTTACGCCTATATATTTTACCAAACATCGGGCAAAACCGATCCCGTAAAATGTGAAATTTTATTTTCTAGATATAAACGAATGCTTGGAGCCGGGAAGCTGTTCACAATTTTGCCTAAACGAAAAGGGCAGTTTTAAGTGCAGCTGCGCCTCGGGTTACCTGAGAGATCCCAGAAATTTAACGCGTTGCAAGGCATCGGAGGGTCATGCCAGTCTTCTCTTTGCGAGACGACACGACATTCGCAAAGTCGCCCTGGATCGTCAAGAAATGACGGCGATAGTCAACAATACGAAAATGGCGACAGCTCTGGACTTCGTTTTTCGCACTGGAATGATTTTTTGGAGCGACGTCAGCGACAAAAAGATTTACAAGTATGACTCCCGTTTCTTGACATTTTTATCTAGGGTACGAACGATTCGCATTTAATTCCGTATCCGAGCTAGGAAAAAAAAAAAATTAAATCCCCACCGCCCTTCTCGAAATAATGGTCGTCCAATATTTGTTTCCGGAACCGTACCGTACCTACTTCTACCGTAATAACGGCAACCCAGGGTTTGGTCGGGGAAATCCTTGTAAAATTAGTTTCCCTTTCCAGAGCCCCGATAGACGAAGGGAACGAGAGAACCGTGGTAATCGACAACGACCTGACGACGTCGGATGGTCTGGCCGTGGATTGGATTTACAGTCACATATACTGGACCGACGCCGAGAAGAACACCATCGAGCTGGCCAACTTTGAGGGGAACATGAGGAAGACCCTGATACGAGATCGAGTGCAGGAACCGAGGGCAATCGCCCTAAATCCCCTCGAGGGTTGGATGTTCTGGACCGACTGGGGCGACGAGGCACGGATCGAAAGGGCAGGAATGGACGGATCGCATCGTTCGGTAGAATTTTCATATTTTTCGCGAATTCGATACCGACGTCTCCTCGTTGGTACGTTTTCCGGTAGGTCATATATTTTGCGATTCTCGTTGCAGGTGATCGTTGGGACCGACGTCAAGTGGCCGAACGGCTTGACCCTGGACCTCATCGGTAAACGAGTCTACTGGGTGGACGCAAAGCTCAACATAATTGCCTCGTGCAATTACGATGGGTCGGGGAGGCGCACGATACTGTATTCGTTGGACGCGTTGAGGCACCCCTTTAGCATTACGACCTTCGAGGATTACGTGTACTGGACGGACTGGGACAAAGAGACGATCTTCAAGGCCAACAAGTTCACCGGCAAAGAGGTCGAGGCGGTGACCTCGTTGAGGTCTCTTCAACACCCGATGGTGGTGCACGTGTACCATCCCTATAGACAACCGGACGGCACGAATCAATGCCAAGCCGTAAACGGGCACTGCAGTCACCTGTGTCTACCGGCTCCCAAGATCAATTTGAGATCTCCGCTTTTGAGCTGCGCCTGCCCGGACGGATTGAAGCTGATGCCAGGCGGCCTGATGTGCGTGGAAAATGGTAAGGCAAACCGCGTATTACGAGCGATGCTTTTCTGCGTTCCGTTATTTATATATTGTGAGTCGCACGTGGCTGTTCGTGCTAGGAACGCTCGTAGAAAAATTCAAATCTGTACGGTAGACGAAGATGCATGTCTATCCGCGGCTACCTTTCGATTTTATCCGGGAATCGTACCTTTATTAAGAGGGAATTTTATTCAGAGCCGTGTTTACCGGGTAGAGAACAAAGTCCCCACTCCCGTAACAACAAAATATTGGAAATTGTTTACATACGTTTTATAAAATACGGCATGATATTCGAGCTCGCTTCGCTAATTTATTTAATATAGATAAACGCTATCAAAATATTCAAGCCTTTTACAATTGAATTAGTATTTAGCGGAAATTCGTATTCACGTATATTACGCTACGTTGTACGTGGAAAGGTAGTAGGATGTCATCCGGGATAGTATTGGAAGAAAAGGTACGAACACGGCCCTGATTCTAATGTATGCAATTTTCCCTTAAGGTCGACCGCGAATTAAATTGCGTCGCAACTTTCGGCCGTTTAAGTTGTATTACTTATTGTTTCATCTTTGCATCGATGTTGCATGAAAATGGGGTATTGCAGTAACCACAACCGTTACGCCCATCACACAGGAGATAGTTAAGCCGTTCAAGAGGCTCGAGCCTCGCAACATGACCGCAAGCCTCGGTAAGTATACTGGGAATAAACCACCTATACGGATTTCGAAAGATAACTCCCCGAAAAAGTCCATCGATGCGAAATCTCCCTCCCTCCCTCTATTACTGATAAAGTTGCATCGGAACATAAGCATGCAGCATGTTTATATCTTTAGATGGCACGTCGAAGGGACGTTTTCCGTCCCTAATATTTTAATAGCATAGTGCACTATCCAGTAAGCCAAATAATTTATTCTTCTTAATATTACACCTAAAGTTTTACTATAGATCTCTAGGGTTCGGTGCCAAACATAAATTCTTATTTCATCGGTTTCACTTTTCAGACACACCGGAGAATACGATAAATCCACGCGTTTTGGATATTTCTCGATGTCTAATATAAGTGATTTGCAATTATACCCTAACAAGTGTATCATCGATTAGGTCCAATGAATGCCGACACGGATGGCAACCTCGTCGACGAGGCGACCGATCCCGGTCTGGTGGCCGGAATCGTCATCGGAGTGGTCTCGTTGGGCCTTCTGTTTTTAGCACTCGTGGCAGTTCTTTGCTACAGGCATTACCTCCATCGCAACGTAACGAGTATGAACTTCGATAACCCGGTCTACAGGAAGACCACGGAAGACCAGTTCAGCCTGGAGAAGAACAGATTCCCCCTCCCCACTGCCACCGTTGGAGAAGAGGTAATCGATTTTTTCGCCAACGAATTCACGTAAAAAGAAAAAATAATAAATGTTTAGACATCCGGTTTTGACGCGGGATTTTTCTTTACACAGGCCCAGGAACCACTGACCAGTCCTGGAACCAATGATTACGTGTAAGACTCGTTTAGTCCATGGAAGGGGCTCAGCAGGCCGAGAGAAAGAGAACGAGGAAGAAACGAGCCACCAACATGAATTCCAAAGTGTTGGGTGAAAAGTTGATTCGAAAATCGATTACTTGAAATGGGTCGAGACTACTCCTGCCCGAATGCACATATGCCTGCCTGCCAACTCAGCTGTGATTATGTTATTTTTTGTACTGCGTCCGTTCGTTTACAAATATCTGCGCGCCTTGTCGTTCGAACGTACCGGGCAACTGTGCAAAATCTAGTTTTGCTCTTGGTCATAAAAGGAGAAACTTCTCGTGAGAATAAGAACGGTGCTTAAACGAGTCGATACCGTCATCCCCAATGGGTCCCTTGCAAGATCGGACTTGCGTGAAATTTTCGTTAAGTTTTGCCTACGCTATTGTCCGATTCCAAAGATCGGTCGAATGAAACCTGCGTATTGGCAAAATTGATACGAGTTGCTTTAAATCCAACTCGACGCAAGTTGGATCCTGTAAGAAGATTCTACGTAAGGGAATGCACGGCCATCTTAAAATAATGTCGCATTGAATTATTTTGTGATACTACGGCACTTAAACGTAATGCAGCTTTACAAGGGTGACTATCGTTTGAAGATGGTACGCGTGGCTCCCGGAAGCGAAGACGGAAACCGTTTGCGAATCGTTCCTTTCTATCTCGCCCCGTTGCTTACGGGTGGTAGATCGAAGCAAAAAAAAAAGGGCTCGCGCTCTCTTTCGGTACTTCGCCTCAACCTATTCGCGTGCAATCGAATCCGACAAACGAAACCGGGTTGCAAACCCTCCTTTTGATCCCAGTTCGGAAGAGGGCAAGTTCCTTACGTAGATAAGGACGTTGCCTAAAGAATCAGACGTTAGATACTTAAAACGAAGTTTAAAACACGTAACGAGCATGCGTTAAAGAATAGCCGAAAGTACGCCATGGTATCTAATCGCTCATTAAATGTAAGTTACAACTGGACATTAAGGAACGAAGCTTCCTCTTAGAATCGCATTTTTGGTATCACTTGGGAAAAGTCGCGTTCCCATTACTACAAGTGGCATGCACGAAGGACAACGGATTTCTCCTTTTATGTCGGCCAAACGAAGTTACTCGGACGAGTACTTCACGTGTCCATTTTCACAGCCGGCTCGCATCTTTGTGAGCGGCTCCATATCACAAGGAAGTCGTTATTTGAGACGTTCAGTTAATTACCATAGCTAAATTACAATAGACTACGAAGCAACTAGATGTAATAAGAGCGGCTCAATGACACTAAGTATGAGTGTGGGTGTGTTAAGACGACGCTGTCGATTAGGTACCTCGACTTACTAAAAGTCGTCGTACAAGAATGTGTATAGAACTAATGCCTCTGATTTAAGAGATTCATTTAGGGCTCGCTAAGGTTCATACAATTTAGTAACTACGTGCGAGACTTACATTTTTTCGGGATAAATTAGAACACGTTAAGGTCGGTAGGTTAGGTCACCACACGTGGCGAAGATTACAGCCGACGAGAGAACTCGACCTTAAATATTTCTATACACGCATTAGTGGTGCACGTAATGGAAGTAACGGAAGTAATTTATTGAGTTAACTGCAAAAAAAAAATTAACCATGAATCGGATGGTCACGGATCATTGTTTCGTCTAGTCGAAAAACGGTATGGATGAAATTTGTAAATTTATTAGAAAAGACAAAAAGAAAACGTACTCTTCCCCCTGTCGTTACGAAGATCTGAGAGTATATGTGTATTATGGTCGAAATTGAAGTACAGAGGCTCTGTGTTAATTTTAATCAAAAGTAGGAAGCATGCGTGAAAGACGATTAAGGATAATTGCGTGCAAGTCAGTTGGCGTACACTTTATCCTAGCCAATCCACCCGCCAAAATCGTGTCAAACATTGTTTCTATGCAATACTATGATTATCGCTACTTACACGAAGAAAAATATATATATATATATTACAATGAATATTGTATAAATAAATATATAAAACGGATCAGTGTCATATTATTATAGTACCTAAGTAAAATGTAAAATTTGTAAATAAGCAAAGTAAAATACATAGCACAAAGGAATGGTATTCATAATCGATGAAATTTTTATTGCACGCGTCGTGCCAATGAAAATGGTTTCGCCAGCTGACAACGTAATTAACTACGCGATATCGAATCACGACAAAAGCATAATTTTATGGTAAGAACAGTAGTTACTTGCATCTCATCTCTCGTTATTAAGATTCTCGTAACTTGAAAAAAAAATCCTTTGCTGCGAGAAACAAAAAGTATTGGGAGAAAAACAGGAAAAACGTCCCGTGTATATTTCTAACCAAAGCTGGGCAAATTGGTCGAACCGGAGAATATATCCCGTCCTGTATCACTTTCTTTTTCCCTTTATCATTTACTGGCTTCTCGACCGAGGACGAAACCAATGGAAATAAATTAAACGCAAATAACCGGCATCTGCCGGCATCCAGGGAAGAGCAGTACCGAATACCGCCAACAGGGATTAAATTTGATAGGTTATCTAACGCAGCTTCTATCCTTTGTCCTACATTGTGCGCAGTTCCACTTTCATTCCGCCGCGTCACAAGTTAAAAACAATCGACAATTTTTTACGTTGTTAACCGTTATTAACTTAATTTCTACTCGTACTTACTAATAATCGTCCATGCAGTCTCGATCGTTTCGGAACTGCGTCGACGGCCGAAAAATAAACCCGAAAACTCCGCCATTGTCCGCCATGTTTACAGACCAGGATGTTACGCACTCGTTGGCCGCTTCCCGAGCCGAGTGGCGGCGGACTTAGCCGATCCCCGAACCCGCTTCTTCGAGGTTTCCTGCGGGTGCGCGAATGCTGCGACGCAATCGCGCGAGAGTCGTCTTCCGAGGTTCGGTGTGGTAAGACGTGATTCGTAGAAGTGAATACAAAATGAGGGAAATCGTCCATCTTCAAGCAGGCCAGTGCGGCAACCAGATCGGTTCGAAGGTTTGTGTCAAATTTCAGCTCTGTCGACTCGTTGATCGCGCGACTTTAAATATAAATCGCCCGAGAGGAGAACGGCCGAGTACCGTTTCGCAAAAACTAGTCGCGTCCCAAGCCGGCTTAGGAAGCCCGGTTTCGTTCGGTCCATATTTTTTTATTGGCGTCGATTACGAAGCAACCGAACAATTGATAATGCCCAACGTTATCGCAAGGATGCGGTCTACTTTTCGTCCTCGCGTCTCGATTTAGGCGTCGCGAGCGGTAAACTCGAAGCTGAAATTCGTGAGTCAAAAATTGCAGGAGAGTAACTTAACAAGGTTCCGGTCCAGGGTTCGGGTACATATTCCGAAATTAAATTCTTGAGTCAAGGATAATATTTTTTTTTAGCGATCGATGCAGCGCATGCCACCCGCAGTGGTTCGTATCTGGCGTTATCAGAAAAGCCCGTGATAAGAATTTCCAAATGCTTCGGATATGAATCATCCCGTTCACCTTTTTTCTTTCTTTGCGTAGTTCGTCCTTTTCGGGAATTGAATTAAAATTAGGAACGTCATATCGGTGACATTTTTGGTTGCTGGTCGAAAGTTAAAACTGGAAAAAAACGAGTCCCTATAACCCGTTCTAAATTCGAGCCGAAGTAACAGGATACGCGTTTACTGCCATTTCGAAGGAGAAGGGCAAACGGTTCGCGATGTGAAAAAAACTCGTCACCCCGCACTTCGTAGAATTCACTCAAGGGGGAGAGTTGCTCCCGAACTCCGTCGCCGCATTTTTTCATCGTATCGAGATTCCATCGGAGACGAACGACCACGGCCTATTCTACTGAACGTTTCTCAGCTAATTCCGGCAACGTTTCTTCGCCAAATAAAATGCCGGCTCCAGATCGGACGAGATAGAAATTATATTCACGAGTGCGAGCATAATCCCCATGTTGAATGAAACCGGTATGCTATCGCCATTGATAAAAAGTAAAATGAGCTTCGCTCTTATCGCAACTTACTCATTTAAAAACAAAGGAGACCGTTTCGGGGGAACGGGCGGCAAGTGGATAAACGTTACCGAAGAAATTAGTTGCACTGGCTGGATACCGTAGGTGAATCTCGTGACGAGATGAAGTCATTCGACCTCGTTCGGACGTCTCGAATCGATCTTAGGGTGGGTCTACGAGGTGTAGTCCCTGGGACGATTCTTTTAGGCGAACGACGTCACGAACTCGATTTTTTCGGTGAATAATTCCGGTTAATTCCGGTTAACCTCTCCCAGCGTGCGGGTCTCGGACGTTTCATACGTCCGGTCTGTCCTTGTCGCAAGTGCGGCATGTCGCGTATGTCTCCTCCTGCGAGACCCTTTCGTTGCTTTTGACCGTCTTATAAGAAGGTTTGAGATTCGTGCCGAAAATAGCCAGGTCCGCCTGGGTATTAATACGAGACGAGTCTTGCGACACGGACATGAAACGTTTCATCCGCGGTGGAGATTTTAAATGATAATATTTGCTTTTATTCCTCCGGTATATTCACGGACGAGCTCTTCGAGGAATTACAGCGGAACGGTATACATCTCATATATCGGTTTTAATAGGTTCAATTACCGGAACGAGAAAAAAAAATGGACCATTCATTGGCATTCGTTCAATGAACGCGTTTCGGTTCGTGCAACCGTGTCCTCTTCCTGAGAGTTCATTCCGTCTTTCGAATGTGTTTGAATCGAGTTACGAGGAAGAAGAAAGGAGCGAACATAACCAGCACCATCATAGTGAGCGTGGTGATCTTCTTCTGCGAGCAACATAAAGAAAACTTGATTTATTTCCTCCATTCCCATATTTTCAAAAACCTCGGTGAAACGAGACGCGCAAAGTTGAATATTTTCTGTTTTCTGGATGAATCGTTTCCTGCTCCAGGAATACTTACTTTGAATCCCATGGGTCTGGACGGCGGGGTCGAGACCACGGTTCTGACAAGAGCACTCCATTTTATCGGCCGTCGAAGGAGAAATTGCCTTCGCGGGGTCGACAACCCTTGGACTAGTTTTAGACCGATGTCCCGCGACATTTCTTCGCATCCGCGAGTCTTTCTCTCCCTTATTAAGCTACTATATCCCAGCTGATCCCAGCAACTGCGAAGAGCAAGGAACACGGAGCAAAGGATCCCTAGTGACTGCTAGTGACGGCCCATAAACGATGCCATCGATGCCATGGAGATACGACTGGATATGACCGAATACGACCAGGGATAGCCTCAAGTTTTTTAATATATTCCCCAAAAAGAAGAGTAGGCCCTGCATCGATCATTTTTACATGGACAGGGGAACTCGTAAAGTCCGATTTACGAATCGTAGAAACTATGCAGAAACGCGAAAATGTATGTACTTGCGGTACCTGAAGTATAATAAACTGTAAAATAATTAATGTAATAAAGCAACTTATCGAACGATAACAATGAGTACGTTTAATTAGACGAGTCTGTCTAACAAACCCCCTAATCGCCTATTCCTGATCCTTGAAAATCACTCGTAGATCTAAGGCACGAAACTCGGTGCCACCTCCTCGATTGTCCTATGATCCTGTTAGAAATCGTAAATTTCAACCCCTAAAATTTTTGCCCGGGAGAATTCCGTGCCACCTCCTCGGTTGTCCTATGATCCTGTTAGAAATCGGAAATTTCGACCCCTACAATTTTTTCCCGGGAGAATTCCGTGCCACCTCCTCGGTTGTCCTATGATCCTGTTAGAAATCGCCAGAGATGGAACAGGATCATAGGACAACCGAGGAGGTGGTACAAAATTTCGTGCCACCTCCTCGGTTGTCCTATGATCCTGTTAGAAATCGGAAATCTCGACCCCTAAAATTTTTGCCTGGGAGAGTTCCGTGCCACCTCCTCGGTTGTCCTATGATCATTTTAGAAATCGCCAGAGATGGAACAGGATCATAGGACAACCGAGGAGGTGGCACGGAGTTTCTCCCGAGCAAATATTTTAGGGGTTGAAATTTCCGATTTCTAACAGGAGCATAGAATAACCGAGGAGGTGGCACGGAGTTTCTCCCGGGCAAAAATTTTAGGGGTTGAGATTTCCGATTTCTAACAGGAACATAGGATAACCGAGGAGGTGGCACGGAGTTTCGTGCCTTAGATCTACGAGTGATTTTCAAGGATCAGGAATAGGCGATTAGCGGGTTTGCTAGACACGCTCGTCTAATTAAACGTACTCATTGTTATCGTTCAATAAGTTTCTTTATTACATTAATTATTTTACAGTTTATTATACATCAGGTACCGCAAGTAAAAAAGCTCGGTAAAAATGAAACGACGACAACGAATTGTTAATAATTATCGTACGACTTAAATGATGTTTCGTTTTTAAACGGTTCGCAGTTTTGGGAGATCATTTCCGACGAGCACGGCATCGACCCTCATGGAAAATACGTCGGCACCAACGACTTGCAACTCGAACGCATCAGCGTCTACTACAACGAAGCCAGCAGTGCGTTACTTACACAGTCGAAGCGTTTGAATTTAAAGTCGCGTTAACGAACGTCTTAAAATGCTGCTTTCTTATTCCAGGCCATAAATATGTGCCCCGAGCGGTTCTGGTCGACCTGGAACCCGGTACCATGGATTCCATTCGCAGTGGTCCTATCGGCCAAATCTTCAGGCCCGATAATTTCGTATTCGGTCAGAGCGGGGCCGGTAAGTATTACGTGAAACTCCTCCAATTAATTTTTCAACGATAATCTTAATTGCCGGTAGGCTGCAGTTCGTTATTACCGAAACTTAATGTAGCGCGAGATTAACATTTCCAGTCGGATGTTAATTGTTTTACGGTACCCGTCTTAATTACCGTGGAAACGTGCTCGAGAACATCGTTCCATCCGTTACATCCGATTGGCGCGATCCGAAGAAAAATTGCTTATTTGCAGGCAACAACTGGGCCAAGGGCCATTACACGGAGGGTGCGGAATTGGTCGATGCAGTTTTGGACGTCGTGAGGAAAGAGTCCGAAGGCTGTGACTGTCTGCAAGGTTTCCAGCTGACTCACTCCTTGGGCGGTGGCACGGGATCGGGGATGGGAACGTTGCTTATCTCAAAAATCCGGGAAGAGTATCCGGACCGTATCATGAACTCGTTTAGCGTATTTCCGTCTCCGAAGGTACGAGAAAAAATTAAACCCGTTTACGATGCTTCGGGGGACGGTAATGCCGATATCCGATGACCATGTTTTAGGTATCCGACACCGTGGTGGAGCCCTACAACGCCACCCTGTCCGTTCACCAACTCGTGGAGAACACGGATGAGACCTTCTGTATCGATAACGAGGCCTTGTACGATATCTGCTTCAGAACGCTAAAACTGACCTCTCCTACATACGGAGACTTGAATCATTTGGTCTCGGTATGGAACTCGACGTGTTTCGAATATCCGTGAAAGTCTTGAAAATCGTTCACTGACGGGTGATCGGGGCGACAAAAAATTCAGGAAAGAATTCACGCCCGCTTCTACGTTTCAGGTGACGATGTCAGGTGTTACAACCTGCCTGAGATTTCCCGGACAGCTGAATGCGGACTTGCGAAAGCTCGCGGTAAATATGGTACCGTTCCCGCGTCTTCACTTCTTCATGCCCGGATTCGCCCCACTTACGGCTCGTGGATGCCAGCAGTACCGTGCGCTAACAGTACCTGAACTCACGCAACAGGTGAACGATCTAACTTCAAATTTTGTACATCGAAACTGTATACGGATGGATTTTGACGGTTACTTTTTTTTCTAGATGTTCGACGCGAAAAATATGATGGCAGCGTGCGACCCTCGTCACGGCCGATACTTGACGGTCGCCGCTATATTCCGAGGTCAAATGTCGATGAAAGAGGTCGATGAACAAATGTTGAACATACAAAACAAAAATTCATCCTACTTTGTGGAATGGATACCGAACAATGTCAAGGTAGCTGTTTGCGATATAGCACCTAAAGGACTTAGAATGTCTTCAACGTTCATTGGCAACTCGACGGCCATTCAAGAGATCTTCAAGCGTATCAGCGAACAGTTCACGGCAATGTTTAGGCGTAAAGCTTTCCTTCATTGGTATACGGGAGAAGGAATGGATGAAATGGAATTCACCGAAGCCGAAAGCAACATGAACGATCTGGTTTCCGAGTATCAGCAATATCAGGTAATTCGTTGAATATCCTATTAAAAAACATATGGAACGTTCGTGCGTCGTCATGCTAACAGCTATTACGATTCTATCTTTTAGGAAGCGACTGCGGACGACGAAGTATTCGAGGATGAAGAAGTGGAAGAAGAAGCCGTCGAATAAAGTTCATTTGTAAAAAAGACTCCGACATTATTTAATGTACCGACGTTAGGGCCTTGTATGTACAAATTAAAATAGACTGTACATATGTTATTACACGCTATAACTGCTAAATACAGCTCCGTCAATCAATATTGATTTTTTAAGTAATATATTACTTTCTACAAGATTCCTTACTCATCCCGTATTCTTTTGTGTCGAATCTGAAATTGATTGAACTCCGTCTCGGTTTATAACGTTAATTGTATTCGTGTTTTATTTACATTTATTTCATGGTTATATGGCAGATGAACAATGGTAGTCTTGTGTTGGACAAGTTTTTCAGAATTAATTGATGTATAACGTAATAGTAAATTAAACTTAAATACTTAAATGGCCTATGAATGCAACTGAGTTCCCAATGTCGAATGTAATTATCGTTTCAAGAAAGGTAGCAATGACTCGTAAATATGAACATAAGTGTTTGTTGCGCAGACAATAATTCAAATGATTAGGAAACATTTTTTGCAAAACGGTGGAAAAATGATATCGAGCCATCGATTCATGTACAAGTCGTCGCGAATTCGAACCTACCTATGAGTAATATAAGTTCTCTTAAATTGTGACCCGGTTGATTATTTTTTTTTCGCGAAGGTACATACAATTTTCTTATTCGTCCCCTCATTGACATCTATCTGGTTTTTCTCTTTTGACCTCGCCTGTATTTTTTGTTCGAATAAACCGTATCTTTCTCGTCGTATAATTGACCGTCCACAAAATTTCTTTCATCGGTCAACGACATATCGTCTTCGGTTGATATGTAATCGATGCTTTCCATACTACGACTCAGAATGTCCGAGAAGCGGTTCATTTTACGCCTATCGCTGCGATCGTAAGTTAAACTGTCCAAACTGCGAGACCTTACAACCGATAGCTTAATCTCACTTTTGCACCACAGACTGAACTTTTCATCAACTTCGTATTTATAAATCGGTTTAAAATTATACACGTTAAACGTGGAACTGTAGTTATTGGACTTAAAAAATAAAGCAGGTTTGGTATCGATGAGAGTTTGAATTCTGTTCAGATCAATACTGACTTTGCAGCGAAGGTCCGTCTTCATTTCCTTCTCGAACTCCTGCTTCATGTAAGTCTTTGTTTCGTCAGTTATGCAATTGCCTTGAAATAACTTCATCTCCTCGAAACGTTGACAACCCATTGGTCTGGCATACGTAGGCGATCCATAGCCAGAGTCGGTCACATTGTCAATAATAAAACACCGAATCCCCTCTTTGGCGATATTTGCACCACCGGAGTGCTTGTTACACTTATCTACATTGGCAGTATTCGCAAAGCTGTGGTAAAATTTAAATCTATCTTTTTTCCTGTCCGACAACGACCAGCTATTTCTAGTGACGTGGTTCCCTGTGAACTGGTAGTCCGCACAGTCGTTGGCAGGATGGAACAATTTGTTATACATTCTCCTAGCTAGCGCATTTTTGAAACTGATCTCCGAAAGTCGACCTATACCTTTGGAGACGCCGGTAAAACGGTCCATCGAAATTGCGCCTTCGTTGATTCTCGAGGAATTACACAGATACGGTCCTACGGGGTCTCGTTCGTCCGGTACATAGGAGTTCAGGGAATCCGCCGTCATAACTTTCGAGACGTGATCGTTGGCGTTGAACGAATGAGGAGCGGTATCGTTCGAGGCTCGACTCATGGCAACGTAGTAGTGTTCCATGTCGCAAAGGCTGCTAGGTAGCGTTCCGATTTTCTCAAGAGTATGGCACGCGTCAAAGGTAACGCCGACAGGAGTCGTCACGACTGGGTCTAGATTTTCCTTCGACTCGTCGCGAACATTTGTACCGACGTCGTTTGCCATCGTAAAACTTTTGTAACCTCGGTCCAAGCTGCCGATCTTAAAAGAACTTGTCAAGTCCGCGTTAGAGTCCACGCGTTCGGCCGTGGAGCTCGTCTGCTTCCTCGTCGAAGTACCGCCATGATATTTATTACTCGAATGCGGCAAATCATCGATCAGCTGTAAACTGTCCATCGGACTGCTATCGTCTACGTGGCTTCCTCCGTGGTTGGAGGGGAAGGCCGGTGAAAAATAGTTTGGCTCTCGTTGAAGAATCGAAGTACCGCCCGACGACTCGGCCGTCCCGGTATTCTTCGTATCGGAAGAATTCACGTTCAAGTCCACCGTGTAGAAGTCATACAGAGTCATCTGCAAAGAACAAGGAAGAAATGAAACGCGCGTCAAATAACTACTTAAATATCTGTAGGATCAGTGTACACTCTTTTTTTTCTTTCCGACTGCCCCTGGAAAAAAAATGTAAAGATCCCGGGCTACGGGCAAGTCGACCCGAAGTTCTCAAAATCATACCTTGATGACATCCGATTCGCAGACTTGAAATTTTAAATCCCGCAAACACACCCGCTTTGGTATCAATCGATTTCTATCACCGGAGTCTGATCTTGACATCGAGCCGCCACTTGAATCGGGACGGGACGAAGAAGCGGCAAGACTGCGAATGGAAACATATTTTTCTTTATTTTTATATACTTATAACAATCATACTAATTTCTAAAGCATGAAATTAAAACGGGTTCAATTAGAGATCGTACGTGGAACAATTGTCCCTATCACTCACCAGAAAGGGATTTTCCCCGCGGCCAGGTAAAAAGCGATATAACGTTAGAAAAATGATAAAATAAGATAAAAATAAAGATTATGGAAGGCGCCGCTAAATCGAATTACTGGCGAGTAAAAACTGGAAATGTCAATTTCCCCTTCCTACTCTCCAGGTTTAAATGATCGTTGCGAGTGGATTCTACGACCAAGAGCTTTCCTAAAACCGACTAAAAAGAAACTTACGACTCAAAGTGGTTCCGTTTGGCAGATTGAACTGATGAGCCACTGGACTGCCGCGTCGAGGATGTCGAAGATAGCGTGCGTCTTCTATTCCGGCTTCGGAGAACGATATTGGTCGCATCACCAGATCGGGGCTCAACAGTAGGACCGGTGCCTGCATCCCCGTCACACTGTTAGAATCGCAAGAGATACACTGGAGAGGAGGTACGGGGATCGCTAAAAGACACACACACTCCCCGCACCCTACGTCTCACCAGAAACATCTACGCGAGTTTTCGCCATTCCTTGCCTTGCGACTAGCAATGTACGATTCAACTCTTAACTACCGGATAATCACGCAGAGCTCAGCCTAACTTATGCACTCGATGGCCACCTCACCACGTCCCAAGTGTTTCGGTCAATGGAACTTTGTTTTTTCAGAGCAATGCCCTACAGGGTTAGAATGTCGATTTCATGAGAAGGAAGTTGCGAAAAAAACTCGTTATATAGTTATGGTACACCCTGTATTCTCATTAAAGGAATTATTCTTCGTTAAAAAATACACGCATAGAATACAGAGGAAAGGGCTAAACTCGTTTTCAAGTATCAGGGTATCCGCTTCTGCCCTAATATCAAATTTTATTCCACTCGCAATTAAAAAGATTCTTCGGGAAAATAGTTAATATAATTTGTAGGTTTGTAGGCGAAACGATCTTGGTAGGAAATAAAAGCAATGCTTAACGCTCGAGTCAACGATGAGACGATAAAAACATATAATGTATAAAACATAAAACGTACATACATCTTTTTCTCGGTCTATCCTTTCGGTAGTTCGCTATACATTTATTAACCCAATTACCTTGGATCAAAATGTTCAATGAATGGATGAGACAAAACTGTCACGACGAACTACAAAAATGATAGACCCTAACGGAACCAAGTTAAGTTAATAACACTACGAAATAACTACTTACACCAGTAACTATAGGTTGAGTAGCTCCTCCGTCAGATGCAGTCGTCGAGTTACCACCATGATTGGTTTCACCGTTCAATGGTAGAGAATAGATATTGTTCGGAATGTTAGTAGAAGCAAATACGGAGTCATTTGTCAACTGATTCTTATCACTTGTACACCCGGCTTTAATTTGGCACGGTAATCCGTTATTTCTAAAGTCTTGATGGGCTTGGAAATTATTATTCGAGGTATTGCCGCTCATCTTTTTAGTTGCCACCGTACCGACGCACATATTCGAAATATAACCGTGTACACTCTTATTGCCTTGGCCACTGTGGAATGTCTGTACACAAGATTGTTCGTTAGTGTACACCGTGCCACCGCTAAGGCAGCCCATGGAATTACGTACTTTGGATGTCTTCTGTCGTTTAGTATTGGTACTATCCAATTTACAGTCCGAATTCACAGATTGCGTTGTGCCGGGGCAGGAATCTATTTGCGAAGTCGTACCGTTGGTCCCCTGCATCGGTGGCATGTATTGACTAACCAAATTGTTCATTTGTGCGCTCTTTTGTACCTGTGACAGAATTATCTCACTACTAGTTATGTCGTTTTGAGATTCAACTATGTTCCCTTGAATACCGTAACCATCGGATGTCGATGGGTATGGTAACGTAACGATGACCGGTATCGCCTGAAACGATCCAGGAACGTTCAAATTGTACGTCATCGATTCGTTGTGTATGAACGAGTTCGCGTCAACATTGTCAATGCGCACTTTTTTCAAGTGTTCCGTGCCGGAGACGTTGGTCAAGCAGTAAGAATCATCCATCGAGTACGCATTGTCGGATTTTCTTTTTGAAGTCGGTTCCCGTATGGCGGTACAGTCCAGCGGAATGTACGCATGAGACTCTGACGTACCGATTAAAGCTGCTTGTGTAAAACTTTTTGACACTGGATAATGTATCGCTTCGTTATCGTTCACGGTATTCTGTTCTGGTACACTTGCAAATACTTCTGGTGACAGAGACGTTACATTGGTTATCTTGATGTTCATAACCGAATCCGTATTATTTACATTTACGTCGCTTTGATCGTGACTTTTCCGATCTCTTTTAGATTCCGCACGTATCGTTGAATTATCCGTGTTATTTTTGATAGTCGAGGTTAACGTTTCACCAACGGTTGGCTTTACGACACGAGACTGTAAAATGTTTTGAGACACAGGTCCTGTGCGAGGAACTTTTTTAACGCCTGCTATTTCGGTGTTCTCCAGTTTACTCGAATGTGACACAAGTTGGTTAGTATTGCGCGTTTCAATTTTTGTCCCTGGTTTCTCGGTAGATATTTTTATACCATTGTTTTCGTCAACGATCTACAATTGTTACAATTAACCGATTAACATGGAGCATACTTTGGGCAAGTGCCCGATTTTAGACCAACGTGTATATCACCGTTATAGATAAATAAATCATTTGTATTTTATGTAGCATGACAAACTTACCTCAATGATATCATCGTCGCTGTCAATCATTATAACTTGATCCGTAGCTTTTGATGGACTCGAGGCAGGAATACTTTTTTGGGAAATCATGGCAGAAGCTTGTTCTTTCGTAGCAACTTCGGTTTCTTGTCTACTAACTTGTTTGACTTCTGACGTTTTCACTTGCACGGTAGAATCCTCACTTGAGATCTTCTGTTTAGACGCTGCAGAACTGGCAGTACTTTGTCGATTCAACTGAGCACTGAAGTAACAAGATTTATTCGTTGAACCTTTATGGATTCGCGTTCTCTGCGATGATTTACTGACCTTTGTGCAACTCTCTCAGCCTGTTGTAATTTAAAAAATCGTGGGCCAGGCCGCATCTTGATAGCAGGTGCATCTAATAACACATTCTCACGATCCGTCTCACTTGGACTTGGAGAATTTCCGCCAATTGAAACATCGGTATCGCTACTATCTTCGTCATTTTCATTCGTAGCTCTACGTGAAGCAATATGACTAACTTAAAGTTTTAGAATATACAACCAAATAGCTTTACCCTATTACAACTCTCATACATAATCGATCATATTAAATAAGTTAATTAAAATGAACTGGACCCAACTAAAATTAAATGCTTTCTAAATTCTTATTTCAATAAAATTTTGCTCATTGATAGGATAAAAGTTTATTTCTTATCACATATTCTTTTGGTACGTTCTTATGATCTATAATATTTATAAATTAAAACTAATACTTACACGCTATTCTGCTTGTTCAGCATCAAGGATGAGGTTGTAGATGTTTTACCTTTGCATTAAAAGGGTAAAACTACATTTTAATAATTATCACATAACGTTTGTAATTATTATTCTGAATCTGTTAAGCAGGGTGTACCAAAACCAACGCATTGCATTTAACGAATAAATTTTCCATAAGATATAAAGTGAAAGTATATAAATATGCAGGAGCGGATAATATGGTACTCACTTATAATTGTTGTACACTCTAAGCATTCCCAAATAGGATTTGCCCATTTTAACTGACCACAAGCCATGTGAATTCCCTGAGAGCCACATAAACGACAGAGTGTCAATTCCCATTTGCTATCAGAAAATAATTATACAAATTTTAGAAAATGGTGTCAACATTTACAATGGCTCGAAAATTAAATTAAATGAATGTCTTACGCGTTACTACTGGTGTGCAATCTGCCTTTGGGGCAAAGGCACGTTGTGGCATCACATCTGTTGTGCCTATAAAGCAATTCTTGAAATGCATTGGGAACAAGTTCCCAAGATGCGTCTCTGAAAGCAACGTTTGAATATATTTCATACCTTTTCCATATTACAGCATGCGCAATATGGTAAATTTATTACAGTTAACTTACTGGCTGGGAATGAAAATTCCATACTCCTTCATTGCATCTTGAAACTCTTTTTTGTTGTTACAAAGAGGACATTTGAAGAAATAACCAGCACTCAGCGCCAGTTGCTAAGGAGTAAATGAAAGAGACAACAATTTAATTCTAATACATTATTGTTTCTGATTTCTTAAAATAGATATCTTCGCAATTGAATTAAAATATAATTTCAAATGGCAAAAATTATAAAAATTCACCTGAACACATTTTCGATGAAACCATGCATTTTTTTTGCAACATGGAGCCCACATGGTTCCAACGATATCATGAGGATTGACCTCCTCATAACAAATATAACAAAGTGTCTTTCCTAGGGCTTCGACTTCTTTTCTCACATGATCATCTATTTTTTGTTTTGGCCTGTGATTTATACAATAGGACCTACACAAACATTATATAATATATTGAATAACAATAAAAACTGTAGTCAGGTTATTTTATATATGTAAAATGTTTGTAAATATATTACACAACTACATCTAACCTAAATTCCCCAAAGAACTGATGAAGGGATCCTGCCCTTAAGCCACATGGAAAATGAAATGTTCGTTTACATCGTGAATTGCAGCATCCTAATGTAGCGCCCACTCTTTTACAGTATGAACATGACTAAAAAAATATATAAATTACAACAATTTATAATTAATATGATTATATGCATTTACAATGTGTAGTAAATCACTCTTACAAGTTTCTTGCCTCTACGTAATTCGTTTTTTATATCTGCTGGCAGAAAACCCAAAATACCCTCATCATCACTGCCTTTCTGTTCCATACTCGATGAGAGCAGCTATATTGGAACAGAAATAAACCTTATGCATTTGCTTTGCATAAACTAATAAATAAGTCGAAAGATTCAGAGATTACTAAGCAGAAAACTTACTAAGCAGAAATAATGTGTAATGATTCCTTCATATTCATAAAATCTTCCAAATTCAACTTCATTGTCTTCAGAAAGTCCACAAAAACAACAACTCTTATTACTGCCAATTAGGGGCTCTGACTTCGGTCGAGACATATTGTATACTGAAAAATGTTTAATAAATTAATGGTAACAACGCAGTTAATACTTTTTTCTTTCAAACCATATAAGTTAATAAAAATCATAGGTACAATACAGTGACATATCCAATAATACTTGCAATCACATTTAAAATAGAATGTAGATCGATTCAATGTTAGCAACGCGACATCTACTTTTGCCATATCATTTCAATGTTTTAAAGATATATAACACAGACAATTAATAATGAATAATCTGACACCTATCGCAAGAACGTATTTCATGTTTCTAGTTTAATACGATACTCACTGAGCCACAGATAACTAAAACTTCGGAGACAAAAGTAAATAACCATAAATAAAAATAAACGATATTTAACGAAATTTAAAATCAAAAATATAGAAAAAAAACACTTACATTCGACCAAACAACGGACGTGTTTCAATCGGGCTTCTCAAAGTTCATATCTTCAGCTTTTGGCATATTACTGAGAAATAAGAATCTCGTCGGTTCTTGAATAAATGTTGCAAAAACATTGAAAAAAATACAAATACAACACTTTTGAATAATCTACTTAGGACCTTAGTTACGGCCGCAAAGAAATGATTGCAATACCGATCTTTATAAGCACACCGACGCCATTTGCCTCGTTTGTTGCTTACGCGCCAATCTGGCCTCTAAAGAAACTCCTCAATTGGTCACCAAATGGTCACACCGTACTATTTTCGGATGATTCCATTAATTTACAGAAGATCTTCAATTCGGAACGAACACATTTCCAAGATATTTCGAAAGGCAAGATTAAAAATGGCCATTAAGGCTAATTCCTGCAACTAAATTTCTAGAATTACGTTTCCACGCGTACACTAAATATGGTATTTATAAATCCGTCTTAACAGAAATATCCTAGAATATAAAGTTAGAAGAAAGTACGCACAGAGATAAATTGAAAGACTCTATTTTGCCATCTACAGAAAAGTTTGGGAAACTAGGCGTTTCCACAAAATCCGCAAAGCACTCTTAACATCATCTGGTATCCAGAAATGTCAACTTAGGCCCGATTTTTTCATATTCCTGGATAGATATCCTTCGGATAAAGATATCTGCCAGATAAGTAAGGGCAATTTAATATAATAATTTAAAAATTTGTTACAAATAAAGTATAAAAACACCGTTGCTTCATTTATTAAACATCGGAAGGGAAAACTTCATTTTATTTAAACTCTACTTCGCAGCTAGTTCGCGGGTCAGTGCTATGCGGATCCCTAGGGGATGCACCGATTCCCCAGATCCCGCCATGTGGAGGCCGCTGCGATTGTCGACTTCCCAGCGCTCTGGGGATCCGGCCGAAACAGGATTCCATAATCCACCCAACGCACCACTCGCATACCATACTCATCCATTCACTTTTCGCACGCCACACGTATTACAAAAGTTTTACAATTATCTTAACGTCTACCAACTTGAAGTTTAGAGGAGTCGCAGAGAATGTATGTACATACATCATATATATCTGCATACCGATGAAAGTATATAAAACCGATGTAAGCAGGATTGGATAAATATAACCAAAGGTATAACTGCCTAATTAGCATAACCTCTTTGAAGCGCCACCAGTTTACCTAACGGCAGTCAGAAGAACTCCAAAGTCCAATAGCCCACCTTTTGATTCGGTGTCTTTTCCGTTGAACCGTAGTTGTCAAAACATTGTTCTATTTGTCACTGCTTCGATAACAAAAATAGTTAAGTGTTTATGCTCGCGTTAGTGCCAGCGGAAAAGAAACGATTATTTACAGCAGTTGTAATGTCTTCCCTTCAAAAATCTATTTTGAAAGCAAAGCTGCCGCCAACGGGACTCAGTTTTGGAATGCCTTCTAGGTTAGACTCTAAACATTGTCAATTATACAAAATTTTAATCATATAAGAGAAAAATATTGAACGTTTAGGGTAAAGAAATGAACATTTAAGATGCTCGTAGGTGTTTAGTAACTTATTAATAAACACTCATATACATTTTTATTTATAATTTTAATTTGTAATGTACTTTTTATTGATTTTTTTGTTAGTTAAATCATGAATATAATTTATCATTTTAAAGTAGTCCATTTCAACTTATAGAAGTAAACCCAAGCTCGGTTCTAGTAGGTCGGGCAAGCCAAAAACTCATCAGCGCAAAAGAGATTATAATCCTACCACATGGGCTCCATATTTTGATCATTCCATAGAAGTAGAAGTAGATGAAAGTGTATTTCGCATATATACCAGGGGAACGGAAGGACCTATATTGTTTCTGTTACACGGAGGAGGTTACAGTGCTTTAACATGGGCTGAATTTAGTGTAAGTATTATGTCATCAAAAATGCTTGCATATAAATGTTTATAAATTATAATGCTGGTACAATAAAATTAATATCTGTTTCTTATTTGCACTATTTTAGACTTGTATAACATCCATGGTTATATGTAGAGTCATAGCCATAGATTTACGCGGCCATGGAGATACTTATACTGCAAATGAAGATGATTTATCTGCAGACACGTTAGCGTTGTAAGAAAAAATACCAATTTTCAAAATAATTATCAGGCATACTTTTAGAATGCAGTTGCTAATTAAAAATAATATTGGCAAAGCAAATTTTGATGTAGCATAAGGAATAATTAATTGTTTTGTTCTTTTCACATTTAGGGATGTTGCAGCTGTGATAGATAGGATAACGCATAACCGCCCAGTTGTATTAGTAGGTCACAGCATGGGAGGAGCAGTTGCTGTGAGGGCAGCTCAACTAGTGAATAATCTAAGTGGATTAATTGTTATAGATGTAGTAGAAGGAACGGCAATGGATGCTTTAACTTCGATGCAAAGTTTCTTAAGATCTAGACCCACCAGTTTTGGTACAATTTCACAAGCAATAGAGTGGTGGTTAGTATACAATAATTACCTTTTTAGATTCTTTTAGAATAAAAATTTTTGCATTTCTCAATTGCTTATTGAGAAAATCATATGTTTGTTACTATTAATAAACTATAGTATATAGCGTGTGAAAATTGATTTTAGTGTACGAAGTGGGCAAATACGCAACACCCAGTCAGCTAAAGTTTCAGTACCTGGACAAATAAAGAAGTATGTAAATTATGCATTGAAAGTAACTAAGATGGTTCCAGTATTACTTCATAAGAAAAAATGGAAATGAATATTATTTTTTAGCATCAAAAGTGGTAAATTAGCTACACACGACATCGAGACCATGTCACCTGACTCAAGTAACGAAGAGAGCACAGACACGGTAGTTCAACGAGCGGATGTCATTCAAGAAGAAGACTCTACCATGCCGCCACCAAGTAGTACTGCCCCAGAAACTAAGAAATATGTGTGGAGAATAGATTTGTCAAAAACGGAACAACATTGGTCAGGATGGTTTAAAGGACTTTCAGCTGCATTTTTAGCTGTACCAGCACCCAAAATGCTTCTTCTTGCCGGTATTGACAGATTAGACAGAGAACTGACAGTTGGACAAATGCAAGGTATTGCTACTGCTACTTAACATATTTAATTATTGTATATTTATGAAATAATCTAATCGAAATTGTTTCACTTAGGAAAATTTCAAATGCAAGTGTTGCCAGCCTGTGGACACGCAGTCCACGAAGATGTCCCTGATAAAGTGGCAGAAGCTGTGGCAACATTTATGGTCAGGCACAAAATTGCTGAACCTGCATCTGATTTTCCACGGTATCAGAACACATGCACTGAATAAACTATTTTTTAACTGAATGTATCAGTATGACCTATATTCACGTAAATTTTTTAAGAAAAGCAAAACAAAATATTTTTGTTTTTCAGAACTTTTCCTGCTTGTTAAATAAAACGGTGTTGAGTAATTTGCATGACATCGATGAGGTATTACGAAAAGTATTTCAAAATTAAGTAAATTAGGATTGTCTCTTTTATTTATTTCAAAGGATATCGCTATAGACTGTATGATGCACTTGTAAATAAATAAAAAATAAACAATAACAATAAATTTCAGTCCGATTTTTAATAAGTTGTTTTGTTCATGTGTATAACTCTTTCAAGCTGTATTTTCTTTAAAAAGAACCGTCCTTTTTTTATTAGATGTTATAAACTTAAAAAGAGTATATCAAAAGTATAAAATGTTTATTCTTGAGCTGGATACCAGCATATGTATGTACAAGCACAATTTACAACATGATGGATTTCATTCATTTCTCCTTGCATATACAAAATACATTTTGGAATGTTATTTAACTTAATGTAAATTAATCGCACATTTTCCGAATAAGATATTTGCGTTTAAATCAGCTCTTTAATCACAGCATTATTATATAGGAAAATACCTTTGAATATATAAAATTCGAAATATAAGATACGAGTTAACCGTTTCTTTTTCAGTTGTAACGTCGCTCTTAGTAGAATCACAAATTACGATTTTTTGGCAGTGATTTTTGGTAATTTTGATAATCCGTTTTAGAAGTGTTTATCATTATACGAATTATCGATGGGAAAAATATTTCATGTTCTAATCACAAATTTGATGCTGGAACAAAAGCATCATTCTTACGTGTATACTTGTAGAACATTGATTTTAGCGAAATTTCAAACATTTGTCATGCAGGTACTATTACAATATATACCTATACATTTCATTGATTGATTTTCAAAGAGATGTTTTAAGATCTCCTTTCTTGTATTAAAAGATTAATGATTTTAAAATGTATAAATATACTGCATCCTCCAAGTGGTATAATAGGTCGCAATGAAATATAAATAAAAATGTTAAAATATATAAAAATAAATAAAATACATGATTAGACTAGGTACTTTTAGAAATCGTAAATATGCCGTAGTTATAGACGGAATCACACAGCCACACCGCTAATATTAAATAACGTCTAAGAACGTTTCTGGTCTTGTCGCGATCAAAATTATTATCATATCGCTTCCTGGCATCATTTATAACTTGTACCGCACATGCTTGTTAATTGTATTATAAATTCCAAACTCTTATACTTAAACTTAAAATTATTGCAGGCAGTAATACCGTAAGCCTCGCCGGTTTTCTTATGATTTGACTTGTAAATTATCTCGAGTTCTTAAAAAAATGAAGACCTTTCCCTTCAATCTGTAGAGAACATATTTTTTACAACAACACAGGGTCCAGCACGGCCGGTTTTTAGAGGTGCTATCTGGAGAAATCAAACCGCTTATAATTATATCTTGGTTGATTGGGTGAATTATTGATAAATCATGCGACTTACTTGTTGCCATTCATTGAGAAGTGGGTCATAAGCCTCCACATGAGTAAGATATTGTTGACCATCGTAGCCTCCTACAGCAACGAGCCGATTGCCCAGTAAGCAAACTCCCATGGCGTCTCTTGCAACATTCATTGGGGCTACCATGGTCCATGTATCAGTCTTTGGATCGTACCTGTAAATGACATCGGTCAAATTTGTAATTTGTATTAAAATAGATAAAGCTCTGTAAAGGCTTAATAAAACAAAATGTTTAGTCCCGATAAAAGCATATTTCTATTCTGGCCATATGACAACAATTGTGTATAAAAAAATTAATTCCTGGAAATAATTGGAAAATGTTTAAATATTTTTTACATAAATTGTAAGAAATCATACCTTTCAACGCAATCGAACCTACTGGCATTAGGATTATTCACAGGGGCATCGTGACCTCCGAGGGCATACAGACAACCATTGAGAACGCCTACTCCAACACCACCTCGTCGCTTTGACATTGGTGCACAAGCTGTCCATTTATTTGTATGTGGGTCATAGCATTCAACAGTGTTTAAACAAGAACTCATATCTCTACCCCCAACGGCATAAAGTCTAGAAAAAAAATTATCTTTGTACATGTTCCAATCATTTTTAAAATTAATGGGGGTATTATTAACAAGGAAAGTATAACTAAAGAGTATTTCAATATATTAATAATTAAAAAAAAACATACTTATTATTTAATACTGCCACACCTACAGTGGAGCGTGTTATTGACATTGGGGAGATTTGACTCCATTGTCGTGTAGCAGGATCCCATCGTTCTGCAGTGTTTAAAAAACTCCAACCATCGTGTCCACCTACAGCATATAAAGGTCCTCCCAGTACAGCTACTCCTGTAAAATATTACAACTTTGATTTTGAAACAACGTTCAAATAATGCTACTGGGTACAGACAACTATAAAAAATTTCCAAGAATTTCATATTAAAAATTATAGTACCAAGTCCATGACGATGAATCATCATTGGAGGTAATGTACTCCATGTCGATGTAGTGAAGTCGAAACATTCAACAGTATTTAATGTCTTCAATCCATCTCTGCCACCAGAAATAACGAGTTTTTTCTCAATAACAGCAGCACCAAACTGGAGGCGTCTCCCAGTCATACTAGCCAAGTATTTCCATGAATTATCACGTAATGAAAATGTTTCTATTGTTGTAGCTCCTAAAAATGTTTTTCGTTCATATAAATATTATTCGCGGATTAACGAAAACTTACCTAATATTTTAGTATTATTTAAATCTATTTAAGTTTCTTTACATTTTTTAAAAGACTATGTAGAGACAATGTATTTTGTATTTGTTAGTAATAAAATCAGCCTTAACAATAAATTACCTTTATTAGCATCCATACCCCCAACGACAAGTAACTGTCCTACGGTAGCTTTTCTAGGCCTTGTACGTCCAGATTGTAATAAAGATCTTCGCTCTGGCAGAAGGTGATATTTTAAAGCTTCCATTATCAAATCTTGTGCTACCTTTTGATCCCTAAACATTTGATTACTCTCAATGTGATCGGCTATGAACTGATATAAATTACATATTATTTAAATGTTTTTGTAAATTTTATTACATGTTAAAATAAATAGTTAATTTAAAAATTCATGATTACCGCAGGAGATAGTAATGGTAACTTTACCAATCCTAATAATTTGCTAGCATCTTTGCACCTGTTTTCTAGATCATGTTCCAACCAGGTCATTAATGCCTGAAATTTAAATTGCAATCGTTAGATAATAGATTTTTGACCGATGGAACTCGTAGTCGATTAACGATTAATTGTACTTACATGAAATATTGTCTCTTCCGATGGAACATTAAGATCTTCCGATTCAAGCAACTTCGACACTTCATTGGCAGATAACATTAAAAATTCTTGATTTCTCATCACTTCCATAAAATGCTCAGTGGTATAAGCATGTGCAACGCTTAATAAATGCGCACAACCTTGAGTATCGGCAAACATTCGAATACCCAAACAGTTGCTCGGATGAAGTTGCTTAATGAGAAATTGACAACACGCTTTTACAACTGGGCTTAATTGCAATAAACACGCAGTTGCCAATAGAGTTTCTATGCTATCTTCCCTCAGTTCGATACAGCCTAGTGAATGATATAAATGGTATCAATAAAATATAAAAAACATTACAATTATGATGCGGATTACAAACCTGTATAAAAATATCGAACTAGGGCCCATAGAGCATCTCCATCGACCCCTTTTAATTCTATTTCATTTTGAGCAGACTCTCTTAAGGAACTTGTAAACATAGCAGCAAAATATTCCGATCCAGCACTCAGCACTAAACGATGTGCCGGGAAACATCTGCCACCTAAATAAAAAACTAAATTTTTAATATTCTTAGTTTAAAAAAAAAGACCTTTACCTGCTGGAAATACATAAAAATAATTATCCACTAAATTCATCTTCTTATTTTTATTAGTATACTTTTAAGCTCCTTGCAAAATAATTTTTCAAACACTGACCTGCAATAAGGGTAACATCGGTCAATTGTTGCTTATGCAGATATTCCTCCATAACTCTGAGGCTGTTCTCGGCATGCATGGGAACTCTAAAGTGTTCATCTTGCGAGATAGAAAGATTAGAGACGATGCTCGAAATACTGTGCTCGCTGGATGACACTTCTTTTTCCTTTTGCCAAAAACGCGACTCCTGGTCGCCCTTATTTGAACCGCTATTTGCCATTTTGTCTTTGCCAAAACTCTGTAATGGCCTATCTACAAATTGTCACAATAATTGGCTCGTTTGCTCCGTTATTACTCTGTCTTGCACCAGTACATTATCAAATCAACATTGAGAACAAGTTCCATTTTAATTGTTGCGTCGTAAACAATCCTCTTTTTTCTATTCTTTTTCTTTACATGAATTTGTTTAGAGTGGGCTCTGAGCCATATACCATCTACAATCACTCGCAAATGGACGTTAAAACGCGAGAGCACCGACAACAGAATCTATTAATCAGACCTTTAACAATAGCTATGTTTACCAAAGCCCTTACATTCCGAATGTTTTTTAATTCCGAGTCAGTTAAATTATCTGACAGTTTTCAAGTATACTATTTTGAAGATCTCGAGAAAAAGTCGCGTAAACTCGGAGGTATTTTTCCGGCCACCTGTTTAAATACTGACCGCAAAAAATCGTTTTCATGACAAAACTAGCATCACGACAAAAGGCCTCTCGTTACTGCTCGCTAAGCACGGTGCACACTCCAAATTGTCCTGAATCCACTTGTCACTTAAGAACATCGATTTTGAGATTTCTAGAGATCGGCAACTCGGACCTAAGTTTTGCGTATGCAGGTCACTTTACATGTAAACAGAGATGAGTTGTTTCCCAAGTCGGTAAAATGAGCAGACATTGGTGTACGAACTCGTGATCTACAATCGTTCTACCAATCACAAGCCGGCGAGTGACGTCTGCGCTTTGATACGGTTTTTGAATCACGTACCGTTAAATAATTTTACTTTTCATTATTGTTGATAGTTAATCAAATTGATATAGTAATTAGAATAAATTGAATTGACACTATGAATTCTGAGAATACCGAGGATGAACCACCTAATACTTCGGCAGTGGAAAAAGCTCTTGAAACTTACTTGCGCGCGGAAAATGACAAATTGAAACAAAAATTATTCGGTAAGTTTGATCTTGAAAAAGATAAAGGACTTTTACAGCGTAAGGAAAATGATTTCAAGAAATAGTTTTGCTGTTTAGCGAACAGTATAATAAATGTACTAGAAAGATTAGCGTCGAAAAGGTATTCTTATAAAAAATTAAATCCGTATCTCGGTTACGCAGAAAAAAAGAATAAGGTAGAAGAACTGAAGGAGACTGTAAGAAATGGGCTAATCAGAAGAAAGGAATTGAAAAAAAAAATCGAAGAAGAATCACAGAAACAAACTGACTTGGGAACTACATTGGCAAGGTTGAAGTTGTAAATTACATATAACTGTCGATTGAACGTGGTATAAAGAATATCAAACAAGTACTTTATAATAAAACCTTATTAATTTGGTATATGTCTATCTGGTTTTTATCGTGCAGCTTGGAAATATACAACCGTCAACTTACGGATCAAATAATGTTGAGAAAAGCAAACGTAGGCTCGGACGTCGTTCTGTGGCACCTTTCTCATGTTAACGAGTACGGTGCTATAGTTAACATGTATCGAGAAAAATGGGCACAATATGAGGTACACATCTTTGAGATTAATAACGGTTACATAGTCATTTTGAAAAAATGTAGGTGTTTACCGTTTACATTTGGATCGATTACTTAGGCTGAATACGAAAAACGTCCACTGGCTATTGCCAGAAAAAAGATTAAATTTGAATTGGAAAGAGTGAAGATACAACTTGAAATAGAAAAGTACAAAGCAATGGAATTTAAGAAAGCAGTGCAACAAAAGAAAAAGATTGACCAAATGAGGATACGAATAGAAATTATAAAGCTGGCCAAGCTATGGTTAGATCGCAAAAAGGAAGAACAACACCTTCAGGGTTTATTGCAAACTATAAATAATTTAAAGATGGTGGAAGCAGAATACAATGCGAAGGTTGTACCTGATTACCTTAATTTTATATAATACTACGTTTGTAATAAAAATCATCCATTTGCATGTATATTTTGCAATACAAATAAATAAATAATCTATATTACAGGTTGCAAAGGCAGTCGAAGAGAGGAGAGCAGAGTTAAGAGATAGACAGATTTTTGGGCGTTCGGGATCTTCAATGCCTAAAATCGATTTATCATCAATAAAAAAACACTGGTATATCCAAAACACAAAAAACCCTTTCGAGCCTTTCAATTTGCCGATGCAAATCCGTACCCGTACCATTGATGCTGGTAAACTGTCTATTATTTAAATCTATATCAGCAACACAACTTTTCTCAAGTTTGTTTTAATTCGCATATTTAGACGAAATGTCAGTTAATAGTTTAATGCTTGAAGAAATGTGCACCGAGGATAACACTACAATGCAGCATGTTCCTTTAAGCAATGCTTCTATCACAGAAGAGGTAGAGGAACAACAAGAGCCTGCGCAATCACTCGGTAAGCGGATAGAAAATGTTTAACTTATACATTAATTAAATACTCAATAGTAGGTTAACAGGGATAAGTTATTTAATTCCATTTATGCTGTGCACCCTTTAGCGTACAAAAGTCCTGACGTTTCTGTAAAGAGTAACACGGCATCGGTAGAACAGAATACTCTTTCACAAAAAATAGATACCATGAATATTCAGGACAATGTAAATCGTAATAAACATGCAACAACGCAAGGGGAAGCTGATTTCAATTATTCTGACAAACAGGATATTCAAACAGTTTCCGATGAAGCAGTCTCAGCCAAAGAAAATGTAATAGAACATAGACAAGCTGATAAAAGAATGAAAGACATTGTTAGAGAAATGGCGGCAGATGCTGTGGAACCGGCAAAACAAGTGCTATCTCCCATACTCGAAGAGACTAAAGTATCAAACGAGAGTTCTGCTGCCAAACATCCAAAAATTACAAACGTTGAAACAGTTCATTATAATTTAAAAAAAGTACATACGGTAGTGCCCGGTTCTCCTTTGGAAAATGGCTCATTCATAGATCAATTTCGCATAAATTCTGAACTAGAAATCAGTAATTTATCTGTATTGTATGATCAAGCAATGACTAATCGAAGAGGTATTTATTTTTGCAGCTTTCTGTTATATAAAACTGTATTTTTAATGAGTAAAATATGGCAGCGGCGAATATATCTGGCAATATATGTTTAGGTTTTCCATTATCTCCTGGAGGCGGAAGCGTAAATGAAGAATCCATGATTGGGCTACAATATCCTTCGGCACGTCATTGTGTCTCTCCAGCTGCGTCGGAACATCAATCTGATAACGGTGGAAATTATAAAGATCCGGCGCAAAAGACCGAAAATAACTTTCCAGCTGCCAATTCGGGTATAATTCATATCTTTAGTTTTCAAATTCATACTGATTGTGTCTACTCTTTTCTTACTGTGGTGCATCCTGTTTCATTTTAGAATTCACTTTTACGATGTTTGGTCAGCGGGGGACTGGAGGCGGGGACAACTTCTTTTAAGATTCTCTTTGCTTTATAAATTCAATAATTATATAAAAATAATCACTGTATTGCAATACACTTTGCGTACATGAATAAACGTTACATTTCTTTGGCACACACATTACAAGTTGTATGTAATATACTGTGGTAAATTGTGTTATATGAGCTAATGTACTTATAAAGGTTTGTAAATACACTATCATTTCATTCATATGTAACAAATACTTATTTTTTACTTTCAGCGAAATTTGTACACTTACGCCAACAATAATGCTAAATTTAATTTGTTGACTTTAGTCTCACATAAAAAATTGGAATTAATCGTAACGTAATGTGTTATTTGCAATATAAATAGGTTTTATGAACACAATGTTCTTAAATTCTTCGAAATAAATGCGTTGTTTCTAAGAAATAAAAGTGAAACTATTTTATTAAACTCGCGGTGCTATTTCCTGATGGTTATGAATTTTCGTATTCTTCTAATTACGTACATCTTAAATATATATTATACATACTCCTCGCTTCAGCTTTTGTATAGAAAATTTTTATGCAATAGAACAATGAACTCTGATAGGCAGTAAAGGTTGTATTGTCGGTAATGCCAGTATTTTTTTATATAAACCGAGTAATATAAAACTATTTCGTTAATATTATTATTTCATGTGTGTACAGAAGCCTTTCCTAAAACCGATTGTTGTCATTTACAAATGATTCAGAGGTTGGTAGTTACAATAAATAAATATTCCTCTTTGCTATTGATAAGTCGTTAATTTTATAGAGAAAAAAAAATTTTTTTCCATATATTCATTATTACACCACTTACAGTTTGTTTGAATCATAAATGTAGCCTTGTTCAAATGCTACAAGATTCAATAAGAATTGAATTTTGTGCGCTTATGTAACTTTGATGTAATGAGTATTATATGAATGAACACGAACGTTAACATTGTTTTTACTTGGAAATTCCGAATAAGCTACTGTTTTTTTTTTTTTTTTTTGTATAAAATGGTTTGCATAATTTTGAATCTCTCGGTCGAACCTAAAGTATATATTCTATTATAAAAGATATAAACGTGTAAACGTATGAGTACGTATTTAAAAGAATTATTAAAATCGTGCATACAATATGTACTCATGAAACAACAAATGGAAAAATCGTGCAAAGTTGTGAAAGTTGAAAAATTAATATGTAATTTTGCTCAAACAAAAGAAAAACTTATAGATTGGCAGCACGTGATATTAATTATTAATTCCTTTATTGGATAACAACGAGGAATAGAAATTAGTATATGGCAGATATGAGTACCCATTATATGCGTATATATTTTTACACATCAGCTCAATAACTTTCCATACCATCATTTTATTTATAAATAATAAATGATTGCACCAGATAGAATCATTCTTTGCAATATTTAAGAAGTCTCAAATTTCTAAGAAATACTTTTTCAAGTCACATATCTAACATGTCGATCAAATTGATGTTTCCAACATTGACCCATAATCAAACGGTTTATTTTTGTTTAACAAGCTATATACAGATAGCGCCTCCGAATGTGTTTTCCGTTTTAACAGTCGAGGCACTATTTGAGTCTTCAAAATAACTGTAAGGTCTTTTCCGACAACAACAAATTCGATCAAAAAGTTCCGTCAAATCACTGCTTTCGGACTCCTGTCTATAAACGCCGCTAGAAGCTTCATCCGTACACACAGCTATGAAAGCTTGTAAATCATTTTTTGGAAAACCATCTCGATAATAAATTTTAATAGTATCATACGCGTCCATGATCACAGATATAAATAAACTAAGGACAACGTAGATATAGAGAGAAATAAATGAATATAAATAAATCCTCGAATACCACCATAAAATTGGTGACTTGAAGGACGTTATCGAAAATGTAGCGAACATGTCATCTCCGTTGATAAGAGCGAAAAGGCACTCTGACGTTGTGGCCAAAGATCGAAATTTCATGTGATACGGGCCCAAAATTAACCATCCGCAAAATGTGAATCCCGCGTAAATTAAAATAGCACATATTAAGAATCGTGCCACTTTTGGAGCAGCTTTTTTCAACGTTAAGATAACTACATTGTACGTTTTAAAGAAACCGAGGTATCTCAAAACTCCAAACCAAACGAGCAAATTACCCGTCCCGAGAAATATACTACAAATGTTCCAGTGATCATTTCCATACTGTTTTCTTTCTATCTGTTCCTTTATGGCAGAACCAATTATTATTAAGAGATCGTTGATAATAATCATTATATACCACAAATTCAAAAATTCTAATTTCCCTTCCATACTTAAAACTTTGCCATAAGTCTTTTTAAAGAAATTTACGGTTTCGAACTTGAGCAATTGCGCTCGGTAAATAGCACGCGAACATAGGATAAGAGAAATGGAGCAAATCAAAATGACAAATGTATTAAGGAGAGTTCTCAAAGCTGACTCAATTTGATTATCCGTAATGTACCGAGTGTCTCCTTTACATTCCAAGCGTTTGGCATCTGCATCTAACGATAGCAGCATTTGTCCATCGTGATCGCGATTGTCAAATATGATCTTGACGTTAAATTGATAACAATCGGGTGGCGTTATTGGGCCAGCAGCCTTCAAATTAACAGTTTTTATCTCGAACGTCAGATGAGCCCTGACCAGGGCAGAAAAATTTATTTTAACATTCCTTTTCGCTAATAATGCTTTGGATTGAAATTTATGAGAATATTTATGCGTAATGTTTATACAAGTTTCATCGATTTCACTATTAAAAATATAACTTTCGTTAAATCCAAATATTATACCTTCTTTGTACTGGTATAAGCAGAGAATGACTGGACCTACCGAATTATCTTCAGCTGTGTACGAATACGAGCCAATCGCATTGCTAAGATTATAATAACCATCCAAGGCATAATCTATGGTTTCATAAAATTCATCTTGTTTATACAGGGCAAGGGGACCGGTAGCAGGAGGGTATGCTGGCACCTGGAAAAATCAAATTTTGAAAGATGTAATTGGAAATATTCATAGTTTAAAAGTTTTAAGGTTTCAATTTTCACATTATGCATACAAAGGAGTAAAATATTATGAAAGAAATCTCACCTCCTGCGTGGCATCCCATCCTCTCAGAAATAAATGAGAGAAGGCAATTCGGTTGTCCCAGGTGTAATTTACATGGGTATAATTGTTATGTGCAAACAAGCATAGCTGCGTCGTAACCAGTACTATTTTAATGACCTGCACTATGAACTTGTATGGAAATCTGCGTTTCGCTTGCCACTTTTCGACAGGATTCATAAAAAAGAATCTAAGCTTTCGTCTCATTTTATCTTCCGCAAATGTCGTGGTATCAAATGTAGTCTGATTTTCGTGCGGAGTCGATCTTCTCTGACTGTAATAAAAATCAGACGTTCAAGCTTCCATGGCAAGAACGGAATTTGTTTACTCTTATCAAATAACACAAGATATCAACACCTACGACGTAGTCATCATCGCATGCAATAATATACTGATACCAGGTTACAGGTATCCAATTACAACAATCTTTAAATTTAATTAGAAAGCATATTTAATCGAGATGACTGTCCCGTGCTCGTTGCTACAAAGAAAGCTTTAAGTAATTAACCGAATGTCACTCCGTGTCTACTTTGTAACGCAGAGTTGAATAGGATTATCGTATGGTACTCACATCGAATCCGCTGCACTAGAACCAAGCAGGCCACTGTCATCCTCGTCTCCGCTCTCGTGACCATGACTCCAGGAGTGATTTCTGAGACCGTTGCCCGGAGTCCTCTCTGCCGGAGTTTTCTTGTCCTCCTCTTGCGGTCCTTTACTCATGTTCCCTCTACTGGAGAACTCGGATCAAAGGAACGACGGTGAACAGTACCGTGACACGGTGTTTCCTGCCGATGTCCTGTCCAATCTTGTACGATTCAGTTCGCAGCTTTGAATAATTTCTTACCAGCTTAGTCGCGACACGTGACCATCCTTGGTTAATGACGACAGTGGTCCGAGTAGGCTGCGACAATGTCGTACTCCGAAACTCGATGCGTACAAATGCTCAAGCGAGTATACACGGATATACGCGGGCGAGACAGCCGAAAACAGCAGTTGCAGTCGGCTGCGAGTTCTACACGACCCATCGGACACAATGAACACGATCAGATCGTACCCTTTGTACGATATCACTGACAACCCGAATGTCGTCCATAGTTGCCATATTCCCCCAAGTCCCTGCAAGTTCCACAGGAGTACTCGCACGTGCACAGTGAGAACTTCTCCCACCATAAACCTTGTTTACTCTAGAACGCTTGTCGAGCATGTCCGGCAGAAACAGGAATGAACTACAGAACGTAAAGCCCCGTGTTCACGTAATTTACATCGCGTACAAAACTTGGGACGTAAAATACCCAGTAATTCGCTGTAAAAAAGCTATATAAATTATCTGGGGTATTTTTTGGATCCTGGTGCGCACCTTATACCGCGACGTGCTGCTCCTCTGCGTGCTACGACGGCACCGGACGGCGCCCGAAAGCTCGCGGATGTAGTAAATTGAAGGCTTAGGTCAACTACGGTGAATAAGCTGACGTACCTGACGAGTCTCGGTGCATTTTGGTATCCGCTGGCGATTGCCTGGTACGGTTCAGTACTCCAACCTGAAAATTAATTAAAAACCAAGGAATGGACCCCAAGGTGGACGAGGACTCCCAACGGAGCGTTAACGACGGCGACTGGATTTGCCCTGAAACTCAGTGTGTATAGCATCAATTGTTTTTGCTTATTGTAACGATTGCCCGAATCTACATACCCGCGTAGAATTCTTTCTCGTCTCGGTATGACTTCACTTCCTACGGTATTCATCCACGACACTAAAATTTATGAGATTTACAGTTTATACCTCTCTAATCCAACATCACAGCCAGACTAGCCTAGGAATGGTTAATTAAGTCTGCTCAATTTCTCATGCAGATGCGGCAACGTCAATTTCGCGCGGCGAAACTCTTGCAACCGTTGTGGCAAAGGTGCGTACGATTATTAAAATCATTTTGTTATATGGACCGTCGAGTATTATTAGAGCTACCGCTTTACAAGTGACAGGTATTTGAAATGTTATTTCTGACTTTATAGAAAGAGGGGAATGCCCAAAAAAGAAAAAATTAGGACAAGAAATTGGGAAGGCGGCAGCAGAGAAGAGCAGAGGATTATTTAGGTAGGCTGGTAATGAAATAAATACTTTTCATTCAGAAATTAAATTACATTTTGGGATGGATGTGCCTTGTGGAACATTGGTAATTAATGAATGCCTTTAATTGCCTAAATGGCATAGTGCGGACGATTGGCAGTGTAACAAATGTGGGAACGTAAACTGGGCACGTAGGCAACAATGCAATATGTGTAATGCTCCAAAATTTGGAGAAGTCGAAGAGAGAACTGGCTATGGTGGGGGATATAACGATCGAGGTATCGTCGAGTACAAGGAACGAAAGGATGACGACGACGACGAGTATGATGAGTTTGGTCGACGTAGAAAGAAGAGAAAGATAGAAAACAGATCCGACGACGATTCTAAAGATTCACGATACAGTAGTACTTCGCGTACTAAATCGAGGGACTTGGATGCTCGTGGTCCCGAAGATGGCGAGGAGGAAGAAGACGAACGCGAGGGCCGGAAACGAAAAGGCTGGCACAATGTAATTTTTATCTACATAGAATTATTCCTGTAATCTTTTTTTTTTTTAAATAACATAAACCTATAATAGTCCTTACAGAACGCACATAATATTAGCAAGGAAGAAAATGGTGTCGCTAATCCCGACGAAGAGAACGAAGAAGAAGAAGAAGACGATGACGATGATTCCGGTGACCTATCAAAATATGACTTGTGCGAGTGGGATTTTGTTGCACCACCTAAAAAAAGGTTAACATAAATATAAACGTTTATTTTTCCTGCTGTTTATAAGCATAACTAATTAATGTTTTATTGAATAGTTCAAACGGAGATGCCACATCATCGGAAGAACGGAGGTCAAGGTAAACATGGTACGATTATTATTGTTATTGAATTTTCTGCCACCTTGAGTTTATTAATTGATATTTTTGTATATTTTGGACAGTCATCAAATTCATACTCTGCAAAATTTTAGTTCGATTAATTTACAGTTTCAATATTTCACGGATGTCAAATGCTTTTAAGCAGAAGTGAACTTTGCAAAGTGAATTACACCTTCAATGAACATAAGTAGCACCCTCGCAAATGCTTTGTGAGATACTAATATAGTTTTGGATTTTGTCCAGGAACGGAGATGACTGTCACGACTCAGGCACATCCAGCCAATGAACGGCTTGTCAGAAAGGGCTTGGCTCGGATTCTAGATATAGAATCACTTGCCAGAACGACGTGTGTACGTCATGCGAGATTTGCCAAATCATACGCACTCCAAACTGGGGATTCGTCCCAGGTGGTGAAATCACCCATCGATGCGAATTTGCAACTGTGTTTCAAAGAGAGAAGCTCGAGAGAGGGAGAGAGAATGCGATTAACCAGAATTTGGCAAAACTCCGAGCAAGGTGGAAGTAACACCTAATACTGCACACTCTTGTTATTTGTAGAGGAGAGCAGGAGAGTGAATGAGAGAAAAAAACGCGAGATTAGGTTGACACGAGAGCCCGTTTTATCGGCTGAGTTTAAACAGCGTTATATCGCGTACTTGGTGTGTTCCGCGTAAAAAAACGAAAAATTACCATGTAAAAAAACCAGCATAAAGGTGTACAGTCTCGTGCCTGCTGGGTCAGTTCCCACGACAAATATGCAGGAATAAAAATTCCTAGTAAAATTATAAGACCACGTTAAAAACGGCGCTCATCCAAAATCAGTCGATAGAATGATGCTTTCGAGTAAATTTAAAGCGCAACGAATTTAGCCTAGGTAGCACCACTCAGTAATCTTATCGTTGGCGCACAGCTATTTGCAGAGGGTAAACTCGCCTCTTAAGGTAGACTTACGTTCGCAATGTTACACGAAAGATGTATTTAGATTCGTGAAAGTGGCCTGGTTAACCCGTTCCGCATTCTCCCGGTACCATTTTCTTGTTCTTCGGTAGCTTCAATACTTTACAAGAATTACGTATTTTACAACGATTACTCCAATCATTTGAACTCGGATTCCATAAACGGTACTCCATGAACTAGTACATTTTTTTTATGGGATCCAGGTTTCCGAAGAGCCGAGTAAATGGTACTCGATTACCCTAGGAAAAATTATAGAAGTCAGTTGGCCCCGACTGAATAGACTTACTACATTCTATTAGAATTTGTAACGATAAAGTCGTGTCGTACCGCTTATAAGCCGGCTATTCGGTCGCAGTTATCAGATTTTTAGTAATGGCAACTACGGATTCTTCCCAAGTGCATAGTACCTTTAATGATACGACGAGTAGAGATTACGCGTGGACTCTCGTCCATTCATGGATCGCTACTTTTCAATCGACCAACACATATTTACGAAGGGCCTTGCTTTTCATACAAGGAAGATTAGAAATAGACGTTTTTATGGACCTTTACCCCCGGCAAAAAAAAACCATAGAACTCAACGTAAAGTTCACAAAGGGAACCTAAATCGTTCGGGTCGACCCGCCGTGAAACGGGAACCCTCGGATTCCTCTTTTTCTCTAATCCACGATTGGCGTTGCGGGTAAAATTCGTGACTGCACTTTCCATCACGTTCCATAAATATCTTGCATTTTAGCAACGCGTGGTATGTAAAAAAGAGACTTTCCATGTACAAGTACGCAATGGCGCAAATTTGTGCGATTTGCGCTTACCCGGCACATGAGAAAATGCAGTCACGATATTTTCGACGAACGGAGCAATTGGTCGTTAGTAAATTAATTTGGGGACATATTCATATCACAGCGTACGCGGGTCGTATTACCACCCTGGTGCAGCTTATCGTTCATAAGGAAGTATTCTTTATGATTTTAAAATGTTGGCAACTCAAAATCGGAGTTTCGTAATCTCCTAGTGAAGCCGGAAATCGAGTCAACCTCTGCCCGCGATTCCACTTTCCGAAAATAGAGTCCCCGGTAAGGTAATCGATGCGATCCAGAATCGAGTTTCATCGACTTCGTATACAAGTTCTTTTCGTGTATCCGGATATTTTCTCCTCTCCTCTCTTCTCGTTAAATACCCGGTGAGGGAGAAGTAAAGATTAAACGATTGTAAATAACAAGGCGCGGGGAAAGCGTTCCCGGTAGTCCGTGACTCTGCCCGTAAACACGTATATCATAAATTTTCTTCCGAAGGATTCGGAATGAAGTAGGAATCGCTTGCGAGAACCCTTTTCGAAGATCGTATTAGGTGCGCGACGATGCGCCTTCTTCTCGAAGGGTTCGAAAGAACGCGGAATAAGACACGTATCGGCCCGGTTCGTCTCGCATGTACGTGCTTTTGCATTCGCTGGACGCGTCCAGGCGAGGAAAAATTCCTTTGTATCGAGCAACGGAATCGGCCATTCGCGTGCTCGCTCCACGGGAAATCGTCCCGTTCCCGCGATTCCGCCGTCGTACGGTCGCAGCGATCGCGTGGGAAAATGTACTCCCACCTTCTTGTAAATATCTTTATTTTTCATTTATAATAAAAATCATTCATCAACAACATAATTGTCCTTAGTCAATTATTCATCTTAAACCGTTATGCGCTACATGGGAACGAGGAAAGGGAATGGTAGTGATTATGCACAGAATTGGTCACGAAGGAGATCGATGGGGGAGGGCAGATAGCGCGCACACACGCACGACGAATTATTACAGGGGTTACGTTGCATCGGGTCAGGTATGTATGTATAATCGTATATATTATGTACAAGTATCAATTTGAGCTTTGCTTGATCGTGTTAAGTAATTGTAAGTGACGGGGGCGCGAGATAAGTCATGGCGCGCTGGTCGTCCGCGAGTTCGTCTTTCCCGCCCGTGGGTCACGTGACGCCCAAGATGGCGACCCCGCGAAAAATCAAATCGCGGCTTCATTCCAATCCTACCTTTGCGACTCGCTATTTGAAACACCTTCGAGAACCACGAGCGGAACCTCGCGGCGCGCACGCCGTCCTTCGATTTGCCATATTAATCGCCCCTGTCGAAGAGCAGACTTTATTCGACCTCGAGTTTATTTACAAGATGACGCGACGACGTCGAAGGATCCGGGCGCGCCCTCATCTCGTTCCGAAAATCTGGAAATCTAACGGTTCGATCGGTCAATTTGACTTAACGGGGTCACTTCTTTCATTTCAGGAACCGCCACGTGCAGTTAACGACTCGGAGAAGTGCAAGCAAAACCACGTATGAAAGGAAGTCGGGAGAAAAGCACGAGCGGAACGTCCCGCCTGTCCGAGGACTCGAGAAAAATTAGCAACGAGTGGGAAGAAACAAAAAAAAAAAATTCGAGAACTCGAATGCAGAATATTATACGACAAGTCTTCGATGAAGGTACAACGTAAAGCGCAGGGCGCGAATCGCACGTGCTTTAACATATATCTCATATTCGAGGGAGAAACGATAACGACGATCCGGGGAAGTGAACCCTCGATTAATCGTAAGACGCGCGTCGTGGAGTGGCAATCACAAATCGACGAAGCGTCGTACATTCGATACAGGGGTGTCCCAATTACCTAAATACCGATGCTCGCACGTATTTAAGGAGATTTAGGTAAATATCGAAATTCGATACTTCTCGGGTACCGGTATTCCGATAATCGTCGGTATACCCACGACTCGCACGAGATCGGGACGAAGACCAAGTAATTACCGATATTTCGGTACTCATCGACGGTCAACGATTACGGACATGCTCTCTCGTTATTATACTGTACAAACGTCCACGAAAAACCAATGTCCATATTTTCAATAACACGAAAATGAACGTAACTTGATTAGCTATAACGGATCGAGAAACACATCTCGCGCATTGTCGCTCTCATTTCCTAGCTAGTCGCGTTATCGGTACCTGAAATCGAGTTTCGATAATTACTGAAATCGTGGAGATTAATTTGGATCCAAGACCGAGAACGGATTCGCCAAAGTCGACCGCTTAGATTAGTCGGGACAAACCACTGATATCAACGATTCCTTACTTATGGCGCGTAAAAACCTCGCTTTAAATTCGGCAGGAATCTCTGCTCTGCTCAGAGAATAATCCCAATGTAACATCCATCGAACATCGGCGTTATTATTGCTTTACTATATCATCCGATCACTCGTACGCACCTCCATTTGGATCGACGCGGCAAAGCTCTAGGAAACCTGCGTGGCGACGTCGCGGGGCAATTTCTAAGTGTATTGACGAAAACGAACTACGTATATTAATTTAAAAAAAAAAAAAGAAGAAGAAGAAGAAGAAGAGCGGTATAGAAACGGTACAAATACATCAGTCCTGGCTCGACATGAATATTTACACGCGAGAATTCAACTAGGCGTAATAATTTTTGCTCCACGTTGCCCAGTCTCGTGCTAGACGTTCAATAATTTCCCGTACATCGGAAGCGATCGTACCACCGTCTAAACTTAATACTGGATTATTTTACTGGAATTAGACTCGCGTAATCTCAGATCCATCCTAAAAGAGGTTCAATAGTTATCGAAACCTAATTCTCAAGACTCGATACATAAATAAATATTTATCACTGAAACGTCGGTAAATATCGAACTTCTTCGTCATGCCAAAACGTACGAGTACCGCAGTCATCGAATACCGGTATCGTAATTCTTCAAATCCCGAACACCCCCACGGAGGATGTAAGATCGTTAAACCAAAAACGAGACGTATCGAGGAATCGGAGAGACATACAGGGTGACTCAACAACGCTGGAGAGAAAATACCTCAATTTCGATTAAGAGTGGAATAAAACGCAAGAGCGAAGAGGTGCGTGATATCATTTGTACCAACTTTCCATGTTACTTGCACTCATTTTATCGTAACGGCCAAGCCCGAAAGTGCGCGCGTTTAAAAAGGATCGGTCGAATCGATCGTGGTGCGGAATAATATATACGTATACCGGGTCGCGAAGGTCCTGTTTTACGTTGCCGGGTGCTCGCCACGCTCGACATACAGAAATATACGAAACTTCGGCATATAAATATATATTTTATCTATATACAAAAAAAAAAAAGAAGAAGGTTCTCGGAGAAGTTTCGTCGGATAGAGAGCCGACCCGCGAGAGCGGTATAAATGATATCATTTGTGCCCGTCCACTTGTATTTCGTACCTGCTTTCGCGAAACCGAGGACGCGCCTTGACTCACCCTGCAAACGGGTCGTTCACTCGCTATCACCGATACTACTTGGGCATGAAGAACTGTTGAGCGTGCGAATGGGAGTGGGCGTGGGCATGGGCATGGGCATGGGCATGGGCATGAGCGTGGGCGTGGGCGTGCGAGTGCGCGTGGGAATGGGCGTGCGAATTGGGCGGGTGCTGCATGGAAGGGTGGGCGGGCGCCGGCGGGGGCGGGGGAGGGGGCGGAGGTCCACTGCTCCTGGTGCCGGTGGCGTAGAGCTGCTGCTGGAAGTTGTGGAACTGCTGGGCGTAGTTGGGGTCGGACATGGTCGGGCCGCCGCCGACGAAGGGACTGTTCTTGAAGTTCCCCGTAGCACCGCTCCCCATGCTGGGAGGCAGAGGCTGGCTGGCGTCCGGGGGCGGCCCCAGGGGGCCCATAGGGCCGCCCTTGCCGGCGGGCACGTACATGCCGGGGTTGGGCTGGTTGGGCTGGACCTGGGGCACCATGTCGGGAGGGAAGACTTTGTCGGGGTCCATGGGGCTGCCCGGGAAGACGCCCCCGCCCACCATGTGCTGCATGCGCATGAGATTGGGCTGACCCCTCATGTTGCCGGCGATGGTCCGCATGGAAGGGTGGATGCCGCCGACCGAGGAGGCTCCCATGGGCTGTCCGTCCATGCGCGGCGAGCCGCCCATGCCGGGGATCCCTGAGACCCCGCCGACGCCGGACATCCCGGAGTGCGGTCCCATTCCGCCGGGCACGCACCCGTTGGGGAAGTATTGCAGGTTCACCGAGGGGCTGGACATCTTGGACTCGAGGCTCGAGAGGGGGTTCGTGAAGCGCTGCAAGAAGTCCAGGCTGGGGGGGCCGCGCGGGGTGTGGCCTACGTTAGGCCTCGCGGGTAAGTACTGGATCGTGTTGGGGGCACTGGGCTTCACTTGGACGTTGGCACCGTTGTAGGGGCTGGCCCCGGCCCCGGGGCCTTGGGGTCCGCCGGGCCCGCCCGGGCCGCCGGGTCCCTGGCCGGAGCCGGGGCCGGGGCCGGACAGCGGCCCGCCGTGGCCCATGAGTCGCGGCGGCCCCGCCGGGTGCGGCTCGCCGGGGTACCCTCCCGGATGCATCATCCCGTGACCCATCATCGGATGGCCGGTCACCTTGTTGGGCACTCCGGGACTTCCTGTGTGCGGCGTGGGACTGTAGCTCGTCGGCGGGCCACCCAGTCCCAAGCACATGCCGCCTACGTCGGACGGCTCCGGATTGTTCGGCCCGCTCATGTGGCAGCCGTTCATCTCGCCGATCTGCATCATGTGCATGCCGTGCGGATTGAACGGATTCATCATGCCCGAATTCCCGGAATGTATGGGGCCGTCGTTCGTTCCCAGGGCATTGCTCGCCGCGGTGTTCGTCAGCTGCTGGCTCATCTGCGCCAGGGAAGTTATGGGGTCGAAATGATTCGTGCTCATGCCGCCGATGCTCCCCAATCGAGAGCCTATGTTGTTAGGATTGAGGGGCACGTTGTCGGACGGCTGGCTGACGTTCGTCGACGCCTGCGACCTCACCCCGCAGAACGACGGGGGACCCAGCTGCTGTTGCTGCGGTTGCTGCTGCTGGGGTTGCTGTTGAGTCTGTACTTGAGGTGGTGCCGAACCGCCGGTATTTCCGACGCTGCAAGGCGTTACCGTTGGAGCCTGCGACTGCTGCTGCTGCTGTTGATGGTGATGATGGTGCTGCTGTTGCTGCTGCTGCTGCTGCTGCTGCTGCTGTTGTCGTTGTTGTTCTTGTTGCTGCTGCTGCTGTTGTTGTTGTATGTCTTTGGAGGACGGTGGGGATGTTTCCAGCTTCGTGTTGGGAGAGACGGGCACGGTTCTGGGAGGGCCCATGCTGTCCTGCAGGCTTGCCCCGTGCGGAATCGGACTGCTTTGAGCGCTCGCGCTTGCCTTGTTCGCTGCAGCTTGTGCCTGTGTTTGTGCGTTTTTCACGGAATCCACGGGAGTATGCGGGGCACCGTTCCCAGGAGTGTGCGGGGTCAGGGGGGTATGCGGACTGTGCAAAGAACCTCCGAAGCCACGACCCGCGCTGTCCATCGACGGACTCGCACCTTCCGATCTGCCTGGGAACTGACTGGAGCTGTCGACGCTGCCCATTATCCTCCCGGACATCTCCGTATTGCTGCCGGTATTTCTAATGAAACAGAAATTCATGACTCTATGGATGAACTTAACAAATTAAACAAATATTTAACGGTTTATCGTCACGTGTTGTAAAACGTAAAACGTAAGGATAACGAAGAAAGCACTTACGCAGGTAAACTGCCATCTTTCAAGCTCGTGTTGGGTTGCTTTTGTATGGTCAGTTCCTGACCCTCGAACGCGTTGAGATACTGAATTTGCTGAGGACTAGGGACCGGCATCAAATTCGCTTCCTTCACGCCCGTTGGGTTTCCAGCTCCACCCTGTTGCTGTTTCTGCTGAGCCAGGGACTGCAGCGTTCTACAGAACATGCCGTCCACTGTGCACAGCAAATACAGGTGTGATTATATTAAATTTTTAATAACCTCGTAGTAGCAAAATTCATACCGAATCAACAATTTGACATGACCGCTGATTCTCATTGCTATATTTCGTACCATTTGGTGGCGGCTGACCTGGGGGGAAATCCAGGGACTGTTCCTTCTGCGGAGTAGCTCCACCGGGGCTGAGAGCTGCGAGGTGGGAATGCGAGACCGGGGTTCCAGGGTTGCTGTGATTCAATCTGGTGGTCGAGGCCGCTGTGGCGGCGGCCGCAGCCGCAGCTGCCGCGGCCGCCGCCGCGTTGCTCACTTGACCAGGATTCGGCGAATCCTGACTAGTCGGACTTTGTCCCGGTAAGTGGCCCGACCTCTGGCCACCTAACTGAAATTGCCGATTTCCGGTACAATCCGCGGGCGAGTTCAGGGCGGAACTCGCACGAGGCGACGGCAACGACAGGTTGCTGGTTGGATTGTTCGGTGAAGATGGATTTGGACTCTGAATGGCAATCGGGACGCTCGCCGATCTCGTCGTTTGGTGATACGGAGGTGGAGGTCCTTGGCTGCGTTGCACCGGCATTCCGACTCCTACGCCAACGCCGACCATCCCGGCACCTCGCAAAGGAATCGGACCCGGACTACCGACTCCCACCTGCAAAAAAATATCACTTCAATGTTCACGGTAGTCACGGACGCTTCCGTACAGTAATATCACGTATTGGCTTCATATAAAAAAATTAATCAATAATAAATTCAATATTATCGATGAATTGCTCACCTTGTTTTTCCCATCGAGAAACTGATGCTGCAACTTGTGCCAATCCATGGCGGAGGCACACTGTTGATTCGGTGCACCAGTTTGTGCGTTCGTCGAAGCTACCGATGACACCGGCGTCACCTGGGTAGAGTCAAGAGGCCCAGAATTTGACTCCTCCTTCTCGGGAAACAACATCATCTGCATTTTCCTTATCGTCGCCAGCTGCACTTCTCGATGTTGTCTTTGTTGAGGAGTAAGATTCTCGTCGGGGACTTTGACACCTTGAAGAGAAGGTTGAAGGTTGCCTGAACTCGGACTCGTGGTACCTCCTAACAAACTCGGACTATGTCCCATCGAAGCAGTGGTCGGAGGTGGAGGATTTGCTGCAAGATCGATCTCTCGTTACCGATACTTCTTGCAATAAAGTGAAACTTAGCAAGGAATTTACAGGCATTTGTGATTCAATTTCAGGAACAATTCAGAATTCTAAATAACGAGGACGATCGTTACTGCTTATATTTGAAATAAACCGGATTGTGGAATATTATAAAATCTTCAAGATTTTCTCAACTTTTTTTATCGATTACAAAATGTAAAAAAGAAAAATAAATAAAAACAAAACACTAGTTCATTACCTGGGTTGTTAGGAGAGCTCGGTACGAGGCAAGGCACGTCTATATTTGGATCGTCTAAAGACGATTCGGTATTACCCAGGGTACTGCTGCCATTCAAGTTCCTGATATTGGGTTGTTCGTTCCAAAAGGGCGAAGCGTTGGGGTCAAGGGCTGGCAAGTCCGGAGGTTGCTCCGTAGAAAAGCCACCATTCGGACCTCCTTGTTGGCTTTTCTGCTTCATCACCGCAAGATTACTGAGCCATTGCGCGGGATTTTGTCGAAACTGATTCACTTTGTTTGGATGTTTCTGCAACATATGACATTATTTTAAATTTATACGTAGTACCTATTTCTATAACAAAAAACATTATAGTTACCTCAAGGTACTTCTTAGTACCCGGTTGTGCACAATGGTAAGCAATGATGGACGGAAACTGTCCTTGTAAGACTGCTTCCGCACCCTTATTTGCCAAAGTAGTGGAGAACACAAATATTTGACTTTGTTGTTGCATGTACTGAGCATCTCCGCTACCAGTTGCAGTTCCCATCTGCTTGCCGAGAACATTGCTTACCAATGGTTGGATACCATCCGTTGTAATTCCTACGTTACCCGTGCAGTCTGTTGACAAAAAGTATCGATACAGCATACTATATTGTGTTAAATTTACTAATTATCTCTGTTCCGATAAACCCTTTGGATGTAGTGAAAGTGCATAAAAACATCCATGCAGTACCGATACTTTGATTTTGAGCATATCGTGCTCGTGCAAGAATAAAAAAATTGTATTGCTAATACCAATCACTAAATCACAATTTGCTATCGATTTACCTCCGGTAAGATCATCCGAAGGATCATTACGATCGCTTTCCTGCTTCACCGAGTTTAAGATAGGCTGATTCCCGTTGCTGTTCTGATTATCAGCAGCCATGTTACCTTCGCCGTTGGCTGTATCGAGATTGGAATCTCTAGGACACTCGGATGCATCATCCGCTGTAGATTCGTCATTATTATTGGCAATACCTTCCTCCTTAATCTTGACGGAATCCGTATCGGGTTCTTCCTTAACAACAGCTGTGGGTACACAGCTGGGCTCGCTGGTCTTCTTCTCGGTTTTCATGTTAGCAGGCTCTTGGCGAGCTCGTCGTCATCAGACTTTTGCGTGTCTTGCACCTTTTGGAGTCATGGCTCTTGGTATACACGTTATGCACGTTTCTACCGTACTCTTCGCACTACCAAAAAATAATTAAAGGCTCACCAGGGGACTCTTTTCGTGGATGGCATCACGACGATTCCTGGTGACTCCTCGTTAATTCGACTTTGCACTTTCTTGCACATTTAAATGGTTATGGTCTAAGACCAACGTATACTGCCTTTTGACCAACCAACTGAAACGTGGTATTCCTTGGGGCCGTATACCACGTTTACAAATACAATTACTTCTTGGCCAGTTGTAACGACTTCTAGTACAACTATTAAACTACGACGACGATTACATCGTCTTTCTATCATCGATCGACGAATTCGTACTTTTTATCATTCGTATAGGTTGTGATGCCCCGTATAGCGGTATAGTCCACGGGAACGCTACGTAGTAATTTGAAACGTAGTTGCATACAGTCCAGTCCAGCTAACTGCAGTCGTCTACGTTAAAACTTTTGAACAGCCGAGATACATCCTCGACCAGATGTTACGAACGCGGTAACACATGGAGCAGTTATTTCACACGTTTTTGCCCCGTCTCACATGACGCAGGTGTAGACACAGCAGCAAGTCCAAGAATTAGAAAAGTACCGAGATGTCACTTTTGACTCTTGGCCCGGCGTGCAGGTGACTCCTACATCTTGGTTCGCGACCCAACGTAGACCCTCGAAAGGCAAATGCTCGTAGGTGTCCGGAGGAGCTCCCGGTGAAATATTCTGTGGGCAACTGCGAAAGGCAGGCTATCTCTCACCGGTGGAGCTGCATTCACAGCCTCACGGGCTGGTTGCAGCGATTTCCAGGCCCGCTTCGCGCCCGGCAAGTTGTAGAACGCGATCACCTCACAGGTGCTCCTAGGTGGTCCCGGTCACTGCGCGTATGCTCGGCGCATAACCGCGCTCGGCCTCGTGTCGCTCGGTTCGGATTCAGCTGTGAGAGCGTAGCACAGGTGTAGATATAGGAGCGCGTGCGGGAGCGGGGAAAATAACGAAATGTCACCCTCTCCTTCTGGGCGAGCGCACGGCGCGTTCCTACCTCTCGCCGGGCGGCTCTCGTCTTTCTCGGGCCGTCGTCCCCGAGTTCCGGCGCTTCGCAACTCGGCCGCTCTCGTTCCTAACTTACGCCGAGTTAAATCTCTTCGAGTCTCCCGAGAGCATTGTTCCTCAACTTTATTTGTCACTTCATGGTCGCTTTATTTATTTCTTTTACGCACGGCTGCCAACTGCCACTCGAAAGTTGGGCACCGTTTTAACGGCGCCAGAGAGGGACGCCCTTACGCGCATCGAATCGGAGCGAGAGAGAGAGCCACCTGACTCGTCGAGCCATTCGATCGCCAGCAGGCCTACTATTTTGGTGTACCTTCCGCTAAATTTCTACCCTCTTTCCGATTTATCGCGAGGTATTCTCCCTCTCTCCCTTCCTTTCGGCCAACCACATGACCGCGTCTCGCTCCCCACTTCGAGTCTTCTCCCGCGAGCTTTTCCGACTTCTCTTGGATTTTTGAAGCGGCTACGCGCACGTTATCTCGTTGCATCGTTTCTTCTCCGTTCTTGAGGATCGACGATTAGTTTACTTGAAATTACGCACCTGTGAAATTAAATTTGGAATGCACGCATACGCGCGCCATTTCCAAGTTCGTGCAAGAACGTTCCACAGTTGGTATGCAAGGTTGAACGGTGTGGAAACGATTGAGTTTCCATGCGAGATCGTAAAATATAGACCGAATGTATTCGAAACTGGTTGGTCAATTCCAACCAATCGTCGGAGGCCATGTTTCTATATGTAGAGAGCGACCGGTCTTGTGCTGCCCCCGGGTGGTTGGTACGGGCGTCTAACGTACTTGCCATCTGTTACCTCTCAATGGCCGTGATCCAGCTTCCGGATTGGGCGAGGCTGGACGTTATGGATAGATAATGGCGTTTGGGTGAGCCGCCCGAATTCTTCACAGAGGACAGCATGGGATAGCCAGTAACCTAATCCGTAAGCGATTTTCTAACTCACTTTCGGATACAACCGTTGTGATTTTTAAGATTAAAAAATAAACCCGTCAAAAGGGTTGCTGAGTATAAAAATGAGCTTGGTAGCGTATGATAGCAGCGACGACAGTACGGATGAAATTGAGAACGTAACGGAAGTTAAAGATTTAAAAGCCTCAGAACTATGTTTACCTGCCACTTCGAAACAAAATTCTGAAAATTCCGCTGCAATTGTCAGCAGTTCTGTAGAAAAATATGTATCGAGTAAGTCAGAGAACCCGACCGAATCACTGTTTGGTAATTTGCCACAACCAAAGACAATTCGGTCAGATATTTTGAACGAAGCTGAAGTTGATATCTTGTCAAACAAGGTTAAAAGGAAAGGCTGGGAGAAACCGGGAAAGAAAGACCATGTTCCCGTTAAAATAACTCTTCCTTCGTTATTGCAGGTTTGTTTGAGTATAAGATTGGTATTATGTATTTAATTATTCCTTGACAAAGTAATTAAAGTTTTATTCAATTTTTTCAGTTTAAGGATTTAGAAGAAGATAATGAAAAGAAACGTAAAAAGGTGGAGCCGTCAAAGGTTTGTATTTGGATAACATCAATTTATTTAAATCTATATTATATGTATGATGATGTAATGTGTTGTGTTGAATATTTTTTTTTTAGAAAGGAACAGGTCTTTTTGCTATTCTGCCACCACCTAAAGGATCGATAACAATGACGTCAAAATCTTTAATTCCAAATGTTCTCAATAAGAAAATTTTAAATGAACAACAGCCTAAAATTATGCATTCAGAGAACAGAAATTCTGGTTTGCTTCCAAAATTAAATACTAGAGTATCAGTAGATGTAGATTCATATTTGGAGGAAGAGGAAGTTAACGGTGAACTATGTGAATCTGGTAAAATTGACTTTTTTTCCTTGTCCGAGGAAAAAATCTTACCAAATTCCAAGCCTTTATTAGATGATGCAACTTCCATACTTGAATCTACCAGTATTAATAAATTTCAGTCAGTGATTAACGTATCACATAATGATGTTAAAAATGAAATTTTGACAGTCGAAAATAGTAATTACATGCAAACCGAATGCAATACAAATTCTACAGTTAATGTCCCAATTCAAGGAAATACAGCAGAAACGTTAACTACTAGTGTTTATGATTTACCAAGAGAAGAAATTTTACTAAAAAATAAAGCAGAGATTGGTCCAAAATTACCAGTGCCAGAGCAGGAATATAATTTAGATTCTGAAGGAAATTTAGCTTTTGATGAAAAAGCTATAGAATATTTATGTGGTAGACGCGGTGTGAAAAGGAAAGAGAAAGTAATGGATGAAGCAAATATTATTGAAATAAATGGAGAAGACATCAAGCCAGATGAAAGGGAATGGTTAGTTAAGGCACTTACAGAGGAACCTGCAGAAAGACCTATATCTATGCAGTCTGCGGGACCAAGTTCTCAGGCAAAAAAGAAACATCAGATAACATATTTAGCACATCAAGCTAAAGTTATGGAAGTTGAATTAAAGAATCAATGGGCACAAAACCGACTAACAAGGAAACAAACACAATCGAAATATGGATTCTGAACATGTATATTATAAGAAATTGTACAAATAAAATTTCATTTATTCTAAAAATTTTATCATGAATACAAAATTTAGACATATAAACAAATCATGCAAGGTAAATACAGGCAGGTTGAGTCTAGTAACTTGTATGAATCAGTGGTAGTTTTTAATCAATGGCGATGATAAAAATATATCTGTAATTAGTGTGTTCATATCGTCGAACCTTAGTTTAAGTATTCTTTAACATTAATTTATTAATTTCATCGTATTCTCTTTGTTTACTTTCAAGGAGTGCTCTTGCTTGCAATAAATTAGGTGGTAGGTCGCTATAATAACTTAAAGATTGATTTAACTCAGATAAGGTACCTGTTAATTCCATATAACTTTTGAATTTATTTAGAATAACAGCAGAATCAAATTCTACAGCTTGCATATCATTTAACTGTCCCTTTAATTGACTAATTGTTTCTCTATAATCATTAATTTTTGAGGTCAATAAAACATGATTTGGATATTCATTTTCTGCTTGATTATGGGCTTGTTCTATTTGATTTTCAAGCAAAGTGACAGCTTCTTGAATCGTTCCAAGTTTCTTCTGCCAAGATGCATACCTCTTAAATACAGCTTCATGTTTTTGCTTTAAAATTTTTTTTTCCCATTCACTTTTTCTTTTTTCGAATTTCTTTCTTTCTTGAGCGATTGCTAATGCTGTTTCATCGAATTCTGATATCCCTTCAGATTTAATAATTAAACACATCTTTTGTAAGCCTTCTTTAATGTCATTAGGCAGTGTTTTTGAATTAATTTCTAGTTCAGCTAATAACTCAGAAATTTCCTTAATTAAGACACCATTTTCAGTGACAGTTTCAGACATAGCTTCTTTAAGTAGTTGTATTTGGGTGTCATCTTCAGATAAGATTTTTGGATTATGCCTTGATGTACCGTCGGCATTAGATGTAATACTACTATTAGATCCAGTTAAGGATACCGAATCTCCCTGAAAAAAATTGAACGTATTGAAAATTGCGTTTCACCTCTGTTATATTTTTATTAATTAAAAACCGCGTCTCACCTCCTTGTTATATTCCATTGTAGGAATAATTTGTAATATTCTGTTTACTGCTCGTTAAACAATATTTTTAGAGTATACACCCTCTATAACGCTGCGGTTAAATAAAAAAAATATTCCAGTCAGATACAAATTTATCTTACGAGTCGTCATACGCAAATCAAATCAAAATCTGTTTAGCCATGTGCCCAAAAAATAACATAGATCAGAAACCGGTATTCAATATCGCGAGCTGGCCATACCGCCATTTTGTCCAATACCAGTCACGTTTGGATTTACCATGGAACAAGTTGTATGTATGTCCATCATAATCATAGAACAGTTCAATAGGGGGCCGCTAGATGTCTGACGACGGTCGAAAGTGTGAGGGATCGAGCGTGTCTTGCCTTCTTCTATCATGGGCAATAGGCGTTACGGTCAGTTACGGTTGTGTGCATACGTGAGCTGTGGCAAGCGCGGGTGTCCATCATGAGTCAGATCTCATGGTTGCTTCGCGTTTCGTAATTAATTCCCCCCGTCGGAGAAAATATGAGGCTCTGATCGCGAAAACTTGGCTCCCAGCCCCTGGGTGGGTTCGGCGTCCTGCGAGAATGGCTCTCGCGCTCCGGGCTCGAATCTTCGGCAACGAATTCAACCTTCTTTGCGGCCACCGTCTTCGTACTTCGCGTCTTCTACCTCGCGATCGTGACCTCAGCCCCATACAACTTAAGCATCTCTTTCCTCGGGGTTTGTAGGTAATTCAGCGTAAGCTTTTAACCTCTACTTGTACAACTAGTCTTCAAAATTTTTCGCTTAACAGGGTGTACCTTACAACGTTCCGATCTGGTAACTCCATTCACCTTTTCATGAATTTTTGCAATCGCTACCGAAAAGTACATGTTACCTTCATGTTTTTGTTATCAAATTAATTTTTCTTATCTTTGGCCGTTATGGTCACCATTTGTAATTATTTTCAGGTTTCATACAGTATCGGGTGAATGAGGGAAGAGGCAATGGATCAGACAAGGAATAGACCGAGTAGACCTCGACTGCGATCACATGGTAACTCAGCCCGAGTTCTTGTATTTGACCAAGCGGAATCAGAAGAAGCACGGAGCAGTATGGAGCCTGAGTTACCTCGTTGTCCCTTACCTCTAAAAGTGGAAAGCAAGGAAGCACCCGTTCGACCTGGTCATTACTTTGTAATTTAATCTGTAAATGTCATTAGACTAATTGTTACCTTCTATACTCTTTCTTGCTTTTATATTTATGCTTGAAAATATTTTTCATAACTTTTATTTTATTTTTAAAATATTTCTAAAATTTTTAGTTAGTAGCGAGTCGTCAAACCTGGCTCGCATGCGAAATTCTGCTATTGGTAAATCGGCACCATCTCTATCCGTGCAGGTGAGTCTTACTATAATAATTCTTAAAGATTTGTTTAGAATAACTCTAAACTGAAAAAATTCTGTATGTATAGCGTGACTTCAACATTCCTCGGCGTATGGCGAAAGCTGTTCACCGTAAATCATTCATAGCAACAACTTCTCCCACGTTACCAAGATGTCATTCACCCCTCTCTGGTAAGAATGTTTAATTTTTCAATATGATCTGTGGAGTGCCTGAATAAGTATTCTGAGACATTAATGAGTTTACTTTAACGGCAAGGTAACGCTGTAATAAATACAGGAGTATAGGTCTTGGAGGGACTGCACCAAATATAATATACGTGCATTGACCAAATGAAGCTGTTGCATAAACATTTTGGCAAGGGTTCATTATTTTTGGATGCAAGAATTAGTTAGTAGCACGTATTGCAATATCATTTTAGAGATCAGTGAGAATGTGCTTTTTATAAATGTTATTACAGCACGTATGTATACCATAGACTCGGGCGAGATAAGTAGTAGCATATCCTCTGCATTGACAGTCAATTTCGTAACAGAGTTTAAAAATAGAACACGTATAGTGCTATATAAGTTACACATTTATTACATAGATAATGTGGACCAGTATATACATATGTCAAAGTCGTCATTAGACTTTCTTTCAATTAGATGTGGGATGGAGCTGTCGGTTGTCAGTGCTTCACGACGACAGGGTACACGATATAATTAGGGAAAAATTTTATTAACGATACCGTATTTCTATTATTTACTATAGCTGTATGATAGTTCATTAATTTATTTATGCTTATTTCCCTCTATAGCGTTCGTCCCGATTGTAGGAAGCCCCCTAGAGAGTCCTAGGATGTCATCCAGCCCACATTTTGCTTTTGCTCCGATTAAAAGGTATCTATTCCGCACCTATTATTATTTCTTTCGCTGGTGTAACAATGATAAAGTTAAAATAAGTGATAATGTTAGATGTATTTATTTATTTATGTGCAAACATGAATGTACGTTCAAAGTATTCAATGTACTTCTGATTTGTTACGTTACTCTTCGATATATAATAGACAAAAAATAATTGTGCCAAATCTTTACAAGTAGCGGACAATATGTGGACAAACTGCAGGGTATTGAATTAAGACATTTAAATGTTTATTGCAATGTTTAATATTGAAGAATCGGTGCTGGTGCTACAGCAGCAGGGGACGGTAGAAGGTGGTCAGTGGCTAGTTTGCCGTCTAGTGGATATGGAACCACACCTGGCTCCAGCAATGTTTCGGTGAGCGAAGAAATTCCTTTTTTAATATTATTAATTGAATGGATTTGCACGATATTTGCTATTTAAAAAATGGTCATGTATGTACCATCAGTCGCAGTGTTCGAGCCAAGAGCGATTGCATCAATTGCCAAATGTCCCGACCAAGGACGAACTTCGCATGCTGTCGTGCCACTTTTCCAAGCCAGGAACGCCCTGTTCATCGCACCCGGGGTTCCCTGGATCCAGCATATCCAGTATATCCAGTATACCAGGATGCGTATCCTTGGGTCTGGACGAGGAAGGCCGTAGGTCACCCTTACATCGACCACGATCCCGCAGCTTGAGGTATTTAGTTCTTAACTTTAATGGAATCACTTTTTCTTCCATAATCTATTATATCTGAGATTTATGTGAAAGGTAGTTAAAATTACATTCATGCTCTAAAAAATTCTACTCTAATTGCAGTAGTCCCAGTCGTTCGCCAGTTCTGGACAGTGAGATCGTCATGATGAATACTTTATACAAGGAACGGTTTCCAAAGGTACTTGATATTTAAAATAGTAAATTTAAAAAGTTAAAAAATAGAAAATGATAAGTAGAATATAATTGTCAATTACTGAAAATTCAGTAATCATCGTGTCGTCGAACGCTTAAACGAAAGAAATATTTTTCTTTGTCGAATGATTATCTTTTGAAAATGGTTGGAGGAAACAATACCGAGGTCAGCTGGAAAGACGTTTTGGCAGATGGCCAGACCATCGTAGTGGAAACAGAAAATTCTTCAGATTTTATCTAAAATAACACGACTGCGCGTCATCAAGACTCGTAATATTCTCCTCATTATGTTCCCCGAGGTCGTGTGCCTGGCCTAAATTCCTTAGGATCAAGCACCGATAATAGGAAAAGTCAACAAGACCACGCTGGCTCCTAGAACGATACACTTTCTAGCGCTTTAATTTAGAACGGTTTAAAAAGAAACGATTTATTGCTCACAGCTAATAGACATTGCATGACTTGCGTAGCTTAAGTATGATCGAATAAATGAATAACACATTAATACGCTGAATGCAGTATTTTTTAAAGCATAAATAACGCAAATGAATATATGCATACAATTTATTTTGTATGGCTCAGGCGACGCAGCAGATGGAAGAACGCCTTACGAATTTCATCAACGAAAACAAAGAAATCGACGAATACGAAGTAGTTACGCACATGGCACAGGATTCTTTGCCAATTTTGCGTTTTGTTCATCATCAAGTCATCGAAATGGCCCGTGACTGTTTGCAAAAATCTCAAGAGAAATTAATCACGTCCAGATACTTTTATGAAATGAGCGAGAATTTGGAACATCTGTTGATGGAGGTTGAGAAATGGAGCATACGAGATTTAATTTCATTACTTTTTATTTTAATATCATATTTAAACTTCGTTTATTTTTCAGACTAAAGATAAGTCTTTAGAAGCTGCAACGCGTTTAACGGGACTTATAAAGAAATTGCTTCTTGTAATATCTCGTCCAGCTCGATTGTTGGAATGCCTCGAGTTCGATCCAGAAGAGTTTTACCATTTGTTGGAGCAAGCCGAAGGTCAAGCCAAATACAGCGTCGGAATTAAAGCCGATATTCCCCAGTACATAATTAATAAATTGTCATTAAATAGAGATCCTATTTCAGGTAGTTCGTTTTGTCAGATATTTTTTTTTTTTTTTTTCATTTCTAAGTGTAACTTTATTTGAGATCAATATATTTTTGCAGAACTGCAAGAAGATCTAAACAAGCTGGAAGATTCTGCAAGTTCCAGTGACAGTAATTTACAACTCACGTCTACGAGTTCTAACAAGGATGACGATAATAGGTCGCAGCGAGTACCTTGTGAGAATGATTACGAAGTATTGAAACTTATCAGTAATGGGGCTTATGGTGCGGTATACTTAGTAAAAGAGAAAACTACTAGACAAAGGTTTGCCATGAAGAAGATCAACAAGAACAATTTGATGCTGCGGAATCAGGTGGAACAGGTGTTTGCAGAACGAGACATAATGAGTTTTACGGACAATCCTTTTGTGGTTTCGATGTATTGTAGTTTCGAGACAAAGGTTGGTACATCTCAAAGGTATCGATATCTGATTATAATCATAAATATTTATTGATATCGAACTGATTCGTACAGAAACATTTATGCCTGGTAATGGAGTACGTTGAAGGAGGCGATTGCGCAAACCTATTGAAGAATATCGGTCCACTTCCACCAGATATGGCTAGGTTTTATTTCGCAGAGACAGTCTTGGCTGTTGAGTATTTACATAGTTATGGTATCGTTCATCGAGACTTGAAGCCAGACAAGTAAGCGTATCATTAATTTAGTTTCCATTTTATAGATCTTACCTTATTATTGCGAATGTAACATCCTTAATTGTTTATCTTTCGTAGTTTACTTATCACAGCCTTGGGTCATATCAAACTCACCGATTTTGGTTTGAGTAAAATGGGTTTAATGTCCCGTGAGTATTCATACATTCGCGATCATTTATTCCTCAAATTTCTGTTGAACATCCTAAAGTACACGTCTTACCTTTTTTTCCTTAAGTGGCAACAAATCTTTATGAGGGATACATCGACCGGGATACACGTCAATTTTCTGACAAACAAGTTTTTGGAACCCCCGAGTATATTGCACCAGAAGTAATTTTACGTCAAGGTTACGGCAAGCCGGTTGATTGGTGGTCCATGGGTATTATTCTGTATGAATTTTTAATCGGTTGTGTACCATTTTTTGGCGACACTCCCGAAGAATTATTTTCACACACTGTTAATGGTACGTTAGAAACTTAATTTTAATGTGCTAACTTGTATGAAAAAAAATTTAAAGTATCGTTTAAATGTATTTTTTAATTACCTTTTTAGACGACATCGAATGGCCTGACGATGACGATTGGCCGGTACAGCCAGAGGCAAAAGATATCATAACGGCATTATTACAACAGAGTCCGAGGGATAGATTGGGCACAGGTGGTTCACACGAAGTTAAAGACCATCCTTACTTTTTTGGTGTAAATTGGAACAGTCTTTTGAGGCAGAAAGCTGAGTTTGTACCGCAGCTAACGCACGAAGATGACACGAGTTATTTTGACAGTAATTATATTCAAATTGAAATATTAATGGGTTCTTTTAAAACGATGTAACGCTATTCGAAATTCTAGCACGGATGGACAGATACAACCACGATCTGGGCGATGACACCGACGACACCGATGACTCTCCATTATTTGGGTCCTTCTCGTCGTATTCACCTCAATCTCGGAAAATTTCACAAACGCGACCACCTGCTATCAATCCAGAAACGGATCTGGAATTCTCAAAGAAGTCGCTATTTCGCAACGAATTGGAACGAACCGTTTCACAGCTGTCCCCCAGCTCTTTAGCCTCGATGTCACCGCCTACAAAATCCGTGGAAAGAAATTACATTATCGATAAGAATCGATCTCTATCCACTGCCAAGAGCAATGCGAATAGTTTTCACGATAACTCTGACAAGGGTGATAAATCGGACGCGTCTTCTACGAGTGTTACAACCGTCACCAGCAGTGAATCAACGGTAGTTAAGAACACCCCACCTCTGGATGGAATGCCGATCAATTTAAGCACTCCGGATTCCTCGCAAACCGAGTCGGACGATATCAGCCCTCAGATTCAGAGGAAACGCCATGTACATTCTCGGGACAAGCTGCCCAGGTTCAGTATATCCGTTGATGGTGAACACACGTGAGTTATCTAGCCGGATCGGCGCAGTCTTTTATTTTCGACGTTTTACTCGTTTTCTAAAAGAATTTTCATTTTCTAAAACAAATTGTAAGAAAAAATATTTCTAAGGAAGATTATCACTCTATAATTATTTCCAGTATTCCGCAATTATTTTATTTATTGACAAATTACTAATATTCGATCTCAGTTAGGCAACAACATGTACGATCTCGTAGTCCTTGAATGTAGCTGAAATATAATCTAAAACGCTGTTTCTTCAGATTGGACCTAGCGGGGTCTAACAGAGAGATAGTAGAAGACAAGCACAATTCCAGTACGGACTCTTTTGAATCTGTAAGCACCCTTCCACTTGTACCGAGCGTGAAGCAGAGGTCTCGATCGGTTATTAAATCTGCTTCAACCAGTGGCCTGTCATTGGTCATACCTACAAGTGAATTTTCCTGTAAGTACACAATGTTATTCACCCTAACATTGTCCTCATCTCAGAATGTTAAGGCAGAGTTCTACTTAATTTTTTTTTTTATTTTTCCATACTTCCAGACGATACGGTAATCAATAGTCAGGCAATTGAATCGCCTGGTGGATCCTCTACAGCGTCATCCCGAGATACGTCCCCTTGTCGAGAATTGAGTCCGTTGGTAACTAGTCTGAAGCCTCCGATCATCATTCGGAGGGGACCCTGCGGATTTGGATTTACTGTCCATACCATCAGAGTTTACTACGGAGATAGTGATTTCTACACTATGCATCATTTAGTCATGGTAAGCATTTATTATGAAAATTATATTTTCTGCGAATGTCTGCTCGACGAGTTCTAACATATGTTTACCGAAAAAAATCCCGTTCCCGTGAAATGGTGGCTGATGACCACGTTCTTTTCAGGCGGTCGATCAGTCTAGTCCTGCATTTGAGGCCGGATTACGTCCTGGTGATTTAATCACGCACATCAACGGAGAACCCGTTCAAGGGTTGTATCACACCCAAGTCTTACAACTGATGTTAAGTGGAGGAGATCACGTTACCTTACGAAGCACTCCATTGGAGAACACCAGTATCAAGACCGGCGGTCGAAAACGTGAGCCAGCTCAGAGCAAAATGGCTCGGAGAACTCTTCACCGACAGCGAAAGCAGAAACGAGACCATACCGATAAGAAGAGGAAGACTTCGCTGTTTAGGAGAATCAGTTCGAAACGCGCCAGCGTAGAGATGCAACAGGTATCGTGGATGGTACCGCGACGTCGAAGTCAACTTTGTTACTCAATTGCAGTATTCGATGTCACTACGTAACGAATTCTTCCTCGAAACTTTGCACCGTGATATTACACTTTGCTTCGTAAATTCCGTTGCTCGGATGTAAGGACGTTTAATTTGCGCATTTTTTTTTTCATGGTTTTTATTAACCCGCTCGATGGATTTGTTTTGACCAAATTTTTGTTATTTCGATTTCGGGGGAGAAGGAGCCAGACCGTGGATTTTGACGAAGCACTAAGTGCAATTTTTTTACTTTTCATTGCAGCCGTTAAGTATCAGTTGTCCCTTGTCGGCACCTATTCTACCCAGTGACAGCAAACCTCCACTTATGGTATGATTTATGTTCTTTTCTTATAGTTTATACCGTTCGTATATTTTCTTTGCTCGCTTCCTTTCTCAAGGCATACTTTTAACCGTCACACATTTCACGTAACATTGCTTTTTGATCAACTGCCAAATATATTCAGTTTGAGCTGTTTTTCGCTTGATTCGTTGACAAATCAGCAATTTACTCCAAAAGACGAACGTACTTTCTTAAAAGTAACGAATATCTTTCTAAATAAATGCGAACGATAACGTTTATTTTTGAAATGAGGAAATTCATATTTTAAAGCTTAATAATATTTATGCGAAATAATTTCCAGATGGCAGCCGGAATCTGTTCTCCGTCAATGGTGACGCCGAGCAGATCCTTCCAGTCGTTTACTCGTTCCTTGCCAGCTCAACAAGAGTCTTCTCCTTATTTCGGAGGATGCTCCAAGTCCGTATGCAGTCCGTCCCCACCTATGAACCGTCCCAGCTCATCCGAACCATATCATTCCGCCGGGAATTCGAGTCCGTGTTCGAGCCCGAACTCCTCGTCGCCAGGCTCCAACAATTCCGCCGGAAATCTGACGAACATCTCGACTCAGTCGCATTACCAGCGTCCCAGTACCCTGCACGGCTTAAAGCACAAATTGCACACCGCCGCGAAAAATATCCATTCGCCGAATCGACGGAAATCCGTCGGTCACATACCCCTTTCACCTTTGGCGAGAACACCCAGTCCCTCTCCTATTCCCGCTAGTCCCACTCGGAGTCCGAGTCCTTTGGCTTTCCCCACGGGACACCAACCGGGCAGCTCGAATACTACCCAGTCTTACAGTCCAGGTATTATTTTCTACCAACCGTTGTATTTCCACAGGCGATGACAAGGTCGATAACGAAATGTGGAATATTTGTAGGAGTGTCCCTCGCAACGCCCAGCAGTCAGAAAAAGAGTTACGGACGTCCGAAGTCGGCGGAGCCGGGTTCTCCACTTTTGAGACGAGCTCTCAGTCCGGACCGACTTCATCCTCGGTCTGCGGAAAACAAGACCTCGATTTCGCCTTTGGTGAACCCCGTGGTCAAGGTTACGCCCAGGGTGACCATAGCTCAAACGACGCATACCATCGAGTCCGCGGAAGAAGGTAATGATTCTTTGAAAGAGAACATCGAGACCGGTAATTCCAAGGCCGAGAAGAAGACGGCAACCGAGTTGAAACAGGAGATCTCGAAATTGTCTCACGGGATCTCCATCAACATCGCCAATGTGGGTGGCGGCACGCAGTTGCCGAGGATAGCCGAGGAGAAGGATTCACCAACGGGCTCGAAGAGCGAAGACTATACCGCGAAGGAAATCGTCGCCTTGGAGAAGAGCAAGGAGGCTGCCAAGAAAGACCTCGGTCCTGAGAAACATCTTTCCAAGGGCGTAAATCCTAGCAAGGATGACCGTTCCGTCGTCAAGGAGCATCCCGGCGCGAAGAAATTTCAGGAAGGTAATTTGGATCAAGTAAAAAAATATACAGATGTTCCCTCGCGACAGGAGGGCAAATCCGAGCTGGGAAAAAAATCTTCGGACGTTGCGACGGTGAAAAAACCCTTCGATGCGCCCTGTCGACAAAAAAGCTACGCGGAGCAGCTGAAAGAACTCCCGGACGTCTCTTCTCGACAGGAGAAGGGCAGCTCGGATTTGGCTAAGAAACGGCAAGACGTCTCTTCTTCATGTCAGGAAGGTAATATCGAGCAAGCGCGGACTTCGGGAATTTCATTGGCAACGAGCGAGAGAAATTCCTCGAGTTCTCGCGTTAAGGTCAATGATTCCGAAAGTAAGCCTTCGAGTAAGAGTAGCGCCGACGGTAACTCCGAGTGTAGAAAAGTTCTCAAGAGAAATAAGATCGATAGTACGGAAGATAATGGATCGAGGGCGACTACTTCGAGTAGTTCCGACGCGAGCTCAAGTTTTGTCGAGGATAAAAAGAACAAGTAGAGCGGTCGTGGTTTAGTCCTTGGTCGAAGATCGAAATTTATGGAGCTTGTGTGGCTCTTTCGGAAATATTCATCGCGAGCGAAGTTCGTTCCGCTTAGGGCAGGGTTGTATAATTTAAGAGTTGCATACGTATTCGGTACATGTATTTGGTTCGGAATACGAATTCTGTTATTGGATGCATATATTCGCACACTTGGCGTTCAGTCATTCATGTATTCGACTCGCGGACGTGATAGAATTTGTTGATGCATATAGCAGCATGTGATTCACTTTGAGCATATATAGTGCCGTACCGTTTAAGAAAATGGAATATTCACGTTTTTGGGTGTAGCGTACATTTTAGAATCTTGAATAGTACTGCTATAATTTCGGCAGTCGAGGTTGAAGAAACCAAATTTACAGGTGGATGTTCAAAAGTTTCGACCATTTTGCGAAAATGTTCTTACCGTTATAGCGATTAATGAACAGCGATATAGGTGTATATCATGAGGCGAATCAAAAGTTTTTCAACTTTAGGTTCGAATGTTTTATTTGGAATCTCTTAATGTAAATTTTGAACTTTCTTCGTGTTTCGTGTCCACTGTTGAGAATCTTCGGCGGTTCGTTTCGCCGACAAATTCAACAGGATCGTTGCGTTTCCTCAAAAAAGATCGATAAAGAAAATATTATATACCCATATCAGATGCGTAATGATAAAGGGAGGTAAGAGATCGCTGGCTTACGTTCTGCCGATAGTGACGTACGAAGAATGGCATTATTCCGTTACAAAATATTTTTCGAACTTGCCACTGAAGTTTTGTATTTTTTTTTTTTTTCACCTTCCGCTGTGTCATAAATATAAGTCAGGCACGTATCCATTGTGTTAAGATTTCCAAAAAGAAACGCGTGACGATAAAAGTATATGACATCCGATAGGTTGTGACACCGTATTAGAAATATTTAATGGTAAGTAGGAGGGTAAGCAAAAATCATGTCTCAAAAACGCGATTTTTCCAGCCATGCAAGCAATGTTCTGGTTACCGTTCTTGTCGAAGAAACGAGCTTGTAAAACATGTCTTTGGAATTAACATGTTTTCTAAGTGATCCGTTGGGGATTGTTTATTAAAAAGGTCGAACTGTATATTTATCTGCGTCACCGCGTTAAGCCTGCAGTATTTACCCGATCTCATTGATTTTAAATGTTTCTAAATAGTTTTCGTATCGACTCGACGATAACAGTTCTTTTTTTTGTTCTTCTCGACGAACGAGTCCAAATCTCGCAGGAGAATCGCGAACGGTCGAATAGCTTTGTTGCGCTGCGATTTATTAATGGAATTGAACGTCTTACCCAATTTTCTCGGGGATTCGCAGATTGTACAAAGTGTGATAGCAGGGTGATAAACGAGCCAAGCTAAGAATTTAGTTACTTGACTACGTAACAAGAGTCTCGGGGAGTTAAGTGGTTTTTTGGTTTGATGGGGTCAAGGCTTTTCTCTCTTCGAATTCTCTCGCGTGAAGCTTCTATCGATGCTTCGAGATAATACTAGGTTTTTAATTAGATTTATATTTTGTATATTTATTGTCGAGAACCAGTTTCGCGACGTTACTAACAAAATTCGGTACCGAATTGTTGGTTTATTTTCTTTTTTCACTGGGCTCTCGGTTCATTGCCGATGCAAGTACATATCAGCGATCTCTTTGAATAATTAATAAAATATTGGATAGGTCACTTCCTGCGTTTCTGTCATCTTTCATTCGAATGGCACGACATTCTGTAAAGGGACTCGCAGAATTCTAGTTTCCCGAGGAAAATTTGTGATTTTTAGTAATTGTCTATTTTTCAATCTTCATTAATAAACCGGCGATTTATTTGATTCACATTTTGTGGTTATCGGCCGTAACATTTTGAACCACGATACGGTATTTTCACTTCGGTATATAGATGTTTTTAAATCTAAATGTTGTATCCCGTAATGTGATATAGCAAAATTGAGCTATCGTATCCCGTATTATCGATAACATATTTTCATTTAATATTTTGCTTATTTTCTCCCGTATGCTTTGCTCGTGTATTCGAATTCCCCGTTCTTTTTAGTCTAATATTACTTCTACATTGCAGTAGGAATAATTACATTTTGCAAAGCATAAAATCGCGCATGTATCAATGTTTAATAGAGAAGGTACTTTCCCACAAAAGTAAAGGAGTAATCGTCGGCGGTATTCGGCGTCAACAAATTGTATAATGATAATTTAATTAAATTAATATCGTTCCGTTAACTGTAGGCGAGATTTCTAATTAAAACTAAAAAGACCGAGTCTTAAGATTATGTTAAACTAGCCAAAACCTCGGGTTATAGGTGCACAGGGAAAATGTAGAACGTAGTCAGCATTTTAGTGAGTCGGAATGACATTCAAGGCAGCAAACGATTGTACTTTTTTTTCTTCATTTTTGGTGGAGGATGAAAAGTACAGTTTATAGAGAGCCATGAATTTTCATGAATTTGAGACCGAATTGAAGAGGAACCCTGTAACATGCTCGATCGGGGATTTTATTGTGCTGAGATGCGTTTAGCACTTAAGCTTCGTTTCTTGTCTTTGCCTTTTGTACATTTCTCCTCTCTGTATATGTCGTAGAACGGTTGCTGTTGACGTTGTAAAAAGCGAAGGCTTTAATTAATAGTAATACCGATCGGTAAGCGATTAGATTTCCTGAGTAGGGTACCCATTTTCGAATCGCATTGGGTTGTCTGAGGTTCCTTTTGATTTGACGTTGAATTCATTAATTACACTACAGAGTTTCGGTTAAGTAAATTAGCCGATCGAGTGATCAGAATTATCTTAGCGAAGCTACAATGGGGAAGTGTACACTAAAATGACGCTCTGTCGGATGTTTCCTAATTTTACCCGAATAATGTATCCGCTTCGAAGGTGAATATTTTGTGGCTAATAGACAACCCAATATAGAGGGATAATTTTTGGCTTGAAAACGTGATCATTCGTTGGTAGCATGTTAGAGGTATATTCGACTAGTCTAATTCTCGAAACGGACGAGGCTGTTTCGAAATTCACGGTAGCTCCAGGAAATCAAATCACACGGGAACGCTGGAAGTTTCCTGATCTATCTCGCGACCAAGTTCTCAAGAATAGTGGACGTAGTTGCGTAGCTTAGGGAGCTGTTCGTTAAAAGGACGAGGAATAATTATCTGTTAGATCGTCCGAGTTGCTTAAGATCGTTTCCACTGCTATTACGTTTAGACTTACGATTTGTACGCGTAGAGAAGGCGGCGATTTAGTTACTAGAGATTGACGCGAGTCTAATCTTTTTACGATTACGTCGTTCTATTTTACTAACCGACCATCGCGCTTTTGGCAACTATCGAATCGCTAATGTGGATGGCCGAGATTTCCAGGTTTCTTGCACTTTTATCTTCCACTGATTTTGAGTAAAGCGCGATTAATCTCTTCGAGGATATCGCCGCGTACGTGGACGTTTTTTTTTAATCGAAGTTATTTTCATTAAATAAAGCGTAATTATCTCGGAAATTCAGTGCACGATGGAAGTACAGGAAATCTGCGAGGTGCGATCGCCTTCATCCATGGTTTTTCGTTTCCATTTGGAATGAGTTGTGATAGGAACGCGAGAATTCCGTCGAGGTGAGACCAACTGCGTCGCGCGTATCCAAGGTGTAAAATTAAACGACGCATTTTGCGAGCTATCTCCAGTGGAATTGTGCATTCGCGGGCAATGTCGTTCGTTCTCTCCCGGGATGGTGCTCATTAGCCGAGATACTCGATTAAACAATTTTAGAATCCACCAAAGGCGAAGCATAAACGTCTTCGACATTTTTCTCAACGATCGATTTACCCTTACGAACGAATCGTCGATTTTAAATAGAAGCGGCGCAGTTGGTCGGGAGCGCAAATTTCGTGAAAATCAGGAAGAGTTGTACGATTTGTAGATAGTATTATGTAGTCGCAATGATAATACGATATATCGGATCGCGTGAATGGTGCACTTTCTTTTAAGCTCTTCGTGAATTTAATCGATGCTTACTAGGAGTCGTAGTCGTTATTTCATGTCTTTTTTGGGAGTCAGTTAAATTATACAGGCGATTGTTGTGATTTTGTGCGATTCGGTGATTTAACGTTATTCAATTAGGAGAAATGCGATCGGAAGGTGGTACTCGTCAAATGTCGGAACGAATATTATTAATGATTCAGTCGTGACTTTGCCGTAGACTATGAGGAACGTCGCGAGAACGATTGGCGATATTTAAAAAACGAGAAAAAGCCAAAAATCAAAGGATCGCACAGAGTTTGAACTCACTTTTAATTTTAGGTTGATCATTGTTTTCGATCCCGACAGGGAGGGGAGTTCGTATGTTTGCTCCTGTGTCGTATTACCGAATGAGCTGATTTCTCCATTGAGCTCATCCGATTTCGCAGTTTCGTTGTCTTTTCGACGATGTAATTACAGGGGAGTGAAATTATCGTTTCTTACGTTCATTCCTTGGCCTTTGGAATATCGCACGACGACATCACGAAACGCGTTAACGAGATCTACGATTAAACCATTTTTCGTTTCTTACGAAAGAGACGTCGTTCGATATTCTAAGGGCTATCGGTAACGACACTACGATTAGTTATCGTAATAACGATCGAACCATATTTTTTATGTAGTCTCGTGTAACGATCACGAAACGTCGCGTTTAGAGGACAGATGAGCTGGTTTACTTAATACCGAGCGAACTGATACTGATATTTATTGTTAGATCGGTAACGAAACACACGCATACTTACTGATTAAACGTCTTAATGTTACTGCTAAGATAAAATTAATTCATAATGATTTAACGAGTAACGGAACTGAAATAAAACAAAAGAGTTGGGCGGTGAAACGTTAAACACATTTTCTTACTTTCTTGGCAAACGAGTGATCGTAGTTTTCTAAATGCAGCGGTTGCGTCAACGCGTCCCGTACCTCGATCGGTTTCTTTCGTAAAAATGATTTATCTTTAAAACGGGAAATTCTAGGAGTTACTTTGGTCGTTTAGAATTTTGCAGAATCAACTGCTAACTTTCTGGTCGATTATCATAGCTCTATCGACGTTATCGAGGTTTTTATAAACACGGCCGATGTGAGGTATTATCGTCGGACACAGGACCAGATCTCTGGATTTTGGCCTTCCCTCGGGTTTCGTGTCCAGCATTTTGTACGTTAAATTTCGCACGGCCGAAGACGCGTCCCCTCGTTGCAGGGGGGATAAAACTCCTTGACAAATTTGCCGTATCAAATCCACCTGGCTCTGGTGAGAAAGGTTTCGAGATTAATTTACGCGAACGTTCCTCGAGAGGAGATAAATTTGTAGACTTCGGGGGTCGAGGTGGTTTAAGCGTTTAGATATTGCGTTACGTGAAAATTAAAATAGAACATTCTTACTCTCACGTTGAAGGGAAATCTCTTGGTCAGCATTTCGTAGAGGATGACACCAAGGCTCCATATGTCGCATTTGTAATCGTAGACCGTTCCTTTGAGAACTTCCGGTGCCATGTAGCACTTCGTGCCGACTCTTGTTACTCCCATTTCACTGCAAGTGCGAAATCGAATTGCTACGCTTTTTCATGTATTACCTATATATTTTTTTTTAAGTTAAAGCCAAAACGTTCCTCCTCACCGAGCGATATTTTTCGATACTCCAAAATCGCCAATTTTGACGACGTCTCCTCTCGGTCCACTGAGCATTATGTTTCCAGGCTTAAGGTCTCGATGCAGCACCATTTTCTTATGGATATGATGCACGCCCAAGACCATTTGGGCAAACAGGTACAGAGCATCCTGCAAAAAAGAGAGAGCAAGTTTCGGAGAAGCCAGTTATAAAATTGGACCAATTTGAGCCAAGCCCACCTCCTCTTGTAGAGGAACTCGACGTCGGCTTAAATATTGTTTCAGCGTTCCACGGCTAGCGTATTCCATTAAAATAAATAACTGTTGCCCCTCTTTCCAGGAATCGTGGTACATGACGATATTGGGATGCCTCATTTTCTTTAATAAATTTACTTCGTTCGTAACGACCTGAAACCGGCGGAGATGAGTCGTTTAAGTTTTATGAAATTATTTAAGGAATATATATGCCCTCACTTTGTAGTCTTCGAGGCATTGTTTCTTGATGACGAAGGGCGAGCTGTCGGATTTTCTTCTCACGAGATGAGCCGTTCTGCGGGGCGAGAAAAAAAATGTTAAAAGGGGATTTTTCTTTGAAACCGGACACGGTCGTCTTTTATCGACCGGTAGCCCGAGATTTACCCGAAAGAACCAGCTCCCAGCTGCTTCTCGAAGACGTACTCTTTCAAAGCCATCGAATTTTACGTAAGAACGGAAAACGATTCCTCTCCGCGGGGTCGAGCCTTCGCGACGGACGTCGAGTATTTCGACCTTTCCGACGTTACGACGGTTATTAGAAATCAGCTTTGACGTTTACATACAAGCCGAACGGGAACGAGGATCGTTCGACCCTCCTCAAGGTGGGAAAAAAATTTGAAAATCCTCAATTCTTAATGATTTCGAAATCCCAAATGGAGAAGACGTTACGCGGCTGCGCCAGAGACGAAATTGAAGGATCTCCAGGAATTCCTGGAAATCTGTATCCGTCCCCGCGACACCTCGATAACGGTCCCCGCGAGGAGGTTTCGGCCGACAAACGGCGCGCTTTGGTCGTTTAAACTCGGCTCCGCTGGATACGAACGTCGAAACGACGAAACTCGTGTTTCCTGTGAAACCGTCGAAGCAACTCGAGCATAATCGCGGCGGGCTATTGGCCGAAATAATGTACAGCCCTGAAAAGAGCCGGCACGCGTGCTCTCCGATTCCTCCTCGGAGGGTCCAGCGCGTGCGGCGTAAAGCGGGGTTTACCCTTGAAAAAGGACGCGGGCGAGGCAAAGCACTCCGGTTTTAAATTTACGAACGAAATCATCCGAGACAACGAAGGGCATTTTGACGGAAGGTATTCATACGATCCGATGCTTTTATCACGTTTCGATCGTACTTTCGCGTTATGCGCGTCCAGCTTCGCCTTGATGCTTTCGGTGTGCACTCGGCTTAAAGGCACCGACTCCTATCCCACGCAGCTGATCGCGTTTAAGGCAGCGCTCGGGCCGCCGGTTCAGTCTTCGCCGGACCGTCACAGGGTGCGGGTCGGGCATGAGCCAGGATGCGCGTCGTCTGCTTCTTGGTCCTTTGGGCCCTTACCTCGGCCCCGACCCGGGCCAGTTCCTCGAAGAACGACCGGGAGAACGCCCTGGAGTTCGACGAGTCGGAGGATCTCGAGGAGGAGTTTTCCGATGACGACACTCTGACGGAGCTCTATGACAAGGCCGTGCAGGCGTATCTCGAAGAGGACTGGGCACGGTGCATCGTGAGATTCAATACGGCCCTGAGAAGGTGAATTTATGTATTCCATGATCTTAGGTTTACGTATATTTTTTTCTCAATTAATAGATGTAGTCGATCAATGAGACGCATATATCGATACAAATGGAGTCGTTTACAGGTATAAGGAGTATAAAAAGGAGATCACGGCATGTCGAAGAACGTGCAGAGAAACAGCCGCGGGGTCGGAGCCGATTTTTGCCGAGGACGTCGAGGATCTGCATTTTTACGAGAAGAAAGTGAGGGAGACTTTGTGTCTCTTGAAGTGCAATCGCGTTTATCACGAGATTAACGACCGGTCGAAAAAGAACGGTCAGCTCCCGCCACATGTGGAGATGAAATTCGTCGAGCGCCGACCGTACGAGTATCAGAATATATGCTACTATCAGGTACTGCCATTTTTTCATTCTTCAACTTGCAGATATTTTAATAGCTCCACTTGTTCTCGATTCGCCGCTCCTTAGCTTTCGTGTATACGATTACCGTTAACAATGGAAAGATTTATTTATTCTCGATAACTTCTCGCGGAACATATAACGGAGTCCATCTAATTCGGTCGTGGACGCGAGACGCGCGGATGTCCAAATTTTTCTAGAGTATTTGAAGAATGAAGTAGAAATTTTGTATGTCAATTTATGTCGCTTACAATATACATGGTATTTATCTCTATGTCGTCGAAATAGAACAGGGTGTTTTAAATCGAAAGGAAACACGAGCCCGGCTCTGTCTAGGCTAAAAATAATCCGTAAAGAGTAAGATGTTTCCTAAATGACGACCCAACGTGTGATGTCCGACAGGATTCACAGGGTGATTAGATTACGTCACGGGGTCAAAAATATTGAACCCGCTCAGTCCAGGTCCTCTTACATAAATAACTCGTCCAAAGCTCCGCATGGCCCGAAAAGTTCAGCCTGGTTTTGTAAATTATTTAGACACTTCGATTTAAAGGCAATGGCCGCGGGTTATATTTACGACACGGGAGATTACGGAACAAATGTAAGACTTTGGTTTCAAGGGCAAACGAGGGTGTACGATGGCGGCGTCTCGTAACACCGGCAATCTCTTGCCTCTTTTCAACCCTACGTGCCTGGCAAGGACGTATATCGTTTCAAGTTTATTTTATGATCGCGACAGATATCGTTAAATGCCCGACAAAAGTATCCGGGTCGTTTACCTCTCTAAGCGACGCCCCACGATTCTTTTTTTACAGCTTCAACTGAAAGTAATTAAAAATCCGTTGAAGATTTTAAAATCGGAATTTGGGGCGATGCCCTGTAGTGCCCCCGGGGTGCATTGTCCGGCATCTTAAATTTCTATTTTCTCTACGCGATTGCGAACCTTCGTCATCGTTATTTTGCATCATTGTTCCAGTCACGATTCCGTCGTAAACTCGAAAAGCACTCGATAAGCTTAGAATTTACGTTTCAGGGCGCACCTTTGCCTGTACGATACGAGTATACTCTACGACTTAACGTCGGTATTAATTTGAACGCAGTGAAGTTTATAAAATAATTGAAAGTTCCATCGGGAACGCTAATCGGCGCAGAGGGGTTACGTAATTCGTGATAATTTAATTTTATCATTTTTGTGCAGAACGAAAGCTGAGAAAAAAGGCCATAAGCTTGTTATCGGTTCGACGACACGTGTTTCGTTCGAAGTTTAAACGTTTGCATTCATTTATCTTAATTTCCGGTAATTAAGGACCACTTAAGCGAAACCGACTCTTTAATGCTTAATTGAAACAGCGTCAAAGGAGTTTACCCATGTCGATGCGATTTCATTTCAGGACGTAACGAACGTTTTCTAATTTAGTTAATATTATAATTTTCAGCGAAATCGGTTTCAAGAAGCGGCAAACGCGATCTTCACCTTCCTCGTGATACATCCCAAACACGAGATGAGTCTGAAGAATCTGCGGTATTACCTGACACTTCCGGGCGTTAAAGATGACGACGTTTTGGATTTGGAGGCTGCAAGTTTCGTCGAGACGTACATCAACGGAGTATCGGCATACGACGAAGAGGATTACGTAGAAGCTGTGGGACGGTTAGAGAAGTCCTTGAGGGAATTCATGACTGCCGAAGAAGACTGCAGGTTTTATTGCGAGGGACCTTTCAATCAGGGATGGAATTCGGAATTCACCTCGTCGGTGGCCAGTCAGTATTCGAAGATTTTCCAGAACGACGTCGAATACGGTCGTGTCTATAAATTGTAATACGATTTCTGATTTTTTCTTTCCAGATCACTTCGCCTACTGCCTGAAGTGCAAACGCAGCTGCTCCTTGTCGTTCGGCAACATAAACGGTGAATTTCGCGAAAACTTCTTGCCAAGCTATTATCACTACTTGCAGTTTGCCTACTATAAACGTAAGTGCTGAAATTATGTGATGACACTTATGCTTAAAGTCATTGACAAAACGCCGTTTATATCATTACTCGACCTTATTCCACCGGCATACGTATAACTTATTACGACCCAAGCTGAGAGTCGTGAGTACTCCTCGAGGGACAAATGCGGTCGATATTAAAATTCTTCTCAATTACGTGATATTCGTTTGGGTGTGTCACGTTTAAAATACATATTATTTCTGCACCAACAGTTGGAAAATTGAAGCAAGCGTGTGCCGCAGTAGAGAGTTATCTTCTGTTTCTTCCGGGAGATGAGACCATGTTACAAAATCGAGAATACTACTCGAAACTGCCGAAGGTTAAGGAGGAGTATTTTATGCCGAGAGAGGTAATGCATTTTCATGCGAATGTGCATGTTTTTCAAGACCTTAAGATAAACTCTTCGATCTTTTTTTTAAGTTTATTAAATTCGGTACATTTTTATTCACACATAGGAAGCATTGAAATACGTAAAGCGCCAGGAGTATGAATTGAGGCTACTGAATTATATCTCGGAGGAATTTGTGGAGCTCGAAAAGGAACTAAAAACGTTTACCAAGAAGGATGAGCCTGAAAAACCGGAGATGCGCGAAGAAAATAGTGAAAACTCACTTGGGCAGGTAACGGACATTTGACTGCATTTATAAAATGCGTACCTTCGGGCAATCCGTGTACTTTTATATTTTGTATCACCCGGTTGTTCGTCGATCGATGTCCTGATTGTGCACTCGTCAAAAAGAGATTTTTAAAACCTACAAGAGGTTTGCTACGATCTAGTAAAATTTTTGTTTTTTTTTAAGAGGTGCAACAAAGGTTTAGCTCGAAAATCTTTCAGCACCTCTAAACATATATCGATTTTGACGTAAATTCGGATACTAGTTTTGGTTATTCTTTGTTCAAAGTTGGATGCGAGCACAAATCTGACCATCCAACGTCAGACTTAAATGTGGGCTTTTATTCGGTCTACGTAACGGAGTGATCTCATCAGCGGGGCTCTGCAAACTTCTTTCTCAATTATATTCCAAATCTCCTATAACACTTCCGACCTCGTCCTTTCTTCCGTTAGTAAAATCTTTGTACTTTTTGTAATAAAAATAAACGACTTTTAAAAAATCTAGCCTGAGTCTCCGAAGAAGCGTGGAGAGCTGCGTTTATCGTTCCAAGTAGGGTTAAGCCGTACTCGAGTGTTCTTTGATGTCAGCCACTGCAAGTAACTGAAAAGTTCTTAAAATGTTCTAAAAAGGATAAAATCCGGGGAGATACAAATTAATCGTTACGATTCGAATAATTCTTAAGTTTCCATACGACGAATTTTTGAAGGCGCCTATATAATTGCAACCAGGCTTGCACGGCTGCATCTCGGTGCATTAGATGCACAGGGGTCGAATACGTATTAAAACCAGTCAGCCGAGGGAGTATCTTCTCCTCCTTATTTATCTTCATTGATTTGACAAAGATACAACCGTGCTCTCGAGTATCTTGCAGCTACTATAGGAACGCATCTGCAGCTCACATTACGTAGCAAAGGCGGGGAATTTGTATCACATTTATCTAGCCGAGAAAGTTGTTTGTAGTTTTTGGTCGCGGATAATCGTAACTACAGAAGTTATGCTAAAAATCCGTTAGAGATAACACGTGCCGGATCGTTGTGAAATAAATATCATCACTCGATTGTCGTATCGGGATGTGTAAATCGCTCGAAGAATGTAAAGTCGGTGGTGGACATTTTTAACAAGGAGAAACGTGGTCGGTCAAACTCCTGCCGTTTCGCGAGAGTTAATCGTCAATGTTATTTTTGTAGATCCTACCAATGCGATCGGTCTTGCATCCATTTCCAGGAATGTCTCCGTCTTCGCAACTGGACGCGTCAAAGAGTCCATCGATATTCGACATGGGTCGGGAGGAGCATCGGACGGAAATAAATCATGGCAGTCATAAGTCAAACGAGGGGATTCGCATAATAGGCAATGAGGAACAACTGGGCGGAAAATTGCGGTACGCCGCGGATGGATTCTTAAGTAGGACGGAATGCGCCATGCTCTTACAATTGGCTGGAGTAAGGGAATGACAACTTTTTACCGAAAGTAGATGTATCTTCGATTGAACAAAATTACGTTAAAATCGTTCCTCTCTTTTATTACAGATGGGATCCGTGGAAGGTGACGGCTATGACGAGAACAAAAGTCCGCACTCGCCTTACGAGAAGTTCGAAGGTTTAACTATTGGCAGAGCTGCGCTTGTAAGTAAAAAATTTTTAGTTTAACGAGGGAGAATAGATTCACCCGTTTCAACGATAAAGCATTTAATAACAATTTTTTCGTAGATGGTTTACTACGGGATACTGGGACCGCAGCTTTTGGAACTGTTTTTGACTGCTACGGAGGCAGTTCGACATCACGTGGTAACTTATTTTTACCTTAAAGAGCACCTCTACTTTACATACACCCATCTAGTATGCAGATCTGCCTTACCCGGTAAATTACACGTGTTAAATTGAATATTCCATAATGTTATAAATAGCATCATCGATTTCATTTCTGCAGTCGGTTATAAAAATGCGAAATCATTGAAATAACTTGGTAACGCTACGATCGTTCGGGTTCCCTGTCAGTTCGCCACATTATCTTCAATTTAACAATAGTTGATTTAATTTGATTCGTTATTTTTTAATACATTTTTTCGTCTTCATGTTTTTGCAGATTCACCCCCGAATCGGCAGGATCTCAGCCATGTAATTCATGCAGATAATTGTATAGTTAAACGCGAAGGCAATTGTTCCCGGGAAAGCCCTGCTTACGTGTGGAGAGACTATTCGGCGATTCTATATTTGAATGATGATTTTCAAGGTGGAGAATTCATCTTTTCCAAGGATAACACGGCTAGTGAAATTCAGGGAGTGGTAGGTTAATCTTTTGAGATGAAAATATTTTTAAAATGTTTTTCATTTTTCCTAGGTCTTCGCCTATTTTTTTATATCGTCGTATATTAAGAACCGTGATTTTTCCCAAGGTGAAACCGTCTTGTGGCAGGATGGTAGCTTTTTCTGCAGATGATGAAAATCTTCACGGGGTTCGGGGGATTTTAAAAGGTAAAAGGTGTGCTTTGGCCTTGTGGTTTACCTTCAACAAGAAATACCTAGAAGTCGAGAGGATTCTTGCAAAGACCATCCTTAAACGTGTCCAGAGTAAGGGATCCGTTCAGGGGAATAAAAACCTCAAAATCCCCGAAGAGTACGAAGACCTCCTTATCGAGTGTTTCAAAAAAGATGAGGTCCTCGAACGGCTTCTCAAAGAATGAACGCGGAGGCTTCGTGTCACCGAGTATTGATGAAGGAACAAAATTCGCCTCGTCTTGCAAGTTAGTTCGCGGATCGGTGCCATCTTTAGGGGATGGCACCGTTACAAACGTTATGTAACGGTTATACGTCACGTAACCGTTTTTGGTGGGCTGTTACCGTTGAAGAGGAATTTCTCACGGACTTCCAGAGAGTAGTAGAGGGAATCCTTACCTTGGATTTTACATCGAGCAACCAGGTGATGGCCGGATACTCTACGAGGTCTCAACCTGAAGAAACGAGAGAAGGAGCTGACGACAAGACTCGACAATTTGTTAATATTCTTTTAAACGAGCTCAAAAATGTATGTACTTGCGGTACCTGAGGTATGATAAACTGTAAATTAATTATTGTAATAAAGCAACTTATTGAACAATAACAATGAGTACGTTTAATTAGACGAGCATGTCTAGCAAACCCTCTAATCACCTATTCCTGATCCTTGAAAATCACTGTACCACCTCCTCGGTCATCCTATGATCCTGTTAGAAATCGGATATTTCAACCCCTAAAATTTTTGCCCGGGAGAAACTCCGTGCCACCTCCTCGGTTATCCTATGTTCCTGTTACAAATCGAAAATTTCAACCCCTAAAATTTTTGCCCGGGAGAAACTCCGTGCCACCTCCTCGGTTATCCTATGTTCCTGTTACAAATCGAAAATTTCAACCCCTAAAATTTTTGCCCGGGAGAAGCTCCGTGCCACCTCCTCGGTTATCCTATGTTCCTGTTAGAAGTCGGAAATTTCAACTCCTAAAATTTTTGCCCGGGAGAAACTCCGTGCCACCTCCGTAGTTGTCCTATGATCCTATTCCACCTCTGTCGATTTCTAACAGGAACATAGGACAACCGAGGAGGTGGCACGGAGTTTCTCCCAGGCAAAAATTTTATGGGTTGAAATTTCCGATTTCTAACAGGAACATAGGATAACCGAGGAGGTGGCACGAAGTTTCTCCCAGGCAAACATTTTAGGGGTTGAAATTTCCGATGTCTAACAGAATCATAGGACAACCGAGGAGGTAGCACAGAGTTTGGTGTCTTAGATCTACGAGTGATTTTCAAGGATCAGGAATAGGCGATTAGAGGGTTTGCTAGACACGCTCGTCTAATTAAACGTACTCATTGTTATTGTTCAATAAGTTGCTTTATTACGTTAATTATTTTACAGTTTATTATACATCAGGTACCGCAAGTACATAAGTTCTCGAGTTCGTTTTTTACGTTACGTTTACGTTACCACCACCAGGCTGCGCCATGTACACGAGGAAGCCATTCATGACCGCCATTGTACATGCGAAGTGTATGTATCATTGCAGAAACTGCGCGGATCAAATAAGAGAATTTTGTAGATCGTGAAGTAAAAGGAAAAGGCAAAATTAAAATTCATACCGATAAATGCACGAAGTCTCAACGCAACGTATGTGTCGATGTTTATGTCTGACATTGAATAATGGCACAAACGATACAGCGGGGTAATTCGTCGTTTTTATCGATGACGGGGAAGTCGTTCTCGATGTAAGCAACAATTTTCAAGTACAAACGGTAGCGAAACATGAGCTCAATTCATGGAGTGCTACAAGTTTTATATAAAATATCCTAGATTTTTTATTAGCGCACAAACATCGCATGTCAACGCGTTCTTCACATATTGTTTCTTCGCCACGCGTGGCATATAGTCGGGTCGTTCCACTTCTGTATATACTATGTATAATAGTTTAATATATGTCTGTATATATATATTTATGCATAGACAGTAGCATAGTAGCTCCCTTAATGAGTATTCTTTACATGAATGTCGAAGTCCCGAATGTTTTCTCAATCTTTACGATTTTCATAGCTTTCTCGTAGAGAATTTTTAATGACACACTTGACTTCTTAAACAGCTCCATACGGTACATTGTTGCCCCTTTGGCCTAGTATTTTTAACGAAGAAATTTAGAAATCGCACGATCCTTTCTCAGTTACCTAGCGTTTTCGCACCTGTCCTAATCTTTATGTTTCCTTATTATACTTCACTTGTCTTAAACAGTCTTAAACAGTAAGCGTGTATCTTCGCGGTTGCCTTCTTTCTACCTACCTCCCTTTGCACGATCTTAAACAGCCTTCAACGGTATTTGATTATTTCGTCCTAGTTTATCCTCTCTTAGGACAGTCTTAAATAGATTTTTATACATTAAGCGCTCTCATTTTCACTTTCTTCATTGTCGGAATAATAAAACAGCCTTAACGATGCATGCGAGATATAATTTGCTAAGAGACGTTAAAAAATGAGCCGGGTCCAGAAGGGTAAATACCGTGTTAAACTATCGTCGATCGGTGCTTTAGAGAATAATTTCGCAACTGGACGCAATGGAGCACCTCTTTATTAGCAAATTACTTTTCTCGGACGAACGTTGATCCTCGGTTATACTTATTGAAAGGGTCCGTGTAGAGAACAAAAATATCTATTTCTTTTAAATCTTTGGAACACATGTCGTCTAGAGTTATGATTGGGATCGAGTGGAAAAAATGAATGTAAAGCTGAAACGAAAATGATCAGTGTCAATTAATTATATTAATTACACCAGTACAATAAACTGAAATAAATTCGGGAAACTATTTGGGTCATTTTGATTAGTTTCCCAAAACTATGGGAATATGGTGTTGAGCACTATTCTTCCACAAATTCATTTACTGGAGGGGCCTCCAAATGTTGAAAGATAACATCATAAGTTACCACGACCATCATTCTCTTTCAATCTTGAATGAACAAGAATTGCCGCAAGAGAACAGCCAACTGGGCGTTGGAATTCGATTTTTCGCACAATATGTAAAAGTTCTTGAAAGTAAAAATTAAACAGTCGTTAAATAAAAGAACTGAAATCTGATATTTAAGCCCACTGCACTGGTTGGTCTACTCTAAATGCAGAGGGTAATACTTGGATACTTGTAACCACGATACTTAAAATCATGTAAAAGTGAATCAAGCATTGATACGGATGTTTGTGCCTAAGAAAAAAAGAGGTGTACGTAAATGATAAATTAACATATATATATATGGCACGGAATTATAAAGAATATTGCAGTACACGACAGAAAAAAAATCACTCCCTATAAAAACTTGTTCTAAAACAATGTTCTCAACCTTTTCATTGATATCATCTTTTAATTTTATTTGATCGATCGATTAGATTAACTAACGTCAGAAATGAAAAAAATTAAATTATTTCCTAATTCTTTGCATTCGCCTGTCCCCTACGAGAGGACACAAAAAAAATGCAAAGAATGAAATTGATTTAATATCTTTTCTATTTGTGCATGCGAAAAATCTAGGCGAATTCCACAAACAAAAATCTAGTTACCCTAGACATCATCTATATATTTGTTAAGAAAAATTCCGTATACAATGCTTGGTTCAATATTCTTCTGACTTAATATTATATTAATTGATACTACTTAAAGATGAAATATGTCATTTATGTATTATCTGAAATTATTACTCGCAGGTCCAGAGTTCTCTTCAAAGAATTCAAGTGCAATGAAATTATTAAATCTGTTATGTTTATGGTACATAAATACCTCTGTAAATTTGTAACTGTAAACGTTTCGAGCTCCGTGCATACAGCATTAAACGAATACATGTTTTCCAATATCCTTAAAAATAGGAACATCAATTTAGAAAAAATATACATAACGGAAGAATAAATAGATAAATAGTAATTGAACATTGGAACAGCTGTTTCCAATTGAAAATCCAAAGAGATCTGAAAATATCCACGCTTCATAAGCATGCAATGTCAAACTAATAATTTCTTTGGTTGTAATAATTTTCTCACTTCCGAATACTAATTAAGAGAAGAATTCGCGAAGAGCTCGATACGTGTAACAACGGAAGAAATTATTCCTTTTCTCAATTATAGCAAGTACTATCGAAAGAAATAAAAATAAGAGCCGAACATGAACGAACCTTCTTTTATACTCGGAGAAAAGAATAAGGAAAACGAAACTCGTTCAAGATCTCACGCAAAACCTCAAACTAATCGGATCTTTGGTCTGCAACACATATCACGTGCTTCCAAAATTAACCTTTATATAAAAAGAAAGGATCGAGCAAGACTACCACTTCAACGACTTAGTTTTAATTTTTACCAAAAAGGATATACAATTTTTCTATAAAATATTTCTGCACGAAAACTTTTGAACTCTATATAATTTAACAATTTCATTAAATTGACATTTATTTTTGCTTACTATAAAATGTGATACCCGTTAAAGTGATGTTCTTACTCCGCTCTCTCTTACGTCGCTCCCAATCTGAAAGAACATTTTCTTTTTTCTCATATCACGATCGAAAGCCGTTACCAATCCGACATCTGACCCTACCGTATTCTAAAAGAATTTTCTTAACGAAGACAATACGATACTATATTAAAACTAGCGCAATGACATAACATTAGATAAAAACATTGTACTGCTCTGGGAGTGGGAGTGATGCATTTCGTAAATCAATGAATTAGTTTTGATTGCAATGCAAAGAACGGGAGACGGCTCGAGAATTAATAGGGACGGACAAAATTCGCAAGACACTATGAGCGTCGTAACCAATTAATTGATCTAATCCGAGTATCCCATCAAAATACGAGTCCGAAGCGAATATCTCCCCGCCGAAACTTACGCCAATCTTTTGGTCGAAAGGCGAAACAACATAAAGTTTCATCTCTTGAACCTAGCCGACTGAAATTAGTAACAATGACAATTTTTAATTGGACCATTCTTGAAATTCTCAATTCAACAAATAGTTGTTAAAACGAGTCTAAATAATCGCTACTCATTAATTCAAGTATTGTAAAATTTAGGCTGTTTCACCCCCTAGCCATGGAATGGAAGCTAAACGTACGATGGATCGAAAATACGCAGATCGTTCCTCATCTAATATAATCCGGTCCAAAACACGAAGTGTCTAATCCAGAAGAGAGCCTAGAGAGCTTCAAAACGCGAAGCCCCTTTCGATAAAATCCATCATTTTTCGGCCTATGAAAAAGCGGACAACAAAACGAAGTGAAGGAGTCGAAGACCTCGTTGTCGACTGAAGCGACAACTGGAAAATACTATATCGCCTTCGGCTGAACACCACCACGTTTGTTCGCGCGTGGAACACAGTTCGTCTCGTTCACCTTTCGATAGAAAATTATGTACAAATGCCTTTCCTACTTCAAACGCAAAACTAATCGCTGACGGCACGGTGGAAAATGTCCCATTGCGCCATTGTACCGTTCAAGTAATTTACGAGCGCACATCCTGCCGATGGTCGTTGCTTTTCCGTACGCGCGTGCATCGTCGTCGCGTCTTCGAGAAATCTCGGAACGAGTTTTGGAGTATCCGAGGATTTTGTATGGTGTGCGCTCCGGGTCGATCGAGGCTCGTCCTCGATCGGCTTAACGCATGTTCAAGGCAGTGCGAACGAGCGAGGCTAAATGGGCAAACTCTCCCACCTGGGAGCCCAATCCGGAAGCCGTCAATCTATGCTGGATGGAGGAGCGGCGTATCGAGTACGTGGATCCGTGTCGCCGTCGCAGATGTACTTTCCTGAAACGATTCACCCACGTCGATGCATTTATTCTCAAGTATTCTCCATCATCGCGGACTAATGAATGGCAATGATTAACAAAGAAGAATATTAAAGGAGGAACACCAACCAGATACGAATCTGCGCTTGACCAAGCTTAACCTGTAGCCGGCACCCACGAGCTCGAACTCGACGCCGGACAAGGTGGTCCCTTCGCAGTTAAATTGAGTAAATATCGTTCCTTGAGTTCCAGGGCCGCGTTCGAGTTCGACCCGGGCTTTCAAGGATCCCACGCCACTGCCTTCGCTGTGTTGCGACAGCTCGGTGAACTTCCACAAGACGCGATTAGTGTCCGGCAGCCACTGAGCCGGTGGTTTGCTGTGTAGATTCAAAAATCCGCCATCGATAGGAGCGGCCACGTGTAGATTTAGTAGCGGGCTCGGCGAGGCCATGGCACGGCTATTATATTTGTAGTCGATCTGATAAAAAGAAAAAAAAAAATTATACGTTTATACGTTAGAAAGATCGTAGGTCGAAATGAGACCTGGAAGAGGCGAGTCAAAAAAAAAGCCAGGGAATTTAGTTTTAACTACAGCTCTCCTCTTCCGAAGGGATAAAAATAGAGCAATGGAGATAGTACCTTAAGATCCGTATGAGTCGCCTCGCATTTCCAATACGCGACGAGCTGGAAGGGGCAGGAACCTGCGCCTTCCTTGTTCTTAATCTGATACTTGAGGATGTCCACGTTAAAGTACGAAGCTGACGGATTTTGTTCGGCTTGTCGACGCAGCAGAGTCGTTAAGGCACTCATGTTGAACTCGAAGATTGTACTGTCGGCGACGGATTGAGTCGCGTCTCTGAAAGTACATCCGATCGTGACCGTTCAACGGCTTCGATGGCTTTGCAAACGCTATAAGGTGATTAAAAAATTTGGCAGGATCCCACGCCTCGTACTTACATACTGACCAACTGGCTGTTTGGCAGCAGTCTTTCCAAACGACTACTATTTTTCACCTTGAAGCAGAGCTTTGCCGGGTTCGGATTATTGGCCAGGACGGTGACGATCCCAGCCGGAAACGAAAGCATCATGTCGCCACTGAGCTTGACCTGGCAACGAGTCTCGTCGGTGCCCCGGAAGTAGGAGTGAACGATCTCGTGGAAGGCCACGGCCAGGGGAATCGTGTCGGCGAGGCCGATCGTCAGAGGCGACGGCCCTCTGGAGGAGCCGACCCCGACCCCTGCCGCTCGGAACTCCAAACTGGCCACGCTATCCGCTCTAGAGATCGTCGCCGGGGACATTCTTCCTCGAGGCGATGGACCTTCTCCTCTTCTAGACGGAGGTCTAGGAATGGCGATGGATCCTGTCGGCGTGGACGACGCGGATTGCTTTGGAGGCAAAGCCGGCGTTATGTCGCCAACCTCCGAGAACAGATCCCCCTCTAAAGCCGTAAGACGATTTAAAAATCTTATACGGACAGAGATAAAAGAAATATGTTTTATTTTCAGAGATAGGAGAGCATTTTCACCTGGAAATCGTGCATGGATTTGTGCAGCCGGTGCCGATTGCGGCGGGGCCGTTTGGGGCACCGGGGACGAGGAAAGGGGTGGTGGACTCTGAAGAGGTGCATACGGATGACTTCCTGTAGGGGTGGATGCACTGGACGGCGTGCTGCTGGGATTAAATAAACTCAATCCCAGCAGATCGGAACTGGGTTTACCGCCCAACTGTTGCGACACCGATTGCGATCTCTTCATGTGATGATCGGAGTCCGCGTTTGAACCTCTGCGACCCTACGATGATCAAAGGGTAAGTAATCACCCTGGGTTTATTTCTCCGTAACGAATTTAAATGCTCTACCGTAGGGGCTGGTGAAAGCGATAAATTTTCGACGGTAGCTCTCAATTCGTCCACACTCGCACTCATGGGCGCCCCGCCATTGCTCAAGGGTTTAATTTCGACTCTAATTTTCCTCTCCCTGTCATCTTCGGAATCCGTATCGGAGCTCGAATAGAATCCTTTTTCATTTTCCCAAGGGTCAGGTTTGGGCCTGATGCAAAACCCATCCTCGTCCACTTCCGGAGTGGGTGTCTTGGATTTTCTGCTGTCCTCCTTGTCCTCCCTGAAAAGGATCAAGTGGCATTCCCATCAACATATTTCTCACGTTTGCGCTTCCAGCAGGCCCAGTGCCATTATTAGTTTCAGGGTCAATTGGGTATCAGCCGACTACAATCGAGCGAGCGTAATTTAGTTACGATGGCGGTCGAGTTATTGAATTACGTTTTGCATTGTCCTTTTTCCACATTGACACGGCAGGGCATTTCTAACGCGTTTACGTGGGCTGCGTCAGCCAATTGTCCGATATAGCGAAATGGAAATCCGATTATTCGACCACGAGTACAAATTCAATTTTGCCGATTGTAGGATGAGGCTTTGCGAGGCTTTCTCATGGCAGGAATTCGAACTAGCGTTGCAGTTAAAGAGCAACTACACCTCCCCTCGGTAAGTCCTTATACGTAATTATATAGGGTGTGTATGTACGTTATGCAGGAATCTGGCAACTTTTTGTGCACTGGGTCTGCCGCGCATGCATGTACTGACAGGTCAGACTTTTCTTCCTTGTTGCTATTCGTCTCTACGGAGTCCTTTTTCTTCTTGGCTTTCTTTTCCTTCCTTTTTTCTCGCCTGCTGCGAAGAAACCCTATCAAAATATAAAACATCACTTTAATTAACGTCCCTCGTTGAGCCCTAGTGCACCGACGCCGAGTGCTCCCACGTCACCCTTCGCATAATTAATTATTTAAAAATAAAGAGGGAGAAGTTGAGCAATTATCTCCGAGAAAAAAAAAATATATATGATTCAATTTCTCATTCTCCGTGAGATCAAATTAACGATTCGACCTGGATAAGTATTGAACGATCTACTAACGATTATCAAATCTTAATGAATTGCTAAACTTTGCCTTACGTTAGTTAACATTGTAACGTATATTTAATTGATGCAATGTAGCGTCACTGCGAATTTTCCGGGTCAGTTGCTTTTCGTTGGCAAGGAACGCCGACCCTTTCTTTGGTTACACTTAAAAATAAATGAACTCTACTTTCTCTAAAATTAGCAGTCGATTAGACAAGGATTTACTTTCCAAGTGTTCGAAATTAAGTGAAATGCCAATCGAATTTCGTTCGCGATTTATTATAAAGTCGCGCTTGGAGCTGGAAGAGTGTAACGGAGCGACGAAAACACGGATTTATCTGAATCTTAAAGAAAAGATCATTGGGCAATATAATGATATGTATAGATTTAATTTTCATTACCTCGAAACAATAAACACAAATGAATCGAACTTAACGTCGTCGTAAAAATCGAAGGATAATTTAACCAGTAATTTAATTAATTCCGCTGGCACGATCGGGAAAAAGTTTCTTGCGAAATCCGTGTTAACGTTGCGTTTTTTTAAAAAAGTAGACAGAGTCTTACGGACTCGAGTGCAGATGACAGGGTGAAATAGAGAGAAAAATTTAGCAACGGAAAGACAGCTCACTAGCGCGATACGAGAGCACAGCATGGGATAATAAATAACGAGGCACAACCCACGCACCATCACCATAATCTACTTCTAAGAAACAATTATCCTGACACACCAATTGCGGTTTAAATTGTTTTTCTAACAACTTCTCCGTTTGGTCTTGAATTTTCAGCCTGCCTGGTAATAAATAAAACAAATAACCTTTTGCCGCCTATCGCTATTACCGACTCTACTTAAGGATAAAATATATATTCACGTTACTTAACGAGTATTCCATTAAAATACGGGAAATTGTTGCTCCGTCGACCAAGCACGATGTCTTTGTAAATTTCACCTAAATTCTTTTTCACTGTACACCGAGTCGTGCAGTTCCTAGGTCATGCAATAATTGCAGAGATACGTTATAAATACGTCATCATAAATATGACGGTAAAATTGATCCGAAGGATTTTTTCCAGCTTGCCAGCAAGAAAAAACGCTCGCCGCACTTTTGCGTGAAAGTCGGCTCGAGTTCTCAAGAAATTCCATTCTCTCTCCAGGCGAGAACGCGGTGGAATTTCTCAGCACCGTTTAAAGGAAATCCAGCACTTGGAAAATAAATGCAATGAATAGCAGTGAGCCATGCATTAGTAAACTTGTAAAGAACGGCTCACCTGAGGCCCCAGAGTAGTCGCGCCCCACGCTCGCGCATCAACATTATTCAAGTCCATCTCCCCTTAAGAAAAACATTTTTTTTTGTTCCGTCGTTTTGTACTACAAGTACCTGGGAAGTTTCCAAAATTACGGTCAACACCCTGTGAATCGTCCTGCAGGCGGTGATCTTTTTTTTCATATTTTACAAGTTCTAAAAATCGTTCATGAATTTCAAAGGATTAGGGAGATTCACTGTCATTGTCACCATCCAAAGCAGTCATTGCGTGAAACCGTGTAAAGTGCTCCGATTCCAGAGACACGAAGTGCGAAGGAGAAACTAAATGCAATAATTCTGGAAACTTTTCGAGTACACGATTTCATCTTATGGAGTCGAACATCGATGAAGTGTTCTCCGTGAAATGGACGCGATGCGAACTGGGAAAACATCGAATCCTAGGCGTAGTGATAGAACACATTATTACAGATAAAATGTCTCGATGAACGATACCCTACTACGTAGATACACATATTATTGTTAGAAAAACAATTTACAAGTGACACACCCACTGAAATAGTGTTAGTCGTTGCGAATGCCGAGCCAATAGCCTATGTCTACGTAAGCTCGATGTTAGCCAAAAGAAGCCAAAGAATATTTTCCTGTAATTGCAACATCATTTTGAGGGAAGTATGGAAATAATTAATGGATTATTTTCAGCGGTGGTAAATTAATATTACAAACGAATACACGCAGAAATTCAACGGCATTTTGATATCTCAACGGCAAAATAAGATGGCACTTATTAAAAATGACGTTTCAAAAATGTTCTAGACCCTTAGCTGAAAATTTTTTATCGCGATCTCTGGACTTTTGCTTCTTGTTTAATTTCGACATGTTGCCAATTAGGACAATGTCATTTACATTCCCAGTGCAATATCAAGATGCCTCAATTTTTTTAAGCGTGTAGGCGCGGTGTAAGGATGTTAATTTACCGTTATTGATGTTAGTGAAAAAAACCTACGTCAACGATCTAAAACAGTGCACAGTGGAGGAACGGTAAATAGTGTTGTTACGATAATGTCAATATAGTAATTCACTAGAGATGAATTTACAAGAGATACTCTGCGTTGATAGAGACGCTGCAATAAGAGTCCTCACCGAGTGTCGTAGAGACAGATAGGGAGAGATAGTTGATTTAATTATCATTGGAGTAGACAGAGACAAAGGTATCGAAAGGAATCACCTGATTAATAATGGTCCACTGTTAAATGATATTCAAAGGAAACAAAAATATTTAATGTCATATGCAGCATAACTTCGATATCCAATAACATACAAATATTAATGTGGCAGTGACACGGGAGTCAGAAAAGAAATTTTGCGGTTAAAAAGCTTGAATTAACATTTTTAGCGAATAATCCATTTCTAATAAATTCTCTAATAGATTTCACATCACCTCAATGAAGATAGCATGCTGGTTAATGAGCGAATGAAATGAAATAGAACTGATCTAGAATGTGGACCATTTTCAATCAAGTTATTACTTAGAACAGCTGTAAGCGAAGATTGTTTGATTCGACTAGATCGGGCTTATTTTCAAATGACAAAATTCAGAGGAATTAAAATAATTTACATCATCCTAGGAGAGTTATCGGAATCTGCAATGGAACAAGATTTCATAATCATGTTTTATAGCATTTTTTTTACAACGTCCAGTTTGCCAAACAGAAAAATTATATTTCCTTCCGAAAACGGATTATATTTTGTTAATGTCTAGCTGTAGAGCACAGGAAATTATAATTAACGAAAAAAATTCTGTTCAATTGCAGACTCGCTTAAAACTCTTATTAGATTTAACATCGGCTCTGGAACCGACGTGAGATACAGGAAAAGAGAAACGTATAGGATGCGAAAAGGTTCAGAGATGATTTTTGCGAAGGATCGAGTTCCAGAACCAGTAAATCGATACAGCCATCCTAAGATTGTCCAGGTGAAGTGAGGAGGTAAGACGGTAAATGACGACGTAAGCAGTTACATTTAGATCCTCTGAGAGGGTTCCTGGAGATGCTGGGAGGTGGAACGGCAGGAGGCAGGTTGTTCCCCTGAGGAGTAGCAGGTGCCGAACCAGACCCTGCTTGCCTCTGCCTCTCTGAAACAACACTTATCACTTTTTACCGAGTATCTTTTTCCCGATTTTGACCCTATCACCTCGTTCCCTTCTCGTCCTGATCGTGCGACTTGAAAACGCGATTTAACTCACATATTTATTTTACTTCAGAATAATTCCAGAGAATCTTTTTGAGTCTTTTAGGGATATCAATAAAACGTCATTGGAAAAACGGATTCTAAGCGTTTTTAACTTTGGTATTTTGGAAACGACTTGCGATTCCTTCACCGTGCATATTGCTGACGTACAAAAATGAACAAAAAGAGTTAAATGCTTCTCGTTTCCTATTTAATAAATAAATAAAAAATAAAAAAAAAGACGTCAAAAATTTGCAGAATTGTCTTCTGGAATCTTACGAGATCGATGAAATAGGAGGTGACTCGTTGAAGACTCTCTGGACGTGATTGCACTTGGACACATCATCCTCCACCTAATGTTAGATCATGACGCGCAAAAGCGACGTAACGCAACAACCATATAAAAGCACGAGATGATCAAACAATAATACCTGGACGGCACGGCGATTATTACGTGAATTGGGTGCTGAAATTAAATGGCTCTGGTGTATGTACGTGAACGACGAATTAGTGCAAAGAGGCTCTATGGAGTGGACGGGCCTGCCTCAATATCGTTTAAAAAAAATCCGACCCAATTTAAAATATTATTCGTACATAATCGCGTTTCCTGGAATGACCTAAGTGGATGCACCAGCTGGATAAATGATTTATTACTACGGCATTGAATTTGGGTCGTTTCATTCTAAACTGTATTTCGTTTTGGTAACGCATTAATAATGAACTTTGATAAAAACATGAAACGTATCGAAGGTAATATAGCGGCCTGTGCACTTCATGTTAAGTGAAAATAATTGCGAATAAATAGACAAAACTGGCATTGACCGTACGCAGTCATTTTTGTTTCTTATGTTTCACCTTGGAGTCTTGGATGACGGGTCTAGCATGGGCGGGGATTCGATTATGTACAGGTACGCGTATTATCAAGGCAGGCACGATCCGGAATGATTACCAGGTAAAGGAAGTGCTTTTAATTCGGCTCGTTACGAACGTGACCTACCCTGGGAGTTGGACATGAACAGGTTGAGTAGCGAGGTGGTACGGCGAGAAGCCTTGCTGGGTTGCGGTGCCTGTTCTTTATCCTTTTCCTTCAGTTTCTCCCTGTCTTTTTCCTTTTCTTGTCCCTTTCCCAAATCCCCAGCCGAGAGGATACCCACCCCTTTAATTTGAACGTGATCTTTCTTTGAATTTTGTGTGTTACCGGCAACGCCTGTCTCCCCGTTAGCACTCTTGGCAGGCTCCTTGGGTATCTCGACCGTCCCTTCCGACTGCGTCTGACCGGTCATCTCTGCCAGACTCGTCATTACTTCTTCGTACTCGATTATTCCTACACAAATTACAAAGATTTATACTCTTTGGGGAAAACAGTGAAGGAAATTAAAGTCACTGCAAGAACACGGTAAAAATATCTGCGTTATAGTTCTTTAACGGCAGCCTAGAAATGAATTAAATTTTACCTGGTTTCTCGAATCCTGTGTACTTGCTTCGTACAAATTGCTTCAAGAGTTTTTCTACGGTCATGTCGAGGCACTGTCGTTTGAAGTCAATATGAACCTGGCCAACCTGTTCATGGTTTGCTAGCAGAACATCCGCATAAGTATTAAGAAATTCTTTCATGTGTTTCAGATGAGTCTCCTCGATGGTTTGAAACCGCTGATTAAAAAAAAAAAAAATTACATCAAGAATTATGGTAAAATATAAAAACGCAGCTCGACGGTCAACGGATGCAAGCAAGTCGATCGAATTATCGTCATACCTTGCATGCTTGGGTCATTTTAGTCTCGAAATCGTTACGGACAGCGGAGTATTTATCAACGATAGCCTTGTAGTCGTCTTGGGCTTTCTTGAATTTGGCCTCTGCCTTCTCCAATTCCCTCTGACTGGCATTGTCTTTCTTCAATTTCTCAAACTCGATGCCTCTTTGGAGACACGTATCCTTCGCCTTCTGCAAGGTGATCGTGATGCTCTGTATACTTTGCACGACCTCCAGGGTAGAAGATTCTTCCTCTTTCACCTAAAATCCATAATTTATCCATCAATCTTTATATCGCGGTTTTGTAATATTCATAACGTACTATATTTCGTCAATCGGCCCTGATACAAGAAAACGAGGACAGCGATAAAAGAAAATAGAATCGAGCCAAACGCTTGGTAAAGTAATTTGAAGTCGTAAAATATTTAGGACTCTTAAATCGGGGACCGTTTTGGTACATCCTACGGAAAGTTCTGCACGAGATAACCATGCCCTACACATGACGTGGGCTTCGCTGTCTGGACGAACCTAGTGACCTGGACTGTGGGCGGTTACCGATAATGCTCCGTGCACGATACACTCGTCTAAGTTTTACAATCACCACGGTCAGAGCGATACCTGAATCGCAAGAATTTCAGCTACGTTTCGAAACTCGAAACACGCTAGACGGTAATACACGGTAATTTTCATCCCAAGAAAAATATTGCCGATTTTAATGAAACGGGCAGTCAGGGCGGATCGAAGTACGAGTGCGAACGATAATCCAGGACTACGTACAGCCTTGTGTTTTTTGTGAAGCTCGTCCGCATATTTGGAGACATCCTTGATAATCTCGGTTACTCTTTGGGCCATCTGCAGATGCAAACCAGCCAACTTTTCGGCCGCACCTCTAAGGGCGGCCCAGATGGGGGCGAATGTTCCCTGAGTGCTGCTACTGTTGGTGGCCTGTTTCGCTACCTTGCTCAGCCATTTGTAGTTGTTCTCTTCGATGGCTGACCGTTCCCGCAGAAACTCGGCCAACTCTTTACTCGCGATTACACCATGCTTCATGTTATGGTACAGCACGTCAAATCCATTATTCTTTTCACCCTAAAACAGAAAATTGATGCCGCATGAAACCACGATGACGGATACAACTGTAAGACTATTCGACGGATTTGTATTTTCTAGCTCGTTCCAGACGCTCCTTGCAATCGGTGCACCGTTAAAAGAACCTCTGCATGCTCGTAAATCGCAAGCGGACAACACTGTCTAATTGCTGTCAACTTCGGAATGTTGTTAAATTGTGCGCACATATTTAAAAATAAATCTCATCTACGGGGCAAATGTGCATGCAACGTAAGTGCGAATTAAGCGTTCCGAAGCAGTCTTTGGTTGTTAACTGACGTAGATAAGTAGAATATCACGTCGGCTTGACGAACGACGAGACCATACTTAAGGCCACTTAGTCGTTTAACGCTTTAACCCTGATCGGACGCTGTCATCCCATTCCCCAGTCATCTTTCACGGCATGGCAATAACATCTGTCCAAAGACGGAATTCGTTTTATCCTCCGGTCAAATCCAAAAGCGCAAAAAGGCATAAACGGCCTTTTAAATTCATGGAAGTGCGAAAGAAATAGGAAATTGACGCATACGTCATTGTCGGACGTCAGTCTGCGACGCATTGTTTCTTTTCACCCGTAGGTGTTCAACGAAGCCGAGTATAGTTTATTTCCGGTGAGCCGTGAGTAGCGTAGCGATCGTGAAAAATTTTTTCCTGCGGTGCAATTCCTTAACGATTCTATTGAACTTCGTTTGTCGTCCTTAGGCCGAACATGCAATAGGCGTTCGATAAAGTGTCCACAATTAGAGTCATTGTTCAATAACGAGTCTTTCAATCTCTTCTCTCTGTATTAAATCACCCTCGCTTGATTACAATCAATTTGCGTCTAACCAGGTACAAGAAGTAGATCTGACAAAAACCAGACGGTTATACGACAACGTTAGCTACATGAAACCTCTGAAGCACTGTAATCCTTTCCGCGAGTAGTGCACGAAGGAAATAATTCCACCGTTTTTCAATAGAATCGGTAAACGTAGATTCGAATGGAAAAAAATTCAAGCTGATCGTGCGACAAAAATTTGCCATGCTCGTAATCGGTTTTTTCTAGGATTTTTCACAGTCCCTCCCATTTTCATACGGTTGATTCTTTACTTTTGTCCGACTCAATTATGACGTATCTACTGCCCTTCAATCTCGGCAGAGACAACGGGAACAAAAAGGAAGTTACTCTATCTTATCTCAAATGTCCAAATGTTTCATACGAGAATATTCTGCTGACGAGAGCTGAGCTAATGACGATACAGGAAGCATGTCGAGGGTATTCTGTACTTTCTTTTTATTAACCGAGAAATACTGAATTTCCCAAGAATTTTGTGTTTGTTTGCTAAAGATCGACGACGAGCTTTTGGCGATGAGTCAGTAACAAGCGTACAAGCTATTGACAATTATTGCCATTGATAAGCCAAGAGCCGTCGACAGATTCTTTTGTTTTCTACGCTATATCTGGAATGTTCCTAGTTACCAACACGGACATGCTTGCCGATACTAGCTAAACGTATACAATAATTTTTAAACAGCAAATTATAAGTGGAATTTTAAAAGGAATATTTTTATAAATATTATCAATGTAGTCATTTCTATATCTTAGCGACAACGATCTTTTCACGGGTCTAATCTACGATCTACCGTGCACTCGACTTAAATACTACAATTCGTCGTTTCATTTAGTCCATAAAAAATACACTAGACGATTCGCATTACCACAAACTACGTCATTCCATGCAGAAGTGCACGTTCTTATGAATTTCTTTGGAACGAGCCACGCCGTATCTCAAATCGTGCAGGAATGCAATTCACGCGTTGTGTCATAATTTACAATGCTGCGAAACCAAAAGAAGTACTCTCCATGGTGTTCGTAGAGCGACCAGAAGGCAGCAGGGAGCCCAGGCAGATGGAGGGAGGGAGAGAGAGAGAGAGAGGGAGGGAGAGGAAAGCAACTCCAACGAAGGGCGGAAGCAAAAGGGAAAACCGAGTGGTAGGTACCGAGGGTCAGGGGGGAGGAAAACGGGAAAACAGGTGGGGATCGGACGAGCGAGGGAGAAAGGCACCGACGCTCGGACGAAGAAAGAGATCGCTAGCCGATGCCAGGTGACCGTCGATTCTCGTCGGTCCCGGACGTTCCCGGGGCGTTTTCGAGGCCTCGGGGGATAGGGAAGCGTCTCGGCCGCGGGGACGCCAAGAGGGAAGAACACACCTTCTTCTTAACCTAACTTTTGCGCGGCAGGTAATGCCAGCTTCGCAGGGCACTCCCGTCCGCCGAGCGGGCACTCACCCAAAAGCAGTCGGCAAAATCGACGGTCATGATGAACCGAACCGCGATCAGAGCATGATCCCGCGTGTTCCTCGAATCCTTTCCTGGCGGGCGGGCACGCGCGGCGTCTCGCGTGGGTCAACCCGAGGACGCGCACGTCGTCGCAGCGGAGAATCGTAGTCGGGGTCAGGGACCGGGAGAACCAGAGGAGCGCCGTCACCGTTAGGGTTTCCAGAGATGTCCCAGTCGTCTCGACGGCTCGGACGACCGTTACGTGCGGTTACGTGGATACGTGGGTGCGCGTGCTCTCGAGCTCGAACGAGGCGCCGCTCAGGAGAAGTCCCACCGGTCCCACCGCAGGAGACAACAGGAAACCACTTCGACTTGGCCTAGCTGCGGCTAACTTCGGTCGCACCGGTCGCACCGTACTCCGACGGTGCTCGCGAAGAAATCGCGACGCAAGCGCTGTCTCCCTCGACCCTGCGTTCTCGTGACTCGGTCGTGACACTTGCTCCAACTGGCCCGAAGCGACCCGCGGTGGCGCCTCCACGCGGCGGCCAGTCGAGACGCGAAGCTCGAACGGACGGGCGGGGCGGCACGGTCGATAAAGAAAAGCGACGCCGAGGAAAAACGCTCGTTGCGGATGCAAGCTCCGACGCTCGATTTTCCCTTTCAAATCGTTTACCAAAAATAAACCTACTAGTTTCGGTCCATACGTTGTCGGGTCGCAAAAATCAACGAAACGATAGTCGGCAACGAAGAGATCTCCGTGGACCGGACGAGGCGACAGATAACGACGATTTCGTGGAAGGGATACCGTAGTCGGTAAGAAAATGCTCCGCAATCGGTAGGGGAAATCATCTCGATTCGAGAAGAATAAGAATTCATTTTGCATTCCGAACGATCTACGGTATCTCGTTTTTTAATTAATTTAAGTTTGTCTCAATCGGGAATATTTTCGACACCGGGACAAAGTCCCGGAGGAATTGCGCCGTTAATCGGGTGAATTGAACCGTGGGACGGGGTGGTGCCATTAACGTAAGATTTCTTGGAACCGTTTTCGCTTTGGCAGGCGAACTCCCGATCAGGAGCGGGTTCCGCCGTCCGAAAAAATAAAGGACAAGGAGAACAGGGTTAAGTAGTTGCGGCGGCGACGGTGCAGCCGGTGCAGCCGGGCCCGTCTCGGGTGCCGTTGGGGTAGGGCTCGGTCAGTGGCATCGCCAAGGTAGCCGAGGCGCGGAAGTTGGCGCAAGGCGCAGGCGCAAGATGGCCGCCGTGGGGGCCGCGCCGATTGGCCGAGGCCGTCGGCGCGAGCGGCAAGTCGGGGCTGGCCAAGGACGCGGAGCGGGTGGACGGCCGAGAGAGATCCGAAAGTTGTCGGCCGAAGCTCAGCATCCCCGTGCTCCTCCGAGTCGGTCTCAGCGAACGCGCGCTGGTCCACGGCGAGTGGTCGTTCCGTCCGACCTAACCTAAGAGCGAGCGGAGGTCAGCCCAGCCGAGCAGAGTCGAGTCGAGCGGGCGACATGCCCGCGAACAGGGCGAATCTCTCCGTGGCGCTCAAGCCGGCCAATGGCTTCGCCGCGGGCTCCGCCAAGAAGAAGAAGCAACGCACCTGCGCTAAGAATAAGAGACATTGCCGGCAGTACCTGGTGAGTCGACTAGGAGAGCAGATTTCCCGTGGCCCGGTCGGCCGGAATCGAGCGAAAAAAGGGATCGGCGAGGGCGCGTAGCAACCACGCGGAAACTCCCTAGACACGCTCCCTAGGTTTGTTAACCTCCAGGTTGCATGACCGCCAGCCGGAGGCGGGTTACGGCCGATTGATCGCCCGCCAGTCGGGCGACCCCGACCGAGTTTTCGGGATCGAACTCAAAGAGTATTTACCTCCGAATTTCGATTACGTTCGATCGCCCTTGCTCGCCCTCGCTTACGTTCGCTTCCACTTGGTTACTACGAATTATCGGAAAGACGCGAACTTCCGACGGGAGAATTTTTTTTCGATCAAATACTGAGAAATATAATCGAACGAGAGAAGGGAGAGGAAGTTCTATCGTCTTTTTTCCTACTCCCAATTTCATTTTAAGGCTAACCCTGAGTTTCGACAAAACGTTCGAGTTAACCGACAAACGTGTACAATTTTTTTTATTTGCGCGTCTGCGTCTCATGATTCACCTGGAATATTCCGCGAATGGATTCCCGCTATTTGTTGACATTTTTACCTCCCCGCGACGATGCTGCGATGCACATGAAAATATGTTTGTACTGACTCACTCGATCCTGGATAATCACCTGGCACGTTCGACTGCCAAAGTTCTGGCTGGAGTTCGCGGTGGGACAGTCTACTCAATCGAGGCGTAAATCTCTCTCGGCAATAATAATTGCGGAAGCGCGTAAACCAGCCACGGACGTTTTGCAGGTTTACCGTAAAATTGTCGTTCGAATTCGCGGGCGAAAAATCCTAACGACGTTTACAACGTATTCCTTGCCGCATGGTTCGTGGGGTTTAAAGTCTGCGGTCGGTTACTCGAACGTCGGTAAGCCAAAATGCCAATAGTTCATCTCCCAAGATGGTACGAAGCGCGCCATTTACCGGCCGAGGTTTACCCTCCGAGGATGCGTATTCTCCCCGATAACTGATACGCGGAATATCTGGAATTTCGGTACACGAGAGTCTTTACGTTTAGAGGGAATCACGCGATCGGGAACAATATATTTACTCGTGGGTATCATCGGACGCGTCTCTCCAATACCTGGCCGCATAATCGGCGAAATCGAGTCCATTCGTCCCCTTTTGCAGTCGTATTTGGTTTATCGCGGATCGCCTTGACCGGAGCCGGGATCACGTGGTCGTCTCGCCCTGCAAGACGCGGCCAACCGGTGGGGCCGGTTCCGATAAAAAATTCACGCGTTCGAAGTTTTATCATCTCAGAGAATCATCGTGGTCCTGGTCTTGAACGTTTGGCTTGGTCTCGCATTTTTTGTGGATCCAAGACCAGGACCGATTTTGCTCGCCTCGCTCGGTCCTTATAAAATTGAAGCTTTTCAGGCCGCGCCCGGCCGGCCACCGCGTCGCGCGTTATGCACCTCTCCCTCGTATCGATTTCTAAGAATACCAAGGAAAAAAGGTTGCTGCTGATGCGGCGAAAACAAAAGACGACACCAATCCCACTTCTCGCGCCCCCTCGACCACTTTCCATTATGGTCCGGCTGAATTGGCTCGGCGCGCGTCCGAGAAACCGGGGCTGATCTTGCGCGCTCTTTGGGGCTCTTTGGGACCGGGGAAAGGCGAAAGATAATTCCCCATTTTCCCGGGAAATATCGGCGGATCGACGCCACTTCGCTTCCGATCGCGTTAAAGCGCTCTATGCTATTTCGCGGTTCGACCGATCTCCGAGGGGCTCCGACGACGTTGCAATTACTTTGCGCGTTCCCGAACGTATCGTTTGCCGAATAGGGTCGTAGGGAGCCACTTTACCGACCCGGCCGCGACGGGGAAGAAGATGGAAGCGTCAGCTTTCGGTTTGACGGAATTGCGGCCGGCCGGCTGGCGGTGATCCAATTCCTTCGGGTTAGGTTGGCCGGCGCTTGGACTCGCTCGAACTCGCCTCGTGTCCGAGTAATCGGCGAGCGCGAATTACCGTGATTCCGGCGTCGGATTTTGCAATGTAAATTGACTCTCGAAAAGTCTCCCCCGATATCGATCGAGGCCGTACGCCACAGGTCGCGAGTTTTACCGGGAATCCCCTATTCGCGTTCCCTCGTTCGCTCCTTCTCCCTCTCATCCTATTGCCCTCTTCTTCGGCGATTATCGATCGTTCGTAAGTGGCGGCGCGAACCAATTATCGGCCCGTTAAAATTGTATACCGCGGAACGGTGCGCCGTTAAATCCCGGAATTGTGTACGGCCGCTGGGAGGCCTCGAGAAATCGGCCCTTTATCCGGACTCCGAGCCCGGAAGGCGACTCGAATCGCGCATTACTCCATCCTCTTCCTTTGACGACCGACGAGGAGATCCGTTTGTTTAAACCCGTGCCAGATATTGGATGTTTAGATTACGCCGTGCCAAGTTACTCGGGGAGCAAATCGCGGCCGGTTAACCCTTTAATTATGAAACGCCAGTATAGTGGCTTCCGCATGACCGACGGTTTTTTTTTTTTTTTACGAAGCGTCCCTGTAGTGGCTTCTTCCTTCCCATGTATTCAAAGCTACTCCGCCGTAGTTAAAGGGTTAATGGGGCACTTCACGCCGGTTTAACCCTCTGGCTATTAAAGGCATCCGACGTTTGGTCCAATGTTGCCTGCACGCATTGATGATTTTCGCTCATACGTAGGAAGGGTTCCGTACTCGAAGGGTTAACGATCAACGATTTCCATCGATCAGCGCGTCGAACGGCCTAACACTCGGGCTATTTTCAATGACCCAGTTGCGTTTGCGAGGCGTCCGCGGTAATTCGTTTTTAGACGGACAGGGATGACGTCGCGTCATAAGGACGTGCATTCTACCGTCGGACGTTACCGGCAGCCGTTGGGACGCGCAACCAATGTTCGTTAATGGAACACGTCGGATCCCGGAATTTCTGCACCTCTTGTATTACATGAACACCCCACTCGACGTCATCGAGCATTGAGTAAACTATGATCTTTTTGTCTAATCTCCGGGGCCCAACGTTATCGATTAAACACGTCGAGCATTCGTCACCTAAACCGACGACCCTCTCGTCGCTCTTCCCTGAACTTGACCGCCCGAAAGCTTCCAGTTTTAATTAAGGCTTTCCCTTTCGCCGGGACTTTCTTACCTCGATGTTAAGCTTTAACGGAGATCGCACCGATTTGACTTGAATTTATTTTTAATTAAATTCGGTCCTCCAGAAATTAAGAAATTCCCGCAGACGCGCGAGGGAGTCCTGGATAAAATGGAAAGTCAATGTAGTCGATAGAAAAAAGTATGACTCCTGGTCCATCGCTGTAGCACTTTTTTTTCTTCTCGTTTCGGCTCATCGGGCACGTCACCTTCATAACCGAGTGCAGAGAAAATGAGATTCGCTCGTGTGGGAAAACTTAGCATTTACCCACCAGCGGTGTTTACAGCGCGACATTTTGTCGCGGATGATCTCCACTTGAAAGGCGCGTTTTCATTTTGTCGACTGGAGCGATGCCGCGCAGGTTTTTCCAGAAATGAAAATCAACGGAGTATAACGAACCGTCAGGCGCTGCTCGGCTTTCGTTACAAAGGTTGTTTAATAAGCCGCGTCTCAAAGAGTCACCTCGGAAAACGCTCGTTTTTGGCCCTATCGCTCTTTTCGACGGTGAAACTTCCGATTCCTCTTTCGGTTTAAATAAATAACGCCAGACCGGCGGCGATACCTCGGTCGGCGGGAAGTATTTCTCAAAGGAGGGGGTTAATTTAAGCGAAACTTCGATCCCTGCAAACATTTCCATAAATCTCGCCGAGCGGGACAGGGGGTGATGCGAGAAATTTCACCCCATCCGGCCATATTTTCCGCGAGGCCAGGGGCGCTTACACATATCACGGGATATGTAATAAATATATAAAGCGGCTCGCCTGAGTTCCGCGACTGCATAAACGATGCCGCGTCGATCCGTAGAAACCGAGCCTTAAAACCGCAAACGGGCAGCGGGGGGAAACTAGAAAGTTCTATACTTAGGTTCACTTCCGGGTCACGTGTCTCATCGTCTCATACGCTATATGCATACGATGTATCCGTCAATTAATTAATTGGCCCAACGGAATCTACATTTTCACCGACCGTGTCGCCCCGGCGAAACGTTCCCTCGGTACGCCCCGTTTGACCAAATGTTTAACAACGTTTATTCGAGCAACTATTTGCCGCGAATCGAGCTTCGTTTAATTCTCGGCACCTGCCGTTTGTCTCGGTCGATTGGAGACGGTTCCTCCCGTCGACCTCGAAAAATGGCGAAAAGTCGGTACCGATACCTCGTATCGGGTCGGGTCTCGTCTTCGGGGGTCTGCGTAGGTTCTTCAAGGGGAGTCATTCGATTATCCGGGGAAACTTTAACGTGACATAATTAGATATATCCGTCGCAACGGAGTGGGGCATCTCCGAAAACGTGCTCGATATAACGTTGCTCCTGGGCGATGCCGAGACCCCTCGCCCCTCCTGGAAGCTCTCAACCAACATCAGTCGCCGAGTTTAGCACGTCCTTGTCTCGTCGAGTCCTCTCCGTTGTTCTCCCGTACAAAAGACTACGATATTTATGAGGAAAAAAAAAAGAAGTCTCAGAGGCATTTCCACGTCCGCTGCCCAGCTGCACACGCGAGGAACAATTCCGTCGCCGCCTTTTGTACAATTTTTTCGGCTTTGGAGAAGCTCCGTCGAGCACCGATGAAGCACTTAATCCGCGCGATTATCCTCCGCGGATTGAACGGTCCGATTAAAGAGGACGAACGATATGATCTCTCGGCGCGAGTCGCATCTCGCCATTCACTCCTCTCGGATTAAATGGATCCGAGCTTCCGAACCAATGACTGCCTCGAGCGCGCCTAAACGCGTGCTATTGATTAATTATCCAGAGTCCCATTGTTCGTCGCCGTCAATCGGCGAGAAATCGACCCAGACTTCGAGCCGCGACAAAAGTCGCGCCGAACGATGTCCCGGGTGGGGGATTTTACG